TACTGATCTGGCTGGGTTTCCCCAGCCACTCTGGGTGGCTCCCAACAAAGATTTAAAATACATTAAAATGTCACACATTAAAAACTTCCCTAAACAGGGCTGCCTTCAGATGTCTTCTAAATGTCAGGTAGTTGTTTATTTCCTTGACATCTGATGGGAGGGAGTTCCACAGGGCAGGCGCCACCACCAAGAAGGCCCTCTGCCTTGTTCCCTGTAGCTTTGCTTCTCACAGTGGGGGAACCGCCAGAAGGCCCTTGGTCCTGGACTTCAGTGTCCAGGCAGAACAATGGGGGTGGAGACACTCCTTCAGGTATACTGGGCCGAGGACCAGAGTCATTTAATGCTTTTCCCTTGCATCTTTGGCTATGCTCCTTCCATTAAGAACCACCACCACCATATATATCAGGGAAATCCATCCCTCCAGCTCCCATCAGCCCCAGCCAGCATGCCCTAGGGGCAGCCAGTGCTATGCACCTGGCCTCCCATCAGCCATATTTCTATGCTTACTGGGCGGGAGATGGGAGGGATAGTGGGGTGGGTGGCATGGGGTGGACATTGCCCAGTTTGGCTGTGTACTTTTTGATGCGTTTTATTTACCATTTATGGCTTTTGTTATATTTTTAATTGTGCAGTTTTGTTCATGTTGTAAGCTGTCTTGAGCATGGTTTTAACTATGGAAATGCTGCATGAAAAAAAATGTAAGTGTGCATGTATGCAGTGGTGGAGACAGTCTTCTGTTCTTGCTGCTGCACCTGCACTGCACCAGCCTACCTTCCACCTAGCCCTCCCCCTCTCCTTCCCAGTAAGCCCAGTGATGTGGTACATGGCCATGCCTGACATCACCCATGCTCAGAGGTGATTGGAGTTGTAGTCTACAATAAAGGGAAGGAATTACATTGGCCACCTATGGTCTATGCTTATATATATATATATATATATATTCCACTGTACTTATTATTCCAGGTAGAATTGCAGACTAGAGGTTTTTTAAAAAAACACCCAATGTCTTGCTCATACCACAACTAGAAGTTTAAAATTATTCAATGCATTGCTCACACCACAGAGAAAAGGATGAGCGTTGTGTCGTGCTGTTAGCTCTGTCTGCAAAGGCAGAGGAAACCAGAGAAGAAATGAAAATGATCAGGTGGGGAGGGCAGCAGGGAAGCAGCAGCACATGGGGGATCATAATCCAAAGAGAGGAAAGTAGTACCAATGGTCCATAAGACATTTTAAGATGGTGCCACCAAGATGTTTCTTGGCCAACCAAACATAGGTTGGTTGTTTTAAAAAATGATCCTCCAATATCACCTTATGCCTGTGATTACAACCTGCACTGCCTCTGGTAAAGAGGCCCAGACTGTTTCAATATTCCAAGTAACCTAAGACAGTCTGCACTTCATAAACAGTTCCAAAATAAATTGAAATTAGAAGCATGATGCTGGATCAAAGACTTTTAAAATATAATTTTGTTTTTTAAGTCATTGATAGTACAAACCTATGGACATAAACTCAAAAGCAAGTTCCATTGAGTTCAGATAACTGTGGATGCTTCCAGACAGCAGTTTAACACTGCAATTATTGGCATTTTTTTTTAAAAAAAACAATTAAAAAAAATTAACTGGCTTTCCCCTGGAAAAGGTAAATCCAGATTAAATCTGGGGGGAAAATACATTTTGATGACAGTGATATTGTGTGGGTGCTGGGGGCAACCAATGGCATCCCACAACAGTCTAGAAGCAACCTATAAATAGGTTTACAACCTTGGAGTTATTTGTCCTGGGAATATTATTTCTAGGGCACTTTGATTTGGATTATGTAGGCTGCTCTATGATGACTGGGAAGTGGAGAGACTTTCCTTTTTGTGCAAACTTCTGAAGGACTTCTGGAGTTTGTTCCAAGTCAAAGAATGTACATCAGTTTACAGGGCAGCTGGAGATACCCCCTGAAACTACACCATCCTTTACCTAGAAGGCTCCACCAAAAGTGGTACCCTCCAGACGGTGCCAGACTACAACTCCCATAATCCCTGACCACTGACAATCCTGCTTGGGGCTGATGGTAGCAAGCAAACAACAAACAAACATCTGGAGGGCTATCCCTGGAAATCCTTCCATGCGTTGGCAATGTGCCCCTTAGTGGACCGAACAAGCTTTTTAAAAATAGAATTAAAGGATTAACTGGGGAAGGTTGTGTGAGAAATGGTCTACTGGGCATGGAAGCATTTTTATAAATGAAAACACCATGGCAGGCAAGTCTTCAGCCACTAGGTAAGAATATCTCAATGGAGCAATAGTAGTTAACACCTGGTAATGCTTCCAGGAAACAGCCCTGCTGTTCAAAGCAATATTGATTATTCTGGCTGCCTGCATATTGCTTTAAAGCCAGATGTTAGAATGAAAGAAGGCTTATAAAAATGAATTATGCACTAGTGTGTACAATAGAATCCCTTTCTAATACTCATTGTGGTCTAGTTACCACAGTATGCACATGTAATGTGGGATATTTCACAGAAACGGTAAACCTCAAAAGCCGTGATCTGCAGATAAATTCTACTGAAGTCTTCCCCTGAGACTTACTTAAAGAAAAAACCACCAAGGCTCTCATTCAGCTATGCACCAGTATATATTCACCCATAAGAAGGCTGGCACTGTCAGAAATAGTATTCAACCGTGTGCATAGTCCACTGGGCCAGATTCAACTAGTGAGTCCCATCAGCAAAAGACCTGCACAAGGACTTCCACTTGTGCAATGGAGTTTCTCCCCTCTCCTCCCCCTCATGTGTCCCACCCCCTAAACAGACTTGTGGGTGGAAGCATGCAGGGGGAGCAGAGAGGGGATCATTCCCTCTTGCAAGCCGAAATGCACATCTACCACACCATGTGCCCATTGCAGAAAGTCTTGGCCATTTTGCAGTCTTTATTTTGGGGCACCAGTCTCCAGTGCTGGAGCACACATCTATTACTTTATAAAAGTGTCAAAAACACTCTCATTGGAGCAAGACAGTCTCCTGTTCCATGCATTATACCAGGGAGTGAGACCTCACACCTGGCGGCCAAGTGGGGTCCTCCACACCTCTCTATCCTGCCAAAGGATTTCTTGCAGGCCATTCACCCCACTCACTGGTCCTACCCCATGCCCTTCTCAAGTGCTTTTCCGGGCTGGCATGTGCCCTTGAACTGCTTGCTTGCCTGGACAGAGGATGAAATGTATGCTGGAGCATATGTGTAGAAGCATGTTTTTCTGTGGCTGGAATGTAGCCTTCTGTACAAAGGAAGAGTCAGATCCATTCTTCTGCCCACTTTTTCCTCTGGTCCTCCCAGTCCCTGAGAGAAGGTTGCCATCAGGCTGAAAAATGCTCCTCTATCCATGCAGTAAAAGGTGTAGCACAAAACCAGTTCTCGGCTTTACCAAACCAAACTGCTCCATCATTTTTATTATCTAGGCCAGCACAGGGAACTGGAATAACCTATAAGGCTGATGCTTCAAACGGCATGGTAGTTAACTTTAGTAAGGTTATACCTTTGCTTTCTGCAATGAATGTGTATGTTATGAAAGAGAGGTGCACATCTGCATACAAACTGTAGACCTGTTGCAGGTTGATGCTCTGAGAAGCCATGGTTGGGGCATGCATGTGCACTGTGTGACTAGAAAAGGTGGTCTGCTTTTTGTATTTTGCATGTTTGCCACAGCAGGCACCAGTGTAACAGTGGGAGATTGGTTAAAAAAAATAGGAGCAGTAATTGGGCAAAGAAGTTAAGCCAGGTGTGCAAGGGCTCTTGCATATTCATTTGGTGACATTTGTACAGACAACATGTGCAATTTGTAGATCGGGGTAGGGCCCTCAAGACTCTCCCAGGCCACCCTTCTCTCTGTGCCCTCCTGAAGTGCTTTTGCCTCACTGGACTGTATCCTTGAACTACAATCATGCTTTTTTGCTTGCCTGAATGAAGGACAGGGGAATGAGGAGATGTGTAGATGTGTTTCAAAACCTCTGGCTTTCTCATGGCTGAAAAGCAGCTTAATATATAATAGCAAGAGATTCACATCTATTGCTCTGCCCTCTCTGGACTCCTGCTGCCTCTGACCTCACCCACCACTGGCATGTGTCTCAGAAAAAATTGGCCTTGAGGGAATATGGGCCTTGACCTAGAAAAGGTTCCCAGCTCATGCAGCGGATGTATGTTCACCCTGCACATGTCTTTATATGCTACAAAGAAGCCCCACTAGTCTACTACCATATCATTGACTGGTGGCAACTCCTTTTTAATATGAGAAGCTGCCCTGAGGCTACTTGGAAATGGTGGGCTCATCTGGAATGGAGCTCCAACTAATAAGTAAGGAACAGACACCATTTAGGGCATCATTTCTTGAGGTTGGCCTAAAAGGGGCCTTCCTTAAGGGAAACTGGTATAACTCTATCTAGGAAGACATTGACTGAGCTCTCAGTGCCATTGTTATTTGTATTCTAATTAAATAAGGAATTGTAATATAATGTTAAATCAGCGCAATTTCAGCATTGCTAAAGGCTCAGTTCAATTATAAATTCATCAAGCTGTGTTCATGAGGCTTCTATATTATGTATGCAAGATATATAATGATAGCATTGTACTAAGTAGCTCATTCTAAAACTGTTTGGGTCTTTAAATTTTAATCAGATCTGTAGTAGCAATTTAAAGAAAAAGGGGGAAATACACATGCTTGGAAATGTGTTCAGTCTGTTTACAAACAAATATAATCTGTGGTTGTTATATATGTATTTTTCAGAGAATGATGGTGATACGAGTGATTCATTTCTACGGATGGATATCTAAGGATATGAACTGAATGTGAGAGTCCTTGGATGGGTATGGAAAACTCCTCATCGTATTCTTCAATATATTACAAAATATAATACAAATTGCACTTGGATGGATCACCACAGACTGTTAGTTGAATGGGACCAGAATATCTTCTAAGGAAATTGCTGAAGTTAAGGATTTGGAAAAGAGACTTTTGCAAAGATGACCCATTTACATGCTGGTCTCAGCCCAGAGACGATAGAGAAAGCCCGCCTTGAACTCAATGAAAACCCAGATGTTTTGCACCAGGACATCCAGCAGGTCAGGGACATGATCATCACAAGGCCTGACATTGGGTTTTTACGTACAGATGATGCCTTCATCCTGAGATTTCTCCGAGCCAGAAAGTTTCACCAAGCAGATGCCTTCAGATTACTGGCTCAGTATTTCCAGTACCGTCAGCTGAACCTGGATATGTTCAAAAATTTTAAGGCTGATGATCCTGGGATCAAACGAGCTCTGACTGATGGATTCCCAGGAGTGCTGGAAAACCGTGATCACTACGGCAGGAAGATACTTTTGCTTTTTGCAGCCAACTGGGATCAGAGTAGGTAAATGTAGATAGTGTACTTATCTTTTTAAAAAATAATAATACACAAACCATTAACTGATTGTTAATAGCGACACACATGGGGAAATAATTATTTTGAATTGTTTTCAAATCCTGAGTTGATCTGATGAATCTGATAGTCAAAGATGTGCATTAAGAATTTCCTTCCTTTTTGCTTCAGATATGGAGTTCCCATTTTCCCGTACATACAGCAGGCTTCAAAGAAAAATATTTGCAGGAAGTGCTTCAGTGCCTATTATATTACACAGTTGGCCATATCTTGATATGTGATATGATAACTGTGGCCACAGTTACAAGACCGTGTGTGTGTTGTTGTTTTTAATGCCATAATGCTGGTAAATGCAATGTGATCACAAAGGCGGAGACTTTTAAACTGAATAATCTAAAGAATCAAGGGGGATGAATGCTTCTTTGCTCACAACCAATCTTTCCATACCAGCTGGTGCCCATAAATTCTGCTTTATTAACCCAAGAGTTGTAAATGTCAGACACTTAACTGCAAGTGTACAGAGACTCAGATTTAAAGGGCAGGGCATTACTGCTATGTGAGATTACAAAAATCAGTGTAAATTCTTTTAAAAGATATTGATCAAGACAAACTCACATGCTTGCCAAGATGTTCTAATTTGGGAAGTGTGATTGCCAGCACATCCTTCTGTCAAAATAGAAGGATATTTTTATTTCTTGGCACTGCCAAGAAATAATTGCCATTCCTTTCCAGCTTCCGGCATGTTAATGGTAAAAGAGCTTTGCAAACCCTCATTGACCATCTTTTATTTCTGCAATATGCTATTAAATGCAGGGCTGCCAAGACTGTTGTCAGCGGCATCAGCACAGAAGTTACATATGACAGATTGAAGTCATTAGTTCAGACCAATTACACTTCAAACAATTACATTTTTCAGTTCATCATATTAATTTCTTGTGGGTTAGAAAAGAGAGCTTTAAGCTGAACAATAGACTGGTGCAATGACATGTGAAGGGGTGCAGGTGGATAATGTAGGAGATATGAGATAATGCACTTGATTCAATCCAAATTAAACCTGTCCCTGTCCTGCTTTATGAATCACAGGTAGTTCTAACAGGCCAGCGGCAGAAGCATATGGAGAAAGCAGTTTAAGGGAGCATGCAATATGCTTATAATCTCTTGTCTTTCCCTGTCTGTAGGGGCCTTTGGCCCAAGTTGTGACAGTTGTCGTTGGTCCCTTAAGACAGATGCTTCTGTCCTGCTTTTGTACAGTCCTCAATGGCATAGACAGACAGATGGCTCCTTAGGCTTCCCCCTTTGCTGTGACAAAGAAGTATCTCACTAAACTAGGAGAGAGGGAAAGACTAAAAGATCTCAGAAGCCAACAGCACAATCCTAATAATGTATACTGAAAAGTAAGTCCCACTGAGTTCAGTGGGGCTTACTTTCATGTAAGTGGGGTTAGGATTGAACCCTGATGTACCTGTAAACAATCCTCTGTAATGTTTTCCCACATAATCCAGTACAAGGGAATTCAGGAGCAAACTGCTAAACACCATCCTGGCAAATTCCAACAGAGTGCATTGCTTGGCTCAGGCAAGTGAGCCAAGCCTTGTTCTTTAATGCAGAACCTGTGGTCCTCCAGATGGGGCTGATGGGAGTTGGAGTCCAACAATGACTGGAAAGGCCACCTGTATTCAACAAGGAAATTCAGTTTTCTAAAATGGTTGCTCATGTGTTGTAGATGCTCTTGAAGTATTCTGAAGTTCTGCGTTCAGAATGGGGAGGAAAGCAAGCTAATTCATAATTCTACACATGTCTATTCAGAAGTAAGCCTTGCTGAGTTCAATGAGACTTATTCCCAGGTAACTGTTTTGTGGATTTCAACCAGAAAACTCTTAAACAACAAAAACAAAAACTTGGCATGTACCTGAGCCCTGCATTTTGTAAGTATTAGAAAATCAGTGTATCACTTCTTAACTGACAAGTACCAGGATAAGGAAATTGCTGAGCACTACTGAAAATACCTCTAAGGGAATGCTCATAGGACAAGTTTCTATTTTATTTTATCGGTAAAAATAAATGCTATATAACTATTTTTTTGTTCTTACCCTATAGTGACTTTCAGATCATGAACATTCATTCAAGGTTCTTCCTTCATACAGGTCAGGAGGGGTCAGTCATGCCTTGGAATAGACTATTCTTCCATTCCTAGCTTATGATGACAAAAGTTCCAATTTTAAATGAATGGAAGGAGTTCATTCTTAGTGTCATTTGCACCAAGTTCATAAGCTTATGAATCATATGGCCTGCAAAGATCCAAAAATCATTTTATAGACTTTCTCCCTGTGTGAGAGCTACAAATTTAAATGAGCTGTCATCTGACCACTTACATTGCAGTTTTAAATGGATTCAATAAGAATTAAAAAAATGGAACCCCAATTCAACAAATCCAGCACACTAGTGGAAGTCAGTGCAAGGACTCCCACAAGCATAATGTGTACCCCCTTCCCCCGCCTCTCCCAAATCCACTCTGGAGGGTCAGGATAACACATCAAATAGCATGTGGGTGGAGGAGAAGGGGGATTGTTTTATCCAACAAGCTGAAATGCTTGCTCTGACAGAATGAGCAGAAGAGCATGGCATTGAATTCTTTCCCTAGAGCAGATGTCCCCAAACTTTTACTATACAGTGAAACCTTGCTTCTTTAATGCCTTGGTATTCAAACATTTTGGCTCCTGAACACCAAAAACACAGAAGTACGTGTTTCGAACTTTTTTTGGAAATCGAACGTCTGGTGTGGCTGTCGGCTATTGTTTCTGGGGCGCCTGTGCCAGTTGGTAGCTGTGCCTTGGTTTTCTAACGTTTTGGCAGTTGGACAGACTTCCAGAATGGATTACGTTCGAGAACCAAGGTACCATTGTATTAGGTTTAAATTCATCCCCCTAAATACTGTGCACCAGGAGAAATGCATGAGAAAAGCTGCAAACAACCTTTTGGATTGAATATAGTATGGCAACAGCTGAGTCCCAACTTTGGAGAAAGGCAGGTTATAAATACATTTAATTAATTAACTGAATGATTACACAAGCAACCCAAGCAAGCATTTGGGGAAGTCAGTGGTGTGCTGCTTGTGAACAATTCTACATCTTTCGACTGATGTAGTGTAGTGACTTCAGTGGAAACATACTGTAAAATGGGCTCATATTCGTGTTCCTGAGAAATGGGCCAATGAATGACAGAAAAAGTTGGATTTATGGATAATACTTTGACCAAATGTATCCTTCCCATATGCCATCTGTATTGAAACAAATGGTAGTTTTACTGTTACCAAGGCCACAGCTCTTGGCTTGGGACAGTCTTTCTTCCAGTTCTGAACAGCTATCTTTGATTGTTCCTTGACTTGCTGTTATTGCTAAGATTCAAGGCAGGGACTGTTTAGTTGTGGCCCCATTCACCTAAAGAAATCTGGTTTAGCCTATCTTGGCTTCTATTTAGGAACCTCTGCAAGCCAAATCTATTTTGTCAGGTTTTTAGGCAACTGATATTTTGCTGCTCCTATTGATGGATGGCTTTACTGTAGATTTTTTTTTAAGTTACAAAAGCAAATCAGAAATATTTAGGAAGTGGTCAATAAAATGCAACTCAGTGTAACAGAGGGAACAATTTCTAATTTAATAGAAAAGCTCTGAACAAACCTCTGGATTTTGAGTCCACATTTTGATGCTAAGCATTTCTAGCTCTCTGCTGCAATCTCAAATCAATTTTATCATGATGACATAACTAATTCTTTACACATGCTGAAATTGTATAAGGGAAAGAAAAAGTGGTTTGAGATTGCCCTAGATTGTTGAAATGAGATAGGAAATGATGTTTTCTATGTAGGCCAGCCTATTTCTATTATTCATTTTCAAACACAAAGTGTATCCTACCAACCCTGCTTTCATACTTCTATGGAGGCCACTTACACATCGGTGAAAGGGAAGGAGACATAAAAGTTGCATCATCTCAGTATAGTGAAGAAGACTGTGACCTATGGAATTATGGAACTTGCTCCTGCAAGAGGCAGTGAGAGCAACCAATTGTGGTGTCTTTAAAAGATGATTAAGCAAATTATTGTAGGACAAGGCTATCAATTGCTACCAGTCATGATATCTGTGTATATGGGGAACTGACATTTGGACTAGAAACTGATTTACTTCCTCCACCTGTGAGTCAATTTGGTTCAAAAGGTTTTTTACAGAGATCCTCTCTGAAGTCAGTTTGCAGCATGATTTGAATCCAAACTGTTCCTGGAAATGGATAAACCTAGGCTAAAAGTGTGAAAGATCAAATGTTAAAAAAACAACACCTGGGACAGTTTTGGAGAATCAAGGTTCTACTCTGCCTGAAAGCCCTGAAAAATTCAATATTGTGCCAAAGGTTAAAAATAAATAAATGATTGCCCTTTTGCATGAACATGAACAGTGATATTTGCACAAAGAATACCTGATTAAGAGAACAATTCCCAAGATGAGGGAAAAAACACTTTCTACAACAGTTTTTCCCGTTTGTTCAGTTTCGCAGCCTGTCTTGCATCCTCTCCTCTGCACTTCTCTGCCTTCTTCAGACTTCAAGTCAAAGCTGCAATCTGGAGAACTCTGGCTGTGTAACTAAATGAACTTGGTTCATTACCGTTCAGATCAATCAGCAGTCTCCTTTGTTTCTTTTGCGGTACAAACCCAGTGCTTGATTTAAGCTATAAATAACATGAGGTGTTAACTCATGGAGGGTTTAACCGCAAAGAATAAATTATTAAAGACATTTGTGGCTATCAGAAGTTGGTTTCGATGGCTTCTGTTTACATCCTAGGAGAGCAATAACAGAAGACATCACACATGACAGGATAACTGAAATGAGAAAACATTAGCTTAATATGTCTGGTTCGTATTTAAAGCTATTGCATTTTCACATGCTCCCACCTTCCAGAGCCGTGAGAAGTTTTAGGGGAAGCGCTACCTGAGTTTTGGCTTTCTTAAGGAGAGGAGACACTGGAGACTCACAGCACATTTGTAATATTTGGTTTATTCACCAGTATGCAAGTATTAGTAGAGGCAAATTGCATCTGCACTTTTACTAAGCAGCAGGTCAATCAGATATAGAGAGCAATTGTATACCCCACTCCTTTCTTGGAATCATCAGCTCACAGTGCTTCCTTACTCGCTCCTTGTTCTCTGAATACTTCAGCCGAATTTTAGAGCATACCAAAATTCAAGCAGATCATGTTGCTCAAACAAGTCTCAAATGAAGCAGGGAATCCTCTCATGTGTTCCTTCCTGTCCAGAAGGATCCAGTGACTGGCATGGGTGGGTGAAGTCAATCTAGGGCCCAAGAGTATTTCACTGCTTAGGCAGATGTTGCAACTTCCATCTTGCAGTTCAGTGGCTCACCGCATGAGGGAGCTGCCCTGGTTGGAGCCCCAGCAGCTCCCAACAACTCTGTTTATATCCCACTCTTCATCCAAGTTGCTCTGGGCAGGATACGATAAGCCCTTCCAAGGATACTTACAACACCTCTGTGGGGTTGGTTAGGATGAGAGATAGCGGCTGTGTCAGAGGCACCAACTTCTAAGGGAGAAAGCGGTGGCTGACATCGGTGTGACTGTTAGAATTCCTGCTCCATGATTGCAGTCATGGGATTTTTGTCTATCACATGACGGTATATGTTTTGACTCCACGGTATATGTTTTGAGTGGGAAGTGACGGAGACAGGATGTTTGTGTTACTGTGTTCCGTGAAGTGGGACTATTGTCCTTTGTTCTTTTTCTCTTTGCTGTCTGATGCTAGAGAGAGAGGGAGCCATGTTGCAGTGCTCCGTGTGTGTTTATATGTAAATAAAGTAGATTAGCCAAAATGCTGAGTTGAGTTGCTGAGGTCTGTTATGCAAGCTGCAAAGACTCTGTGGATCCCTAAGTGTGCCAGTGTCTGTTGCCATCGGTCGCTGTGATGTTCGGGCAGAAGAAAGAAGCTCCTGAACAATCGACCAGGAGGGAGAGAACACACCAGTCAGGCATGTGTCTCTGCTATTGTAGGATGAGCTCGAGTGTAGGATGAGCTCCTAACAGTGACAGGAGCCAGGGAGTTGAGCAGCGCAGCTTCAATGGCTGGTGAATGCTACTTCTCCTGTCGCCGCCACTGGCTGGGGGCTGCTTCCCTGCTTCTTCCTCTCCATGGTAAGAAGCCACACTGTACTTGGCTCTGCGATTGGCCTCCTCTGCCTGCTTTGAACATCCTCCCAAAATATTGGGGTCCCTAAAAGGTCTCAGCCCCTAGGAGTTCAGCTCCCCATGGCTGTGTATAGATCGCCACCTTTGAACAAAGCTAGATTGTTCTTTTCCTCAATTCGGATCAAAGCTGCTTTGGGGGAAAATGCATCAAAACTCAGTAATTCATAAGAAATGACAGGGTAGATGTGGATTTTACTAATATCTTGTATATGCTGCTTCCCAAACCAGCAGCAGAAATGCAATGGCTGCACAGTAAACAGAAATATGTAAGCATTGCATTCCTGCTGCTGGTTTGGGAAATGATGGCGTTTTTATTGCTTCCTTTGTTTCTTATATTATAGTACTGTTTGAATTATAAGCAAGGTTAATTGTAAAGATGAAAAAGAAAGGAAAGGGGCGGGGGGGGAATACAGTTGGAAAGCCTACAGCATATAGCACACATATTACGATTGCTACAGCAGGATCTACAAAAACCAATCAGCAATGTTTAAATCATCCATGGTTAAACAAAGTTGGGAGCCACTGCATGAAAACGTAAATGGAGCCCTGCTGGAGTAGACCAAAGGCCTATCTAGTCCAGTGTCCTGTTTCCTACAGTGGCCAGTCTATGGGAAACCCACAATGCAGTAGTCATCTCCCAAAGTTGTTCCCCAGGAACTAGTGTTTAAAGGCAGGGCATTTCCAATACTGGAGAGAGTACGCAGCCCAGTAGCAGCCAGTGGGGAGGGGTGGGGCACGGTGGCATTGCTTACGTGGTTTCCTAATGCAGTGCTCACTTCCAGAAACCAAAATGGAGAGAGGTGAAGCAGTGGGGGTTTCAGGGTGGGTAGTGGATTGGCTATGCCACTGCAACCGCTGCTCTGACATCTTCACCCTTATCTGCCTCCCTTCACATTGGGAAGCTAGGTAACACAATACTGTGTTTTCCTCATCAGGAATTGCCACAGCCAGTTGATAATTCTGATAATTCCTGCACCTTTCCCAGTTCTACAGTATCCCTTTTGAGATGTGGCAACCAGAGCTGTATGTTGTATTGTCAATTTCGTCTTCAATTCATTTCCCAATGATACCCTAGGCTTGAAATTTGCCCCTCCGCCTTAACAGTATCTCAGAGAAGTTGCAATTTCTTGAAGTGGTGAAAACTAGTTGATATCGTGGTTGCTCTGAAATTTTTAACCTCTGCTTTGATGTGAAATTAGCAGGTACTAAATTCAATAGCAATCAAATCCCTAAGTGTCATTTTAAAATTTCAACAGAATGGTATTGACAGGTCAGGAACAGGGAAAAATAGTACCATTACTATCCTCCAATTTGATCAAGAGCATCTTGAAGTCAAATTACAGTCTTTGTAAATTAAGTCTTGTGAAGATTTGGTTCATTTCGTTGTAACTGAAGGGTCCTGTGCTTGTTCTATGTTTTTTGCCAGTACTTTGCCCTGATTGTACAAAATATAGCTTCCAAAGCAATACAGCCTTGACAAGTCAGATTACATAAAAAGTGGCACCAAGTCCCTCTGATCAAAGCAACAAACAACAATCATTTTCACTCTGATCCATAAAAGGGAAATGTTTTCTCCCTTTTTCTAAGGCATTCCCAGTTATGCATCCTTAATGTATAACATGTATGTTAGATTATATCAACATTAGGTGTGGTTGCTTATATTGCTTCTACTGCTGGGCCCTAAATGTGTGAATTCAATTGGGGTTTGGGCCTGGTTTTGGCACAGAAACTGCTTTGGTCACCCTGTATGATGACCTCTGTCGAGAGAGACACACAAGGGAAACATGTCCCTGACAATTCTCCTCGACCTCTCAGCGGCTTTCGATACCATCGACCATGGTATCCTTCTGGAGCAACTGTCTGAACTAGGGGTGGGTGGCATCGCTTTGCAGTAGTTCCAGTCCTACTCGGATGGTCATTCCCAGAGGGTGTTGCTTGGGGAAAGCTTTTCAGCCCTATGGAAGCTTCAATGTGTTTAACAGCTACATGAAATCACTGGTTGGGGTCATCCGGAGGTTTGGAGTACATTGTCAGCAGAATGCTGATGACACTCAGCTCTATTTCTTCTTATACCTGCAGGTGAGGCAGTAGAAGTGCTGGACCAGTGTCTTGCCTCGGTAATGGACTGGATGAGAGCCAACAAACTGAAGCTCTGTCCAGATAAGACTGAGGCACTGTTAGTGGGTGGTTCCCTAGACAGGGTGGGTGGGAGATCGCCTGCTTTTGATGGGGTTACACTTGGGAGTACTCCTGGATCCCTTACTGTCGCTTAAGGCTCAGGTGGCCTCAGTGGCACTAAGTGCCTTTAATCAGCTTCAGCTGGTGGCCCAGCTACACCCCTATCTGAATTCAGCTAGTGCAGAATTCAGCAGCCAGGTTGCTCACTTGAGCAAGATGGTTTGAGCATATTACACCGATCCTGTTCCGACTGCACTGGTACCAATTAGTTTCCAGTTCAACACTTTCCAATTCAAAGTGTTGGTTTTGACCTATAAAGCCTTAAGCGGCTCAGGACCACAATACCTCAAGGATCGCCTTTTTCCATATGAACCTACCCAGACCCTGAGATCATCTTCTGAGTCCCTTTTTCATCTGCCTCCTCCTTGAGAGGTCTGGAGGGTGGCAACACAAGAACGGGCCTTTTCTGCAGTGGCTCCCCATCTGTGGAATGCTCTCCGAAGGGAAGTTCGCCTGGCACCTTCATTATACACCTTTAGGTGCCAGGCAAAAATGTTCCTTTTTAAATAGGCCTTTGGTTGATTTGATTGACATCCTATGCCCTTTTAAAATGTGTGGGGGTTTTTGGGAGGGCTTATTGGGTTGTTTTTATTTTGATTATGTATTTTGTGGTTTTATATTCTGATTTTATTCTGTGAACTGCCCTGAGACCTGTGGGTATGGGACAGTATATAAATTCAATTAATAATAATAATAATGTAAGTTCCACAAAGATTAAGATTATGAATATGAATATTTTAGACTGCAGTATTTACTGTAACAAAGACAGAAATATCTATGATAGCAGTCTTTAGTGCAATAAAAGACAGAAATATTGGAATTGTGTTAAAGCACAAAGAGGGGGGGGACTCTTCTGATGGGTTTTGCAGATACAATTGGTTAATGGGGATGAGACTTAAATTCTCCCACACTAGCACATGAATCCCAGTGTTTTCCCTCTTTCCTCTTCCTTGTTTAAATCGTCAGCTTGGACATTATTCCTTATGTTAAAATAATCCTATCACAGTATGCCTTGGCTACTGGTGCAATCTGCTCGTGGCATTAACATAAACTTTCAATCTTGTTATGTATGGAGGATATCAGGACAGGTGCTGGGCTAAACAGGACAGGTGCTGGGCTGTATTGCATAACAGGACAGGTGCTGTAGTTTTGTATTGCATATACAAGCTTCAGGTTCATATGCTCCCCTTTCCCTTCCCATTCTTTGGTGTGGCCTTTAGGACAAGATTAGAAGCAAAAGCTTTCAACTAACCACAGAATTTGTTTGCCTGAACTGTAAACTGTGGTTAGTGTCAACTATGTTTCATGGCAAGCAGGGAGAGCATTGCTGGATCTCAGAACTGTTCCAGCTCACGATCTTCATTAGCTTTGCTCTGTGCCCTCCTTGAATGCATTTGCCAGTCTGGAATGTGCCTTGATACTTTACCTTGATGGAGGATGAAAGATTTTGTGGGATTGTGGTAGTTAGGAATCAGTGACTTTTGTGTGGCTGAACTATCGCCTATGGTAAGAGTCATATCCTTTGCCCCATCATCCATATTTGCCATATTCACTGACCACTGACATGTGGCCCCAGGAAGGGTGTATGTGAGGGAATGTGGCCCTTGCATTGAAAAAAGTTACCCATCCCTGGATTAGAGGAACAAAGCAGGATCACTAACCATTGTTTGAATGCCAACCAAGGTTTGGACATAATGAGTAACTGGAGTTAGTTGAAAACAGATGTGAAAGGCTTCGATCCGCTTGCAGCTGTGATACAGTTTAAGCAGGGATCGGGAGGGGGAGTGTGATCCTAAGTCTTGTTAAGACTCTGACTGTGGTTTAGTGTTGCATCCATATGCAGTCACTTTCAAGCTCTACAATTCTATAAATGTAGGAAAGAAACAGAGATAGCAAAGTCATAGCTGTAAATCGAGCTGCACATAATCAGGTATTATTGTTATTATTATTTGAGGTAGGTAGCCGTGTTGGTCTGACGCAATAGAAATATATATATAAAAATAAAAAATTTGTCCAGTGGCACCTTAGAGACCAGATTCTTGCGTGCACACAAAAGCTCATATCAAGAACAAACTTAGTTGGTCTCTAAGGTGCTACTGGACACACACACACACATATATTTACCCCACCCAGCTGGCTGTGTCTCCCCAGCCACTATAGGCAGCTCCCAGCAGAATATTAATAATAATGATAAAAAAGTGATATAACATCACTCATTAAAGCGCAGTAGAGGTTCATATTGGACTATCCTAGGACTAATTTCTGTGTTTTGAAAATTGGTAAAATATGCCTTAATTAAAGATTGATACAGTAGAGTATTAAGAAGAAAGGCCAAGGTCTTCAGGGTAAAATGCAGGGAGTCCTGAAACAGAGTATTATAATTATCAGCAATGAAAAACGCTAGGTTATTTATCTAATCATATTAGCGATACAGAGCTACAGTTTCCACATACTTATAAGCATCGGTCAGTTTTGTATTACTTGCAACCTCACAAGGAAAGGAAAGGTCTAGGCATTGTCAGCCAGACAATTAAGAATTGTACTCAATGTACAGTGGTGGTCAGAGAAGTTAATAAGATACAAGGCTGAATTAAGAAAGAACAATTCAAAGTGTGAAAAAGATAACATGAGAGCAATTATGCACACTGATATATTATTATCACTTTTAATATTTCATATTTTCAACATCTGATCTGGAAAAGCCAAAAGCCAAAAAGAAACAGAAAGATCCAAAGAAGCTCAAATAAACTAATTTGTTCCGGATAGAGGGAAGTGAAAAGATGAACAAATTGGAAATCATACAGAAGCAATATAATATGGGGTGAGAATAGGGTGGGTGCTTAGCTCAAATGAAAAGAGCTTGTGAAAAGAAGGCAGAGAATAATTGGTCACTATCCCCTTTGTGGATAATAAATGCAACAATAGGATTACATTACAGAACATAGATTTATCTTCATCATTAGGAAAGCAATGCTGCACAGCAGAATTTCTTCAGCGAGATAAACTGCCAAGTAATCTATTTGCTGGATGATTTTGAAGGATAGGTGCAGACTTTTGTTCTCCAGGAATGACTTAGGAATAATGTTGTGATTTAAAAATGTCTTAAATTTGTCAGTTCTTTATTGAATTTCTAAAAGTCTGGATAAGTTGATCAGCTCCAGCTGTCCCACGGAGGACTCTTGTTTTGTGGAAAGAAGCCAGACTTTGGAAACACAAGCTGGATTATGTTTCATAAGCAGAGGAGGAACCAAGAGGGCTGGCCTGCCCATAAGGTGGGCTAAGGTAGTGCTTCAGATGGCAGAAACCTAGGAGGCAGTGCCACTGTGGGTGCCCCGCTCACCTCTCTACCTCCCCTGCTGGTAGAGAAGCAGCTCTGGCTTCCAGTGAGATCTCACCAAGCTCTGCAAGATCTTGCAAGTTCACACTGGAATCGTCACTAACACCATTGCTTTGTGGGTGCTTCAGTAAGAGTGAGGTGGTGGGGGCAGCAAGTTGGTGGGGGCACGTTCCTTCCTCATCTCAGGTGGTGAAGCAGGACACGCCGCCCCGGGAACCAGCACCATTTTCTTTGAGAAATGTTTATTGGAATATTTTGAAATATCTGCCATTTCAGAAAACATTAATCCAAATCATGAAATGTTGATTCTTTCACCAGAAAAATATTAATAATTTTATTCATTCATTCATTGATTGCTTGTGATTTGTTGATAACTACAATTATTTTCTCCTCTCTTTTATTCCATCCCTAGGAATTCTTTCATAGACATTTTACGGGCTATTCTGCTGTCCTTAGAAGTTCTCATTGAAGACCAAGAGCTTCAGATAAATGGCTTCGTTCTAATTATAGACTGGAGTAATTTCTCCTTCAAGCAAGCTTCCAAATTAACACCTTCTATCCTCAAACTGGCCATTGAAGGGTTACAGGTATGTGGAATGGGGATATTGTGTACACAATGCCCTGTGAATAATGTAGGGTCAGGGTGGGTACCAGGAGCTGGTCAGTAATAACACACACGGTGTCAGTGAAGTTGACTCCTTATTCAAAGAAACAAGCAGCTCAGGTGGACAGGCCTAGTGAACAAGGCAACTCTTCCCAGTAGATCTTGCCCCAATGAGGCAGTTGGGAGGACTGAAGGTCCCCACCTTTCCACAGTTGCCTAAGCCTCCTCCTTCCCCAGGTCCTTTCCAAGCAATCTGAGACTCCAACAATGTCTCTGCTCCATCCTCTTCATACCTCTACTGATCCTGGGAGACCAAGGGGTGGGGGATCTGGTTGCAGCAGACAGGGAGACCCCTGGCTTCTTCAACAGCCTGTCTGATCCCTGCCCCTTGGCCCCACCCCTCCTCTCCACCCTCTGCTTCTGCCTTTGATTCTGGACTGCTCTCTGCCATAGCCACTTCCTGCTCACTAAACCCTGTTAAGTCTTCAGCTTCCAAAACTTCCTCCTCTCACCTCTGCTCCCACCTCTGCTCCCTCTTCTCTCTCTGAACACTCAGCTCATCCCACCACCACTCCCCAGGCTCTGAGCCTTCCCCTGAGGGTTCCCTTGCCAGTCAATGACATGTGGGTATGCTGATTGCCGGAGGCGTACTGTGTTTTATATAGCATGGAGAGAGGAAGGAAAAATCAGTAAGAAAAGAATAATCATTTGAGTAAATGAGCTTTAAGCCAGTCAGAATTTCAAATGTTTGTTTATTGCTTTCATTTAAATGGTGAGCTATTCTTACCACAGGCCTGTCCTACTTACTGCAGCAATTAAGAATAATGTTTAGAGATTTGTGATTTAATCCACATGATACTTCCTGGAGATTAAAAACTTGCAACATCTGCCTGATGAAACACATGCCAAGCACATGCAGGGCCTATGCATATGTACTGAATGTGGATTAATAAGCCCCCAGAGACACAGCTGAGCACCAGAGACTTTGCCTGCATAGCCAAAAGCCCAGTTGTGTGTGTGTTTGTGTGTTAGTTAATACAGGCTATTAAAATCGAGCAGAATAGGGTATGTTGCTAATGTCTGAAGCGGGAGATTTATGGGCAAACTGAAAATTCTGGGAATAGATCTTGTGGTTTATACCTTACCTCAGGTTTGATCTCTAAAATGGGTTCCACTACTGTATTTATTTGTTTTTTGTAGGCAATTTCTCTCAGTGTGGAATTTAAGTTTGAATGTGTACATTTGCTTCTGAATAGGCATGAATAGAAATGTTCTGTAAGTTTTCCAGAGCAAAGTATGACCCAATGAGCTCTGCTCACCCACGGGGATGGTGATAATAATAATAATAATAATAATAATAATAACAATAATAATAATAATTTTATTGATTTATAACCTGCCTATTTGGCTGGGTTTCCCCAGCTACTTAAACAGAATATTAAAAACACTTTAAAACAACATTAAAAACTTCCCTAAACAGAGTTGCCTTCAGATGTCTTCTAAAAGTCAGATAGTTGTTTATTTCCTTGACATCTGATGGCAGGGCATTTCACAGGGCAGGCACCACTACCGAGAAGGCCCTCTGCCTGGTTCACTGTAGCCTCATTTCTCGCAGTGAGGGAACAGGCATAAGGCCCTGGACCTCAGTGTCCAAGCTGAACGATGGGGGTGAAGATGCTCCTTCAGGTATATTGGGCTAAGGCTGTTTAGGGCTTTAAAGCTCAGCACCCATTGCCCTCCAGATATTGTTGAACTCCAGCTCCCATCAGGCGCAAAGAACATGACCAGGAATGATGGGAGTTGTAGACCAAATAGCTTGAAGGGCACCTCTGATGTAGAGCTATCTACTCAGCCTGGGAACAAAGACTAAATTGCAGGATTGATTGTATTTTGGAATGTGGATGCCTTTCAAGCGCCAAGAAACGTCAGCAAGGCCTAAGGAAGTGAAGCCCACCAGATCCTCTCCTGTGTATAGTGTAAACAGTTACTTTTATGTACTTATTTCCTAAATTTTGTACACTGCTTGATTGTAAAAACCCGCTTACAAAAAGAATAAAACAGTAAAATTACTGGCAAAAACAACCATTTGTAATATTTGAAAAGATTAAAATCAGCTATAAGCTGACAGCAGATTAAAACACACATCAGCATTCTACATATCTGGGTAGGCTTGTTTAAACAAAAAATTAATAAATGTTTTTAGCAGGCACCAAAAAGAGGGCAGTGAAGGCACCTGCTAAATGTCAATAGGAAGGAAGTTCCAAAGTGTATGCCAACCCCACTACCCATAGAGGTGATATTTGGTTCAAGATGCATGTTAATGTGAACTTAGGCAATGCACACTTCCTGAAATGTAGCCATCCTCCAAAATGCACACTACTTTGAATTCTGCAGTGTTCTTCAAGCCCAAAATATGCATGTAAATGCATATATTAGGGGGAAATGTGCTTAAAAATGGATATACTAGTAGAAAATGACATATACAAATGCACTATATTATGGAAGATTGCTTGGGGGGAGAACTGGTATACTGGGCATTAAAACGTTGCAGAAATATGTTGTATTTCCAAAAATGTAAACTGATCCAGAAGTGTTGCAAACTGAACTTGGCATTAGAAAAACGAGCTAATGAGAAAACAAAGCTAACATATTTGTCCACCCCTAACTGTTTGCAATGCTTGTATTGAGCTTTGACGATAACTCAAGATGTAATAGCAAGCGATGGGTTTAAATTTATTATTACAACCTCTCTTGGCTTCAGACAATGGAATAGCTAAGACTCTGCTTTATTGGTTAAGTGCTCTCACATCATAATAGGCAATTACCTGGAAGTGCTACTATTTAAGACCTTTACACTAAGAAATTCACTTTCTTTTGATGTTTAGAATTCCATGTCTCCAGAATAACTTCTCCTAGCTGGTTACAGAAGTCAACAAAATGCTTATTTATTCATTACATTTTCAACTATTTATAGGCAGTCCCATAACAGGAAATCCTCTCAGGGTTTTATTACAAAATAAAACAAGAAAATTATTAAAGGCCACAGTAGACAAAATGTAGGGAATAAGAAGACACCAATTAGGATCAAAGCAGATAAATTCAAAGCAGAGAGTCAATGACTAAAATCTACAGGCCGTAAACAATAATAACAGCCACAATTTAAATTAAAATGGAGAACAAAAAGGGTTTTCCCGGTGCCAAAAAGGCATCAGAGTAGATGCCAGACAAGGCTCTCAGGCGATCCCAGTGGGGTGTCATCACGGCTCTCCCCCCCCCCCACGCTGGGCCCCATGCCCCCGGGACACACGCCAGCCCCGCCCTCGCCTGCTCTCCACCCCCCCCCCCCTGGTGCCGGAGAATGAAGCTCTGCCACTGGAGATGGCATTCCACAAATGGGAGCCACTACTGAAAAGGTCCTTTTGCTCATAGCCACCAAGGGCCATAGATGATTATGTCAAGCTACAGATGTGAAGTGGTGATTCTTCAGGTACTGAGGTCCCAACAAGGAAGGGCTTTCAAGGGGAAAAGACCGAACAGCACTTTTAATTGGGCCTGTAAATGAACTGGTAGTCAGTGAAGATGGCAAAATACTGGCATAATATGTTTATACCAGTTTGCATCCATGTTCTGCCCTAACTGAAATTTCTGGACTATTTTCAAATGCAACTGCATGTGCAATGGGTTGTGAGAGGCATAGTTCACTGTCAAGTTAGGTAGTAGCTGGCCTTCCAAACTAGGCTGGTAGAATGCAATTCAAGCCACAGAGGTCACTTGTGTCTCCACTGGCAAAGATGGGTCATTAAGTACCCTCAGATTACGAACCTAACTAATCCTTTAGGTGGAGTGCATCCCCTCCAGAACAGGATTTATTTGTTTTATTTATTAACTTTATATACAGTGGTACCTCAGGTTACATACACTTCAGGTTACATACGCTTCAGGTTACATACGCTTCAGGTTACAGACTCTGCTAACCCAGAAATAGTGCTTCAGATTAAGAACTTTGCTTCAGGATGAGAACAGAAATCGTGCTCCGGCGGCGCGGCAGCAGCGGGAGGCCCCATTAGCTAAAGTGGTGCTTCAGGTTAAGAACAGTTTCAGGTTAAGTACGGACCTCCGGAACAAATTAAGTACTTAACCTGAGGTACCACTGTACTGCCCTTCTTCTGAACATCTCAGGAAGGTTTGTAAGATAAAAATACAGGATAAATAAATAGATAGAACAAACGCAAAATGAAACAATAACCCCCCCTCCCACAAACACATTTAAAAGGCCATAGAATATTAAATAGCCAAAGGCCTGGTTGAACACCATTCATCTAGGCAGATAAACCTCCCATTAACACTACCTCATTCTTGCTTGGACTGAGCTTCAGGTTTGGGGCCCTCATCGAATCTATTACTGCAGCTAGTAAAAGACTAGCATTTCCACTTCCCCAACTGGCTTTGATGAAAAAGAGAAATTGAGTTTGGTGGCATCCACATACCACTAATATCACACACCAAATCTGGATCATTCCATTCCGTGTTCAACATAGCTACAGTGGTACTTCAGGTTAAGTACTTAATTCGTTCCAGAGGTCCGTTCTTAACCTGAAACTGTTCTTAACCTGAAGCACCACTTTAGCCAATGGGGCCTCCTGCTGCCACCGCGCTGCCGGAGCACAATTTCTGTTCTCATCCTGAAGAAAAGTTCTTAACCCGAGGTACTATTTCTGGGTTAGCGGAGTCTGTAACCTGAAGCGTATGTAACCTGAAGCGTATGTAACCCGAGGTACCACTGTACTAGGAATGACATACACACTAGACAGGATCAGGCCATTCTCTGAATGGAGAGATGTAGAAGGACTGGTACTGAGAAACCTTTTCACAAATGATCTACAGTTTGGAGTGAGCAGTGAGGTTGCCAAGTTTGCTGATGGTACTAAATTGTTCAGGGTAATTGAAACAAAAAGAGATTGTGTGACGAGCTCCAAAAGGACCCCTGAGTGAATGGTTGGCAAAATGGCAAATGCAATTCAATGTACTGTTTAAGGAGAGGCAGTTCCAAAGGATGGGTGCCACCACACAAAAGGCTTGATTCTTACATTATGTAAAATGGACTTCCTGATAGTATCTGAAGGAAGCCCTCAGCCGTGCTGTATAAAAGGAGTGAGATAATCTTTTAGGTATTGGAATGTGGCCATTTGGTCCTCCCTGCTCTTGTTTCTGGAATATAACATGCCTATGTCTTTTTAAAAAAAGCTGGCTGTGTTCAGAGAATTCTATACATTTCAGATGTTCCATATGAACCTCACATTACTAGGTTCATTATCAGGTTCATTATCACATTACTAGGTTCATTGGTTGGCTGGTTTGAAAGCAAAATATTTGAAACTACTATCAGACAAATATATCTAATCAGTCACAATGTTGCTCATTGCAATCCATTTCTCTGCCTACAGCAGGGGTCAGCAAACTTTTTCAGCAGGAGGCCGATCCGCTGTCCCTCAGACTTTGGGGGGGGGGGCGGACTATATTTTTTTTTGGGGGGGGAGAACGAATTCCTATGCCCCACAAATAACCCAGAGATGCATTTTAAATAAAAGCACACATTCTACTCATGTAAAAGCACGCTGATTCCTGGACCATCCATGGGCCAGATTTAGAAGGTGATTGGGCCGTATCCAGCCCCCAGGCCTTAGTTTGCCTACCCATGGCCTACAGAGTCCATTCTATACAGATATATATCTTTTGCATGCATAAGTTTCAAGAAGATATCCTAAGTATTTGGAAGTATTTGTTTGCTATGTCAGCATTGTTTCAAAGCATTTATGAAGCCAGTTGTATTGAAGAGCTAAACTAGAAACTAGTTAAAGCTATTGTGGAGAGTGTTGTGGTACCAGCTGAAACAAGGTCAGTTTGACATATTCCCCAGACACTTGAGCCGTCTGTTTCCAGCAGCTGTTGTGTTGTAAGGTAGAGTGGAGCTCTCTCTGAGCTGTCAGTCAAAGTGACCTTTGAAAGGAAACTAAGGATCTACTCTTTATGTAGAGAATAAAGGAGTAGGAACAGACTTTGTTTTCGCCAAGAGAAGGTCCATGTTGGTTATCCATCTGCCATTGCATGGAACCAAGATGAAACGAAGAAAAAAAGAAAAGATTTCAGACAATAGATTCACTTTTGTTCCTTGGAGATTGGGGCAGACTACTTAGAAAATTTGCACACACTCTCAAACACACAGCCCTGATCCTAGGCTGAATATGTGTAGAACATAATTCAGGATCACAAATTTAATTGCTGAATTTTAACAAAATTCTACCCCTCCTCTTTCCCCAGCTTAGGTGCTTACTACCGCTTGGCAAATTAGTGGACACCAACAGTAACTCTGCTGCTGGCTCCTTTACTTGAGAAAGCACATGCACACCATTTGAATGGCAATGCCCATTGGGGGGGAAACCCCCCAAAATATTTTATTGGGGGTGGCAGAGGGACCTCAGAAGCTCCTATGCTTCTGAGGAAGTCCATTCAAACAGTTTTTCCTGTGAAAAGGTTTTTCCTGATGTTTATATGGTCAAACTTTCATTTTCCTCTTTCCTACTTTATCACTTTCTTCCAAAGCTGTATTTGAAAATGCCCATTGGCACAATTGTATAGAATTATACAAGAGAACTGTTAATATAAAAGAATAAATGGTTTAATGAAGCCCAATTCAGATTAATACCTGTGGTCTAACCTGATTAGCTTATTACATCAATCTAATGCTTCCAGTCTATTAGAAATGCTGTATGAATATTAATGAGAGTCCTGAGGTCTTTGAACAGAAAGAACAACATTTTTTTTTGCACTTTCAAGAATCAGAAAGGTATGATTTGGTTACTTTTGCAAGGGCATTTGTTAACAATATCAATAAACCTGCAAAAATCAGAGGTCATTTTCAAGCTTGCAACTCTACCATTTGGAGGTGAATCTCAGCATTAATTTGTAACATGCATGTTTACAGGGAGTCGACTCTGGAAAATGGCTGGAGTGCATCTTTGGGGACAGCCTTCATGTCAAAAATAAAAATGCTTACACATGAAAGTGTGTTGCTGATATCAGGCACACACTTAACTCATTCAATGTCAAATCCCATAAAAATATTAAGTGCTATTTTTCTAGGTAAGGAGGTGCTGGAAACTCACTGTGAACACCCTCCCTTGTTCTCTTATAATGGTAATGGCACCCCCCCCCCGAGAGGTGCTGGAACTGAGTCCCTGCAAGTTCTGGCTGAAAAAAGCCCTGAAAATATCCAGACCTGAGCTTATGATCCCCTTTGAGCAACTTGTGTGTTTGTAGCACAGACATTTATTTTAAACAGGATGCAGATTTGGCATCTGTACTGGGATCCACAGAAGCCCTGGAGGAAAGCTACAACTCCCAAGGGTATGTGGCACCCTTGATGTTCCAGGCACCCAAAAGGAGAGGAATCTTCTTTCTTCCTGCAGCAACAACCATCAAGTAAATATATTGTTACACACCACACCAATCTCCACAGAGCAGTACATGAGACTTCAGGGGTTCCTGGTGCTCACTCAGGGTTTGTGTTTTCTTCAGAAAACCAGGCACAACAGAGACTGTAGTGTCTTTAAGATATATGGTTTTATTTACACGTATATACAACGTGAACCTCAGCACCCCAAAACACACCAGCTTATTCCATAGTAGCAGCATCAGAATCCTTTGCTCTGCTGAGCACATCCAATATTCGTCATACGCAGACTAGACCTGTTGAATTGAATGAACATGATTATCATAGGTCCATTGATTTCAGTGGGTGTCTTTTGAGTAAAACTTAGTTGCATACAGTCCAGTCCTTTTGAATGTGCAAATTGTTGGGATTCACAGGATGCTGTGTAAGAAAGTCTGCAGGCTTCAGTTTGCCAGTGGATGCAACAGGCTGATGCAACACTTTATGTGAAGGTGCTGGGTCAGAATGACTCAGCAGTAATGTGCTGGCAGTTGATTGGCTGTCATCTGTTTAAAAGGGAAGCCTGTCCAATAGTGGTGGTGGTGGTGTAGATGAGTGTGGAGTCTTCTTTTGCCTCAAGGTGCAGCCAGGTACTCTGTCTGATTATATGAACTGCTTCTGTAGATATTTGTATATATATATTTAGCTCACAATAATGAATACTGCACTAAAGAACCTGGGACTCTGAGCATTCTGCTAAAAGCGCCGCGAGGAATTTGCAACACAAATATGAAATGAATACATTGGGAGTCATGTGAACGCTATGCTGACTTTCTACTTGCTGGGAACTCTTGTTCCCCAAGGAAGCATTCAAAAGTGGCATATCCCATTTTACCACTTCACTTCATTCTGATACATATGTGGGCTCAGCTTTATGCTGCCAGATAAACGTTTTCAGGTGTAAGAGTGAACCATGCCTCCAATTTAAATTCTGGAAGTGGGGTGGTGGGGAACCCTGTGCTTGAGCTATAGGAAGTTTTGGAATCACTGTTTTGAAGAAGGCGTAAAAGTCTTGCATTTCTCACATGACACAAAATGAGCAGTCTTGCGAACACACCCTTTAAAGGCAAAAGCGTCATGGAGCAGAACGGTTCGTGCCACCATTTCTTTAAACCATCAGATTATGCAGATTTCCTCCTGTTGAAGTATTAAATATTAATAAGCTTCCTGTCAGGAGACAGCACTTGAAGGAAATTTATGGTAGTTTGCGTTGCCAAAGGCCCAGGAAAACATACTGTTTTGTGTGTTTTATTGCTGTACCTGTCACTTTCTCAACATAATATTTCAGTGCTTAAGTACTACTCTTAAGTGTTCCTTTCTAAAAGGATGACACCTTCCAAGGGCTTCTCTTTACGCATAAACTGTTGGGAGAGAGAGGACATTTGAATGTTGAAAATTTATAATTTTTAAATGACAAAGGGAAAATAAAGGTGCACACAAATTAAGATGATTTTTAAAAAATATAGCTCAGCCTACACCCCCTCATCAATGGCTGCTAATAATCTAATATTCTACAATGCTTGTGGAAACCATATGGCAAGCAGCCATTAGGGAGACCATCCCTGTCAAACCCACTCAGCCCAGGTCAGAGGAAAGTGTATCCTCATGGACCATGTTTTACTGATCCTAACAACTCAGTCAGTAGAGCATGAGGCTTTTAATCTGGGTCGTGGGTTTGAGCCCCACAATGGGCAAAAGATTCCTGCATTGCAGGGGGTTGGTATAGATGGCCCTCATGGTCTCTTCCAACTCTACAGTTCTGTGATTCTATGAAAGCCTCCTATATGTCTAATGAAATCTTCGCTTGAGTCAGAATTCCAGAATTTTGCTCCTGAGATGAGATGAAATGCTAATGGGATTTCTAATGCTAATGGGGTAGCAGACATTCGCATAACATTTTCCAAATGTCACTCCAATCAGTTTCCAGATTAGTCAACGTTATTGTCGTTGAATAAGAACAGCTTTGTGTTTTATGTTTGCTAAAGCTAAGGATTACACTGAAACTTCTTCAGGCCATAAGGCATTTGTTTCATTCACTCCTCCACTCCCTTGCAGCCTGGATTTCATTTCATGCCTGGCATATTTTAAACATTTCCCCATCCGTTGCCCAACAACTGACTTATATTATTGGAGAGCGAGGGGAGGGGAGCCTTTTATCAGCCTGAGGACCACATTCCCCTGTGGGCAGCCTTCCAGACATGGGTGTGGTGAGAGGCAAACATGGAGGGAACCTTTGTACAAGTGACAGCACCCAGGTGTTCAGATAGACAAGTTTGCACTAAATAGCCTTCAGAATAAGGCTGTCAGTGACTACTACTGATGACTAAATTATACCTCCATGGTCGGAGTTATCCTGATCATGGAGGTATAGTAGCCTCTGAATGCCAATGGCTGGCCTGGGGAACAATAGCATGAGAGCACCATTTCCCTTCTGTCTTGTTAGTGGGCTTCCTGGAGGCATCTGGTTGGCTGCTACAGGGTATAGGTTGCCGTGACTACATAAGCCTTTGATCTGAACCAGCAGGACATCACTGTGACCAGAATGCATCCTATTCAGTCTCACCAGATGCCTAGCCCTAACCTTGCTGAGGCCTTGACTTGTTTCCCACTTCGTTGAGGCTTTGATGTGTGGTGAAGAAAGGGTGCAACAAGAGAAAAGTCCAGTGCCTTCTCCCTCACAAATTGTCTATGTGCACTTGTAGTCTGCCTGCACACTCTGCCCTTGTGCATGCCACTGCTGCTACTTACATGCTCATGATCCACAGATGCTATGATTAAATTGAGGCCACATGGATCAAAGTCCTGAAGCAGAATTCCTAATAAAATTGGAAGATGGGATAAGACGACTGCGGCGGGAAAATGTTCACCTTCTTTTGACTGGGAGAACCATATTCATGAGCATGCCCTCTGTGCTGTTGGTTTCAAGAGTGGATTGAATTTTCCTTATAATTTATGAATGGGTGGCCACAGAATTGCTTAGCTCTGGCATTTGTTCTAAATGGATAATAGCTTCTTTTTACCATTGATCCAGCGAGGATAGATCTGTTTGCCACGGGACATTTGTTGTTCACAGTGTCCTTTCCCTTTGCTTTGAAGGTTAGTATGCGTCATACATGATAGGAATATGAAACTTCTGTATTTGATGGGCAAAAAGAAAGAAAGGCTAATAAGGGAAAATGTTCCTAAATCAGATTGAGGTAAAAGTGGATCTCCAAAATATTTATAATAAACGAATTATTGCATTTATAACCCACCTTTCCTCTCAGGAGCTCAGTGTGACATACATGGTTCTCCTGCTCCTTTTCCTTCCTCACAACAGTACCAGCAGTGACTGGCCCAAGATCTCCCAGTGAACTTCATGGCTGAGTGGGTGTGCTGTAGAATGGACATACAAAGTAAATAGCCTTAAGTAATTTAGTTCCTAAGGGAAATTGTGTGCTTTTAATGCTTAAAAGGAGGTAGTGAGGAAAACCTTTCTTCTTCTAAGTACCACTGGATCTTCTGAGGCACTCTGATCACCACTGAGGAAAATGAAGCTACAGTGCTCACTGCAGTAATAAAGTAGATATAAAAGAAAATTGTATATTAGATAGCCAAGTCATGCCCAGAATATTAGTTCTGTGGGAAATCACTAATGTCTTCAGTGGATATTTGTTTCTAGGACTCTAGACTATGACACTGGGTAAATTTGCGCATTTCTGTATAGAGTGGTACCTTGGTTTAAGAATAGCTTAGTTTATGAACAACTTGGATTAAGAACGCTGCAAACCCAGAAGTAGGTGTTTTGGTTTGTGAACTTTGCCTTGGAAGCAGAACATATTCTGCTTCCTGTTGAGTGCGTTCTATTTGTAAATTGAGTACCCCACTGCTATGGGAAAGCACGCCTTGGTTTAAGAACACTTTGGTTTAAGAATGGACTTCCGGAATGATTAAGTTCGTAAACCAAGGTACCACAGGGAAAAGCAGTATATTTGGAAGAAGAAGAAGAAGCAGCAATGTTAAAACAGGGCATATTCTTCGTTCTTAGGGTCCTAGTTTAATTGAGTTCACCCAGACTAGAAAGAGCTTGCTGGCTTCAGCTGTTGTACGGTTCACTGTAGTATCACTGCTGGATCTGACTCTGGTGGTCTCCCTGCCTGCACAATCCTCTCTTGCGGACTTCAGGCAATACAAGATCAGCCTTCAGTGTCATTTCCATTTCAATGGATGATTATTTTGTTCTTCCCAAGGCTGAAACAGAGTGTAGGTGGCATTTATAATATACTTTCTGGATGCTACATTTGTTTCCCTAGAGACAGAGCTCAAAAACAGAAACCAAAAAAAGGGTAAAGTTCTTCAAGAGCATTTGCTACTCTCTTTTCATCAAGATACTGTACAGGCAGTACATTAAAATGCTCTAATAATGCCACATTTCCCCACACAAAATAACAAGGCCTTCTCTTTATAAAGATGTACTTGAGAAGGGGTTGCAATGTGTGGGTGGCAAAGAGCAGCCTGCAATTGTTCTGCTGCGATGGCACCTTGAAAAGGAACTGCCCAAATGGTAGCGTAACCATAATTGTTTCTTCCTTCTCAAATAACTTTCGGATAAAATTGGTTCAATTTAAAGATAAAGCAATGGCTCCACAACAATACAAACTCTACTGCCGAAGCAGAAAATAGAAAGAAAATTGTGTCACACAAACAACAGGGTTGTTTGGTCCGTTATATTTAACATTAATAATCTGGCAGATAAGGGGCTTCCCCTTCATGCGAAGACAGGCTCAGATGGATTGAGCGGACAAGACCAGCAGTGGGTCCAAAGGTCAAGAAGGTGGTTTCTGAACATCCTGAAGAGGAAAGTGAGGGGCAGGTGGAAACCTGGAAAGATAGCCCATCTAGGAGAAGGAAAATTCTGCTGCATTGCAGGATATCTTCAGGAGAAGAAAAGGCTAAGAAATAAACCCCACACAGGTTTGGAGTGGAGTCCCTAAGGCAGTTGGATGGCATCTTGTATGCCTCTTTCTGGCAACTCCTGCAGCCATGCTGATGCTAATCATATTGCCCAACAAATAAAATGGTTTAAATGTCTGGTTTCAACCTGTCACTGAAAAGATTGCAGTGTTTGTAGGGACCAGTTTTATTTCTGTGGCAAGGATAGTTAATCTGATGCCTTCAATATGTTGTTTGACTCCAATCAGCCCCAACCAGCATGGTGATCGGACTTCTAGCCCAACACCTGAAAGGCCTCAGCTTTCCCCCACACTTGCTCTTTGGGAAAGGAAATTCCATAGCTACAAAATAAATGGGTATTAAAGCCACAACCAGTGAGATAATTTGCTAGTGGGAAGTGGTGGCAAGCTGAAAGGAAAGAAGAATTACCACCCTGATCTGTTCCTATTAGGAGGCAGTGATGGATGCCTGGTTTGTCTCAGTACCAAGCAAGCATGTACCAGTAATTGCTGACTTACCAGATTCCTCTTGCACAGGCTTCTACTGGTAGTGAAGATGATTGTCAGGGATAGACAGATCAGGTCCATGCCACTATTACATGAGTTCATAAATACATATTTCAATACCTATATCTCAACCTATTTTCTCCCAAAAGACCTATTTCTTAATGTACTGTGTTTCTGTTTTTGAGCCAAAACTGCATCAGAGCATCTGGGAAAGCTGGTGGAAACTAAGTTCTGATCTGCACATTAGTCTGAGAGGTGCAGATCAGATCAGATCAGAAATTCACAAATTTTCTTTCCCCAAGCAGTCCAACTACATGAGGATTGCAGGGAGCAGAAAATATCAGGTCTGTGTGAGGTTCCTCTGTGTAGTGAATTATCTGAAGTTCCGCTTGGAACGTCTTCTTGTCAGTGGACCATTTTAATAACCTCTGTTACAATAGATTCTTGTTCTATTAAGTGTCCTTAAAAAAAGTTTATCTAATTCATTGCAAAGTCATTTCTGAGTCAGAAAAGGGAATGAGTCATACTGTTCAATTGCATCAGCTACATGGTTCTTTGAGTATGCACAGTTACTTTGGTGAAAGCTTAAGGTCACTGCATATGGTTGCCAACAGCTCCAAAGTGATTCTAAGACCAAACAACCAGAAAGTACCTGCTGCATACTTATCTGATGCATTTGTTCTTTGTATTTTTGCCTTCAACTTTTAAGCTAAGAGAAAGAGCTGGGTTCTTTGACCAGTAATTTTGTTCATCAACCTGAATGCTGATATGAATATTGGGCACACTTTTTTTTGTTTAACGAAACATTGGAAATGTGATTGCAAAGGTGGCATAGTTACTCACTGGCATTTTGAATGGACAAAAGGGTGTGTGTCAAAAGTCCAAATACCAGATGCCCTTCATTTGTTAATATGTCATGTTTATTTGTTCAAAACAAAGTTGACCACAAAAATGACACATGTCCAGGAACATCGGGGTAGACAAGAACCAGGGAATCAAAAGTGAACAATGACAACAGAGGTAATGTTCAGATTAAACTAAAAAGGCAAAAAGTTATAAATATATTTAATGCTCTCCATTCCCCCCGGTTTATTTCCTGTCCACTGTCCACTTCCTGGTGGTTAATCAATAGTAAGTGTGCCATATATATATATATATACCCATCTGTTTGTGCTGCCTGGCAGTCGCTGTCTTTTGCTGAGGCCCAATCAAAGCATGGGTGCTTGCTCTCCTGTTTCCACCTCCATGATCTCTTGGAATATTGATTAACAATCATGTATAGCCATTTATTTTTTGACCAGCCACCACAAAATTGTACCTGCTGCTTCTCAGGAATTCTAAGAAATGAAAAAAAACATTGCAGTTTTGAAAGGCTTAGTCCACCATCTTGATTCAAAATGGTGTCCAGTTGTATCCAAACACAGACAAAAACCTGCTCCTTGATTTGGTTACCATATCTTTAAAAGTGTCCAAATGCATAGCAAACAGTCAAAATATATAGTAGATGCTGATTTCATATTGTTCTGCAAATGTCAGTGAAAAGGAGCACATAGTTCTCTGAGTTCTAAACAAATGCTCAAAGGTTGTGGTACATGAATACGGCAATCAGAGGGAATGGTCAAACAGTGTATGATTTACCAGCATGGAGTCCATATCAGCAGCTTGCCAGTGAGCCATCTGCAATCATGCAAAGAGGTGTGAGAAGAGGGAAGGGAAGGGATACTGATGTCACAAAAGCAGTAAGGATGGTGTGTATATTGGCAGACTTGCTGCAGTTTTCTCTTCTAAACTTTCTATGATGCAAATTCATTGGGGGGGGGGGGATTTCTTGAAGATAGACTAACACCAGACTACTGTGAACCAAGATGTGTGAGGTGGAATTCACTGAATCCCTTCTCCAACCTGGTTACTTTCAGATTTTGGGTTACAGCTCCCATCAGTCTCAACCAGTACAGCCAATGGCCAGGGATGAAGGGACTTGCAGTCCAAAACATCTGAAGGTCATCAGTAGGGGAAGTCTTCCCTGAGTGATGCCCTCCACTTCCAGTACTGAAAGGAAGGTATAGCAAGGCACCTTCCCTCTGTCTATTGCTATGCCATCACCACTGGAAGTTTTATCAGTTGAATGAACTCACTGGCCAGCATTGTAACTGCAACTACAAGCACAGTAAGGTGCTGTCAAGTTTATACATCCATATTAAACATCATAGCAAAGGGTGGAAATGGAATCATATGGAATCACACTAGTCACAGTGAGTCTCTCCTTGCAGACATTTCAAGCAGGTTCTAAATCTCTGCCTGAAATCTTCAGTGCAAAGGGACAGGTTGTTCTTTTAGTATCCAAACACAAGTCAGGCCCTTGGGTTATGAAGGTGAATTTTGTTATAATGATGGAACACAGCTTGCTGTCCTCTGCCTCTCAGAGGAGTCAAAGGGCTCAGAAGAATGTTCCTCTCTTTGCAATATGAAAGAACCCAGGATATTGCTTATTACCACAGGGATTTCATTTGCTAAAAGCATAGCTTTCTACATTTCAGAAAGACAGAATTTCAGGCATCACTGTTCAGTGTACCTCTTTCTGTTGTAAATTACAGAGGGGTGATGGTGTTAGAGTTCCTCTAGAATAGATGACCTATTTATTGAGCACTCATCACTTGTACGAAGGTTGGATTATGTTTGGTTTTTATTCTGATTCATTTGTGGGGAGTTTATATGACAACCAGCATTCATCCTGATTTGCTTTGGGGTGTTTAGATGTCTTCCTGTTAATCATTCGTTCATTTTCAGGGCATTTTCCTGTGACTTTTCTATCTTCCAAAAGGCTCTTTCTTTTTTGAAGCACCAGGGCAACAAAACACTTTAACCTACTTTTGTGGTGTGAGCCTCAATTTCCAGGTATGCACTTGAATCTTCCCACAAAATCAGGAGGCTCCCTCTGTCAGTTTCAGCAAGACAACAAGGAATCCTGGGGCATCTTAACATCTAACAAAGTTATTGTGAGATAAAAGGCTTAGCTGAAGACATTTTGCTGCTTAAAGCAGAACAGCATTCACCTATGCCCGTGTCAATGTACATAGTACCCCAGGCTAGCCAAGTTATTTGGGGAAGTGGGGCAGAAAATCTCACATGCACCTCTTTTCCTTCTTGTAAATGCAACTACCACTACCACCACCACCAATACAACTACAAATAGATCACAATTTGCTGCTCTTTCATGACATTCAAAATTAGTTGTCCTTCTCTGCCTAATGGTAGAGCTGGCCCTGACAGGGTTAAGATATCATGCATCAGACTCCAATATATCATATGCATGAAGTTTTTCCTACATGGGTGAGCAGAGCTACCCTTAGCAGAGAGAAAGAACAATATTTTTTAAATAATGAGACAAGGTGGCCATGCAATAGAAACAGATAGCTGTAGGTGTCATAAAATTCCGCAACACACAAAGACAGAATCCAGTCCAATCAATGGATGATCTAATCTGCCAGGGTGTGGCCCATTTCCAGCTAGCGGCCACTGGTGATGAATTGGCATAGAAAGTTCAATAGTATACACACCAAAGGAGGATAGTAAACTAAGCACTCCCAGGATTTGCTGAGACCAAGCTCTGATGCTGTCCATATTGAAGCCAAGTTGGAGTGCGGGCAGAATTTAGTACATGGGAAGCTTGGTATAAGTCTGATCATTGGACCATTCAGCCCAGTATCTTCAGGGACTGGCAGCTCATCAGGGCCTCAAACAGAATAAAAGCATGTGCTCTACCATGGAGTTAGAGCCATTCCCTAAGAAACGATGCTTCCTGTCCTTACTCTCTTATCTTCAAGATGGATACTTTCAGCTCTCTGGGGAGGAAGAGGTTTGGAAGGGTCTTGCATATTAGGCAGTAGTTTAAAGATTGAAGCCACCACTGCTTAGTAGGGCAAACACTTCCCTGTGTGCATATAAATGTAAATACCATGTAAATAGCAGCGTTTGCACATCTGGACACCTGATCTAGCCAGCTTCCCCATACACATGTAACTGGGTGTTCAAAAATTGTGTGCACGTATGTAGGGTATCTGCATATTTCCTATTTACCACCCAAGTTTCTTGCAGCAATCATTTAGAGCTGCTGATTTATTTTGCTCTGTCCCCTCCCCCCCCCCCAGTTTGGTTGGCACAGAATGGTTCAGATGAATTTCTATTTAACTTGAATCAATTTGCCCATGAGTATGTAGTTCAATTAATTCTGAATGTAATGGATTACTACACAAGCCCCATTCCATCAGTCAATACTGTATAATGCGTGTGCACGAACCAAGAAGAGGAGGAGAGAGACTGTTGCTTTTAAGTCAGCCGGCTTTTGTGAAATGAAAGGCAAGTGCCACTAGGCCTTCCATAATTATGTTCTGTTTTGTTGTACTTATCCATGTTAACCAAAGCTGGGGGCATTTATCCTCTCTGTGACATTTTGGGAGAAGTCCCTGGCTGCTCACTTTCCCATGCTTGGATGTACAGATACTGCCAGGCCCAGGGTCATGAAAATGCACAATAGAAGTGGTGTAGAAATGGCATAGAAATGGCATGGATCCCCTTGATAAGATGCCTCAAGGGCACAGTGCATTTTGAAAGAGACTCGCAAATGATCAAGAAAGCATTTTAAACACAGCTTTTGCTTTTATCCTTCCAGTTGCATGCAAAATGTGACCCCTAGTTGGCTGCACACCTTCATTCTCTCTGACTCAACCTGGCTGCTACCCTTTGCACCAGGGTCTCAAGTCTGGTGCACCCCAGATGTTATTGGACTACAGCTCCCATCAGCCCCAGGCAAAGTGGCCGGTGGTCTGGGATGGTGTCAGTTGGAGTCCAAGAACACCTGTCAGCTACGTTGTATCTTGGGGTTGTTAATCACTCATGTACCAAAATGTTATTACCATCAGGTAAGAATTGGATTGGCTCTGTCGGTGTGCTTGTGCAGCCCTGACCTCAGAACCACCTGTCCCTACCTTTGGATCATTCCAGGGAACAGCAGTAACACTGCTTTTCTTTGGGGTGGAGGGGGTATTTGGTGCCAGCCATTGCTGGTTATGTGGCAACATAAATGAGTATAAAAGTAGGATTGAAATGTGAATGCATGAACAGTGGATTGAACTAAAATGAATTTTTTTTAGAACAACAACAACAACCAAAACTTAATTTGGGCATCAAATCAGCCCCAAGAGATTCGGTCTATTGATTGCACTCTTCCTATTAATTTAACAGAGAACAAGATACATGGTAGCTGTGGAACTGTCTCTTCCCTTTCCACACTAATACTTTTCTCCTTGTCCTTAATGCTGCACAATACAAGATGACAGCGCAAACAAGGAGTAAATTAGAAAAGCAAAATCCGCTCCAGGGTTGTTGGTATTCCCTGGATAGTCTGATTTGGCTTAGAAACGTCACTTCTCTGAGATAATTATCTGCTGCTGGTCTGATGACTTTAAATGAGCAATGGAAAGCTAATAGGTTACAATGACCCTGAAGCTTACTAGCTTGCAGACATTGTGAGGTTAAAATTAAAAGAAGACCCGAGATCCTGAATCAACAGTAGCATTCATTTCACAGCCTTGTCTGAATGAGGACAATGTGGATAGCCATCATTCCAAGATGATGTGGTTTCCAGTTCTATAATTCTGTTAGGAAGCCTAAGAAGAAGAGACCTGCTGGATCAACCTATCTGGTTCAGCTTCCTGTTCTTGCAGTGGCCCACCAGAAGCAGGACCTAAGTGCATCAGGACTTGTGTCCCCCAGCAGCTGATGTTGAGAGGAATATCTCCTCCATTGCTGTTGGCAGCACACAGAGTAACCCTTTTAAAACCATTCAGGTTGGTGGCCGTTAGTGAAGGCAACAGTGGAGAATATTCAGAATTGATTTTTTTTCCTGCAACACCATTTCAGGTTGTGCATCTCTCACAAGCCTGAGCCTTACTTCTAAAGGAGTGCCTTTGACATTGTTTTGTATATTGGCCTTGGTCTATGTGTCCTTGAATAGAAGGATATGTACCGGAGGATCTGTGGAATTGTAACTGCTACACCTGGTGCTCAGAAGCACACTGCCTCTGACTGTGGAGGTTTAAAAAAAATGCACTGCTGAAACAAAACCTAAACGTTGGTGGAGTCACACTCTTTTCTGAATACCAGTTTCTGGAAAGCTCAGGAGGGGAGAGTGCTCTTGTTCTCAGGTCCTGCTTGCCAGTTTCCCACAGGCATCCGATTGGCCACTGTGAAAACAGGTTGCTGGACTAGATGGGACACTGTCTCATCTAGCAAGCTCTTCTTATGTTCTCTCTCACTCTCTCTCCCCGCCCCCTTTTCTTCTCCACTCACTGGGCTGCCAGGAAATCTCCCTTTCGCTAGAGATCTGAACTGATCGCTTGCAGACGCCTTTCTGATATACAGTATTTTATTTTTGAGATTTTAATACCACTTTGGGGCCTAACAAAGGCCCACAAGAATGAAAGAACCAAACCAAACACCACCTAGTTACAAAAATTAAAACCAAAACCTTGAAAACCAAAAGTGGCAGTTAAACCTTCTCATATATATTAAAAGCCATTAAATAGTCACACAGAATAAGAAAGTTTTCACTGCCTGCCAAAATGGCACCAGGCATTGGGGCAGGGCTAGGCTCATCTCCTTCAGCTGGATGAACCACCAGCAGGGGGCTGACACGGAAAAAGCCACACCTCACATTCCCACCAACAAAACTTATTTTGCTGGTAGGGGATTTAACAGGATCTCTGTAAATGACCTCCCCCCAACCTCTGGGCAGGGTTGTACAGAGGAGTCAGTCTTCCAGATATCCTAACTTAAGTCATTTAGGGCTTTATTGGCAAACACTTCTCCCTTTTCCTCCTTCCATTCCTCCTCCCATTATCTCCCTGACATTCCCCGCTTCTCCCTCTAGGCTCCCCCCCCCACCCTGAAATTAGGTCAAGGCCTACATTTTCTCCACCCCGATGTAGAGAGCTCCAAAGTGGCACACTTAGCATTATATATATATATATATATATATATATATATATATACACACACACACACACAGTATATATGATTTCTAGAGAGAGCTATAGAAATCTCAAGGCTATGATTTATTTTGATGGATCATAAAATAGGACACTGTTATTTTGCAAAGGCAGATCAAAACTTCCTGAGCAAGTACTTTGGCTCTGCAACTCTATTTAACTCATCTGTCAACTGCAAAATAAACAGAAGGCATGGACGTTTCATTATATTGCAAGAATGATTATGGGAAACAATTGTTAATTGCTCAGTTTATTATGTACTGAACATTACAAGAAAACAAACACATTGGGAAAATCTATAGGGTGTGTCTGCTAAAGGATTAAATATGATAATTCCCTGGTGCGGGCCAACTTATTCCAGCGGAGTTTGTGAAGTAGAAAAATAACTTAACACAGATTTTGCTATAGCTCTCTATTATTTAATCTGTTTTCTAAGCAAGGAGGGAGATTGAAGATAGTGGTTATGCTTGGAGACTAGCAAAGTGAAAATTCAGTTCTGAGTACTGATTTTAGTTCTGACTACTACATTTTTTTTAATGGACAGATGCTTCCAGATTGTCAGCACTGAACTATGCCAGCTACAATCACCTAACCAACTAACCTAGGGTGTCAGAAATGAACCTGGGCTCAAAATGGTGTAGGATTCTTTTCTCAGTGTAATTAGAAGCTGTTACTATTACATCTGCAGCACTGGTTCATATAGGGATACAGAGACTGTATATACTGGTTCATATAGGGATACAGAGGGATATATTCGACAGCTAGATTTCACTCTTGGTCTGAACGTTTCCTACTTGCTGCCTCACTTTGGGTGCAAGCCAAGGTATGTAGGTTTACACTGGAGTCACGCTTTATTTTTTAAAGGACAAGGCATGGTGTGCAATGTTAAGTTTTTAAAGGGGACGGAATCCAGCTCTCTGCAGCAATTTTAAGCTAAAATTAGTCATATTATTGTTTATTACTGTTTATTATTATTAATCACCTCCTACACACACATCTCAAGGTGATGTGCAAGAAAAACAATTTAGAAAAACACCCCAAAGTGCAGATATATTTAAAACAAAAACATGAACATTCACCCAAGTATCCTGTTCAAAATGGCAATCTGGTGACGCCTATAAACAAATTCATTTGTATCCTGGATTTGCCCTTTTAAATGGCAAGGTACCAGCTCAACTGCACTACCAGGTCCTGCCCCTGTAGAGCAAAGCTCCAGCCTGCATTGTTTGGCAGCAAACTGGAGCCTGAAAATAAATCTGCTGACAGAAAAAGTTTGGGTCTGGGGCAATTGCTCACATTACTGCAAGTGATTCTTGTGCTGTTCTTTACACAAATGGACTTCATGCACATAAAGAATGGCATGGGGATTTACTGGGCCAAGGAGGAACAATCTAGAGATGTTTTATCACCACATGTCCTGGAAATAAGTCAGCTGGAACCAAGGCAGTCAGCATGCACTGGAATCATATGGCGGCAAGTGAATCCACTAACCAAGAGGAACTTTTTGAGAAACTGTATGGATATAAAACAGGCATAGGGAAACTCAGCCCTCCAGATGTTATGGGACTACAGCTCCCATTGTTCCTGACCACTGGTCCTGTTAGCTACGGATGATGGGAGTTGTAGTCCCAAAACATCTGGAGGGCCAAGTTTGCCTATGCCTGATATAATACTTACTAGCCTTAGAAAGCTATAAATCCTTAAAATGAAAAGATTGCATGTTGTGTTTAAAGGCAAGAAGCTTTGCCTTTCATGTTTTTTGTGTTGAGCAAGATGATCTTTTGGGATTTAAATATTTTAATTTGTGATTTTAATGCCTTCCTAAATATAGAAGAACTTTAATCTTTAAAAGTTATTGTTTCGATTGCATTGGATCTTGGAGGATGGTACTTTTATCACTGTTATACTAATACCAGCGGTATTGCACTGCGGCATTTCCTGGGAATATGCTTCAATCATTAACGCTTCAGTTAGCAATTTTGCTTTGCAAAGGCTACAGCACAGGAAGAAAAGGTTAATTGCCCCCTCCATGTGGACTGCCATCTGCTTGGGGTCAGGCCCACCTTCAGCTGCTAATTAAAAATTGAACAACATCACCAAACAGAGAGCACCAAACAGCACATTTAACCCAATCTGTCGCTTGGCCCTAAATAGTTTTGGTTCAGCTATACTATTGTAGATTTTGTTCAGGGACCATCTGAAGATGCAATAAGTATACTGGCTCTAATGCAGCTTTTAAGAAATACCTTTCTTGCTTTGCATGTTGGTATCTTTAGCATTTGGCAAAAAAGATGCATTAGGCTTCTGCAACATGCTTCTACAAGAAAGGAGAATGTGCTGCTGGAGGCAATGGGGAGAATAGAGAAATACTGACACGTAATGGCTTTACTTCCCAAGTTAACAAAAAGAACCTTGGGGAAATCAGAAAACAAATGAGTAATGTGAGCAGCAAACCTCCACGGCTCCTAGACAGTGAAATAACAAATTACTGCGTTTGCAGGGTCCTTCCTCCCCGCCATCCACCTCCCTGTGCCTTAATTCTTTTTTTCCCTACTGAGATGCAATGTGCCCATCTCACATTCTCTCTGAGAAGAGGGAGAGAGTGGCACAGGCTCAAATCACAAAGAAAGGTCTACGTAGTTCACACATATGAAGCAGAAGCTTTTTTGCCTTCAACTAATTTGTCGATGTATCGTATATACCACTGCAGAATCAGAACTCCATAATGCCATCCAAAAATTATATCTAGGTCAACTTCAAACAAATGCTTATTTTTATTAGCTAGTATCTGACCAAGTCATTCTCAGCATAAAAGCATTGAAGTCAATGGGTTTAACTCTTGAGTATAATTTAGCCACTCTGTGATTGGTGACTTACCAAGTTTTGGTCTATTAATTTCAATAGGTTTACTTTGGGTAAAACCTGGTTGTGACCACATTATATTTCTCCTCCTCTAAAGATCCATCTGGTTAAATATCTACTAAAATATCCACCAGAAGTTAATGTTTGGTTTTCAGCTGTTGCCCTTATAATTATACTTTTATAGGTTAGGTTTTATCCTGCCATTTTTTAAACTGTTTAGGGTTTTTTTTTTTGTTTAGCTAATGCTTTGATGTTTTTAATGCTGATGTTGCTACCTGCCTTTTCAATAAAGGCGGAGTAACTCTTTTCAGTGAATACATTTTACTTAATTAATTGAACCTGTTGTTTCTTGCCCTGAACCTCCATGATAGAACAAGACACAAGTTCAAAGTTTTTTCAAAACAATCAGGCAAGAAAATTAATTACACCTGTTAATGGTGAGTTGGGGATGGACCAGCTGGACCAATGAGATAATAAATGTCCCTCTAAGGCAGTAGTGGGACCATTCCTTAAGAAACCTTCTTTGGACTGAGAAGATCTTAACAACTGTAGGCTAGTTGCACGTGTCCCTTTCCTGTGCAAGGCTCTAGAGAGAGTGGTTGACTGACCAACTCCAGGCACTCTTTAATAAGTTTTCTTTTCAGGCACATTTTAGGCACTGAGACTTCCTTGGTTTCCTTGTATGATAGCCTATGTAGGAGAGAGATAGTGGAAGTATGTCTGGAGTTTGGGAGTGTTTTAAAATTGTTGTAAGCTATCCAGAGCACCCTGTTAGCTTTTATTGTTATGAAACTCTTTGAATCCATGTGAAATTGCCTGTAAGCTGCCCGTTGGGCATCCAACTGCAGAAGGGGCCTGTTACTCACATGGTAATAATAATTTTATTATTTCTACCCTACCCATCTGACTGGGTTGCCTCAGACATTCCAGGCAGCTTCCATCAAATATAAAATCACAGTAAGACATCAAACATTAAAAACTTCTCTATACAGGGCTGCCTTCAGATGACTTTTAGAAAAGTCAAGTAGTTGTTTATTTCCTTGACATCTGACAGGAGGGCATTCCAAAGGGTGGGCATGGCTACTGAGAAGGCCTTCTGCCTGTTTCCTGTAACCACCTGTCTCCTTGATCCTTGCCCATCCTGGCTGATAAAAGCGAGCCGGGAAGGGCTGGGCGATGGGCTCTGCGGGGTGGTGAATGCTTCCCTCTGTGAGGGAGCCTTCCCAGACCTGCTGAAAGAGGCGGTCATTAAACCGCTTCTTAAAAAAACATCTTTAGACCCAGCCAATTTGACCAACTATCGCCCAGTCTCAAATTTACCATTCTTGGGCAAGGTGATTGAGCGGGTGGTTGCCAAACAACTCCAAGCACGCCTGGAGGATGCGGACCATTTGGATCCCTTCCAATCAGGGTTCAGGCCTCACCATGGGACTGAAACTGCCTTGGTCGTGCTGGTTGATGATCTCCGGTGGGCTAGGGACAAAGGTGAGAGCTGTTTCCTAGTTCTGCTGGATCTCTCAGCGGCCTTTAACACCATCGACCATAACATCCTTCTGGACCGTCTAGAGGGGCTGGGAGCTGGGGGCACTGTTATACGGTGGTTCCGCTCCTTTCTCCTGGGCCGTGTCCAGAAAGTGGTGGTGGGGGATGAGTGTTCAGACCCCTGGGCTCTCACTTGTGGGGTGCCTCAGGGTTCCGTCCTCTCCCCCATGCTTTTTAATATCTATATGAAGCCGCTGGGAGAGATCATCAGGGGGTTTGGGCTGGGTGTTCATCAGTACGCAGATGACACCCAGCTCTACCTCTCCTTTAAATCAGAACCAGTGAAGGCGGTGAAGGTCCTGTGTGAGTGCCTGGAGGCTGTTGGAGGATGGATGGCGGCTAACAGATTGAGGTTGAATCCTGACAAGACAGAAGTACTGTTTTTGGGGGACAGGGGGTGGGCGAGTGTGGGGGGTTCCCTGGTCCTGAATGGGGTAACTGTGCCCCTGAAGGACCAGGTGCTCAGCCTGGGAGTCATTTTGGACTCACAGCTGTCCATGGAGGCACAGGTTAATTCTGTGTCCAGGGCAGCTGTCTACCAGCTCCACCTGGTACGCAGGCTAAGACCCTACCTGCCCGCGGACTGTCTTGCCAGAGTGGTGCATGCTCTAGTTATCTCCCGCTTGGACTACTGCAACGCGCTCTACGTGGGGCTACCTTTGAAGGTGACCCGGAAACTGCAATTAATTCAGAATGAGGCAGCTAGACTGGTGACTGGGAGTGGCCGCCGGGACCACATAACACCGGTTCTGAGAGATCTGCATTGGCTCCCAGTACGTTTCCGAGCACAATTCAAAGTGTTGGTGCTGACCTTTAAAGCCCTAAACGGCCTCGGTCCTATATACCTGAAGGAGCGTCTCCACCCCCATCGTTCAGCCCGGACACTGAGATCCAGTGCCGAGGGCCTTCTGGCGGTTCCCTCATTGCGAGAAGTAAGGTTACAGGGAACCAGGCAGAGGGCCTTCTCAGTAGTGGCACCTGCCCTGTGGAATGCTCTCCCACCAGATGTCAAAGCAATAAACAACTATTTTACTTTTAAAAGACAACTGAAGGCAGCCCTCTTTAGGGAAGTTTTTAATGTCTGATGCTGTACTGTTTTTAATATTCAGTTGGAAGCCGCCCAGAGTGGCTGGGGAAACCCAGCCAGATGGGCGGGGTATAAATAATAAATTATTATTATTATTAACCTCACTTCTCGCAGGGAGGGAACTGCCATAAGGCCCTTGGAGCTGGACCTCAGTGTCTGGGCTGAATGATGGGGGTGGAGACGCTCCTTCAGGTAGGTCACATGGTTTGCATGCATAGGGTCCCAGATTCAATCCCTGTATGGGTGCCAACTCTGGGAGCCAAGCTCACCCCCCTGAATATTTTTTGAGGGGCTGCCCCCCAATGTTCAAAAAAATAAGGAGGCAGAGGAGACCAAGCCCAGAGCCAAGCACAGTGTAGCTTCAGTGACCAGCTCCTCCTGCTGCTGCTGTGGAAGGGAAGGAGCAGGGAGGCAGCCCCTGGCTGCCAGCAGTGGTAGGAAGAGCAGAAGGCAGCTGAGAACTAGAGAGGAGGAGCCACTAGCCATTGAAGCCATGCTGCTGCCACATTTGCCTCCACCCCTGGCTCCTCCTGAGGTTGTGATGGAACATCACGCATCATGCACACATCACACATGTGACACCTCCCCCCCCAATCTCCCTTGCAAGTTGGCACCTCTGAATCCCTTGCACCTCCAGGAATGACTAGGAAAGACTCCTGTCTGAAATCCTGGAGAACTGCCACCAGTCAGCACAGCTTTCCATGTGTCCAAAGGCATAGGCAAACTCCAGCCCTCCAGATGTTTGGGACTACAATTCCCATCATTCCTGACCACTGGTCCTGTTAGCTAGGGATGATGGGAATTGTAGTCCCAAACATCTGGAGGGCCGGAGTTTGCCAATGCCTGGGATACACAAATGAATGTGTGTGGCAGTCTCTCTGTCCTCGGCTCTCAGGTATTAAGAGAGCTGCAGCCTTCCAAGCAAAATGTAACTTACCGTTGACTCTTTGCAAAACTGTGCTGATTTACTCCCACTGGGACTCTAGCAAAGCCCTGTTCCTGCCAATGAGAGATGCCACAGTAATTGACGTAGAAATACTCTCCTCTTCCCTCAGGGGTAATGATGGGAATATTCACAAAGAATGCTGCAATTTAAAAACCTTTTAAACTCACCCTCATCGCACTTTGCCCTGATGCACAGCTCCTCCATTGTCACAACACTGTTGCATTTTAGTTGACAACATGCTTTAGGGGCAGTTCCTTGCCAGTCAGCTTTTTTTTAAAAAAAAAACAATGACGACAACAACAACAACAACACTAAAAAGGCTCCTCTAATGCTCTCCAACAGCAGGCAACTTGTTTTTCTTTGTGGGTGTAATTACAACATATACTCAGGCATCAGTGTTTCAAAATGACAGAGGACGCCAGTCTATTCCCTGTCTATTCTGTATGAATCTAATGTTGAGATTAAATAGAATTCATGATAGAAAATGACCCCAGAAAAAGTCTGCCCTGTCTTTCATCCATGTTATTCTGCATACCTGAAATAGGATCCACCACTGCAGACAACTCTGGGAGAAAGGACTCTACCTGCATGCTAATTTGCTGGGTATCTGTACAAAACCTCCAAAAGCAAGCACTTGTCTGCGTCAGTTTCCATGGTGCTGTCACGCCGCTCCCTCTCAACAGCTTCACTTATCAACATTTTCCACCCGTCTTCTTCTTCATAATGTGCAGTTCATTCACCCAGAAAGTTCAGCTTTTGTAATGATGGCTTGGGGGGAGGGCAGAGGGGGGGAGGGAAGGCATCCGGGGTGAAGAGGTGAGCTGTGTTCACAGAGGTGTATGGGAACTTGGCTCTGTGACACAATGGGGAATTAGAAAACACACTCCCTCCCGCATTCATGCTGCGCTGCTTGCAAAGAAAGATACATGCACATGCACACACATGCACACGCGCGCGCGCACACACACACACACAGAGAGAACTAGGGATGAGTTTGAGACTTTAAACCACACACCCACATCCCTGCAGCTGCCCCACTGTGCAAGTGCTAAGAGAATGTTAAAGCAGAAGCTCTGTGTGTGTGTTTGTGCTGCAAAGTAGTCGATCCTAATGCATCAATTAACAGCCCAGCCTGTAGACCCGCTCCTTGCCTACCTAACTGGCTGCCTCTGTTAATTGGCTTCCGTTTCTTTCTTCTCCACAGGACAGCTTTCCTGCTCGCTTTGGAGGAGTCCATTTTGTGAACCAGCCTTGGTACATCCATGCCCTGTACACGCTCATCAAGCCCTTCCTCAAAGACAAGACAAGGAAAAGGGTAATTAGAAAATGAAGCAAGCCACAAGCCCACCCCCCACCCCCAGTGGCACAAGGGGGTCCCTGCTTTCTGCGCCTCCTCCTTTTGTCTTTGTGTGGTTTTGCTTTGCATGGCCTCAGGACGGCAGCGCGAGCTGACGCCTCAGTTGGAGTTTGCCAACAGCCCGTATGCAATCAATATTTCAGCAGGAGACAGTTATTTTCAGAATCTAAGCCAGGCACCAGAAGGGGGGAAAAAACACACCTTTCATTGTGTACAAAAGAAAGACACCATTTTATAGTATAAACACACACAGCTATGGTAGAGTACTGGGGGTGGGGAACCCACAGAAACTGTTTGAAGAGCCCTACCCATTACAGATGAGCAGGGGAACCTCATGCTATGGGGCTTCTCTGGCCACATTCACACAATACATTTAATGTGCCATAGTCATGGCTTCTTACGAAGAATTCTGTGAGATGTAGTTTACTAAGGGTACTAGGAGCTGTTAGGAGACCCCCTACCCCCCCCAAGCTACAGTTGCCAGAGTTCCCTGGGAAGAGAGATTGATTCTTAAACCACCCTGTGAATTGTCGCTCTGTGAAGGGAAAAAGGTCTCCTCACAACTTTCAGCACCTGTAACAAACTACAGCTCCCATAATTCCTTGGGGGAGACATGACTGTTTAAAGTGCTGCCATAGCACTTTAAATGTATGGTGTGAATGTGGACATTTCTCCTCCCCAGCTCCTTAACTAGCTGTGCTCTGTACCTTCCTCAAGTGAATTTGTCTGGCTGGAATGTGTCTTTGAACTGTGATAATGCCTCTTGCTTGCCTGGACAGAGGTTGGGAAGGTGTGTAAGGAAACCTCTGGTTTTTACACGGCTGGCACAGAGCCTCCCATACAATTGTTAGAGTCACACACATTGCTGCACCCATTTTTGTCTCTCCTTCTGCCCCTCCCTGACATGTGCTGCCTCTGCTCCCAGATGTTTCCCCACAAGGCATTTCATCCTTGCATTACAGACATCTTGAGAGAAGTCTCCCATTTTGCTTCCTCAGCAGATTGCTTTTCTTGTAAAAGGGTGGGTGGGGGAATAATTGATGTCACCCAAATAATTCAAATTCCAAGCACTGCTGGAGAAGAAGCAGGACTTTATTATGGCAAAGGACTTGGGAATATTGATTCCTACTATATACCATTTTTACTACAGCCTTCATAAAACTATGCTTGAAGAAGGTACTTTTCTATGCAATTCCTCTAATGGCTAGAAAACTAGCTGAAGAGGCATGCTTGATTGACGTAGGAAAGGAGTGTGGATGGAGTCAAAGAAAGTCTCTACAAACAGAGCTTCATACTCCCAATCCAGGAAAACCCCCGCAAAGAGCAACACTTTTGGTACCAAACAGGAATGCAAAGAGAAGCTTCCCAAATTGACACTCCATCCCCCCCAAAAAACCTGTTTTGTTACAGTGAGATAAGTGGGGAAATGTAATTGATAGAATATACCCAAACAACCATCATCCTTGGCATCTGTCTGACTCAAGAGAAAAGGGAAGAGTGCACCATCTGGGGTAAAGTCAAGCTGTTGGAGTTACAGCACCTGCTATGGCTGTAGAGACCAATAAGGGAGAGATATGTTTTATTGCAGCTGAGGAAAATGAAGACATCCTGTTGTGCTGATCAGGGCTGGATTTAGGTTTGATGAGGCCATAAACTACTGAAAGTAATGGGGCCCTTTATATGTCCAGCTGTTCTTTGTCAGCAACAAATTGTCACTGTTTTTTGTGTTGAGTATATGCTAAATGGTTATTTATGGACCTAATAGGTATCTAAAGTTATTTGCACATGCATATATAGAAATGAGCAAACCAGTGATATTTTAGGGAGCAGGCTAGCAGGCAGGGCCCATTACTGAACATCATGGGAGCCTACACAACACAAAACACTGTTGCTTTATGTAGGTTTTTTTTTTTTAATCTTATATTTTGGAAATGTTCATCCAGTGGGTTTTTTCCTTTAATTTTTTTTTTGGAGGGGGCCCAAGAGAGTGGGGCCCTAAGCTATAGCTTGTTTAGCTTATACGTAAATCCGGCACTGGTGCTGAAGCAGGCATTTCTCTTCTCTGCACTCTTCCTAGCGGTCATTCCTCCTCTGGTCAATGCTGTGGATACATGACCTGACTTTCGTCATCTACACTGTAGTCATCGGCATTGGATTCCCACATAGCAGGGTTGATGTTGCAAAAAATTATAGATGTAGGGAAAAGAATAAAAGTGAAAGAACAGGAAAGGGCACTGACATAAAAAGCCCAGACAGTAGTAGGGGAATCATTTCCATGGATTATAAGATGAACAATAATAGACCGCTAAAGAATATTGATAAGGGGCCCAAAGCAAGTTATGGCTTTTGAATGTACCTGTCTCCCTTAGATGTGTTTAAATGTCTCTCCTGCAGGCATTATTGCTGCTGCCATCATCATCATCCTCAATTAAAATTTCTATTGCATCCATCCTCCTATGCATTTTAAATGTGCTTTCCCAATGTTATTAGTGCTCCCCCTCCCCTTGGAATTCTGTTGAAGGATATAAATGTTAGTGGTATGCACAAGCCCCAAGTGTCATCTCAGAGCTGCATTTGTGTGTGTTTTCAATTGCAATGTGTTTCTGAGTTGCTCTGTGCATTTTTCACTTTGATCTATTTTCAAGTTCTCAACAGATCTGTATAAAACAAAATCCTGTGCTTCTCCACTCAGTACAACAGGGAACCTAAAAATGACTACATGTTTTTTAGCCTTTTGGCCAAAGTAAATGAAATTTATAGGCACAGGAGTCCCTCCAGAGTGGGTTTTAACAAAAAAACAACCAAGAGCTCTTTCAATTTTGGGCAGCCCCACTTCTTGCAAAGCCTTGGAGCTAGAGAAACACAGAGATATATGGGAAACATTGATTGTTGAAAAGGATAGAAACAGAGTGACAGACATGAAGCTTTTGTGAGAATCCCAATCTGACTCAGCGGGGAGCTGGAATAATTGACATTATGCTTCAACTCAGGGGGGAGACCCTCAAATCCCCCCAATTCCCCTTGCTATGTTCATGCAGAGCAGGTGCACACCCTTAATAAGTATCCATGATAAATAATAAAATAAATGAATGCCCCATCAGCATGTTGAAACAGAAAAGGCTTGCCTTTTTTTAATCAAAAGAACTAGCAAGGTGTGCTTTATGATCTCAGCAGCCAGAAAGCCCATGCCATAGTGTTGGGGGGCAATGGCTGTGTGAAGACCACACATCAGCAGGCAATAGTTTTCATAGCCTTCGAAACAGAATTTTCATCAGAGATTCTCCTTCCCATCTTAAGACATGAAGGGATTTATCCTATGGGAAGTCCTACTCTCTGATAAAGTTCATAGGAAGTGAAAACCTTCAAATATCAAAACCAGTAGCTTGGAATAACCTAGAAAATTACCACCAAAAGCCAACACAGTTGCTGCTCATCACCTTATTTTTGCTGTGTTAGTGTCTACAACAGACCTGCAGCAAAAGGTTGGAGTATGGATCGCTCCTGTTTGTAGCTGACTGACTGGCCATTGTAGCTGACTGACCCTGCCATTCCTCCCTCAACACAGCCGGGTTTTCCATTTCTGCTACTCTATCAATCACTCAGCATTCCATGAACATGTAGCATGCTCCAAACTCACATGCTGCTTTGGACTTTCCACTCCCACCTCAAAGATTCCCTCCCCCTAATATCTTTTGTACTTCGGCAAACTTTGAAAAAGTTTAAATATTAAGTATCCTTAATATTTTAACAGCCATGAAAAACTGAGAGCCAATGAACTGTGTTCTTGTCTGTTTTTCTTTTTTCAAAGATCTTTCTTCATGGTAACAATCTGAATAGCCTTCACCAGCTTATACACCCTGACTGCTTGCCCTCAGAGTTTGGAGGGACACTTCCTCCTTATGACATGGGCACTTGGGCTCGGACTTTACTTGGTCCAGACTACAATGATGAAAACGAATACACGCACACTTCCTACAACACCATGCATGTGAAGCACTCGTCATCCAACTTGGAGAGAGAATGCTCACCCAAACTCATGAAAAGGTAAGGTTCAGCCTCGGAGCACATGTTTAGAGGAAATGAAAAATTATCTGCTTTAAAACAGGAAAAGGAAATAATGCCTAACTGGAAATGCAAGGATTGCTTTGCCTTCAAGAGAGGATAATGACAATGGAAGAACATCATCTATATACCAAGGATGAGGAATTTGTGGTTGTCCAACTTGTGGTTAGACTCCAACTCCCATCGGTCCCAGCCAGCATGCCTAATGACCAGGGGTGATGGGAACTGGTGGCCAACAATATCTGGAGGCACAGGATCACTATAAATAATAATAGCAGTTACTGGCCTTATGAAGATGAGCAAAGCAAGTCAAAGGGAAAGATGTCTCACCAGTGTATTATATGAAAATGTTTCATAGTAAAATGCTCTTTCATGAGGCAGTAACAGGATTATGGCTGTTCTGGGCCTCATTAATGATCGTTGATTTTGGCACATTCTGTCACACTTGTTCAGCAAAATGGAAAAAGAATAACCTGTGCAAAGGAAAGAGCAAAATATGGGGCCGGTTTGCATGTAACATTACCAAGTTATGGTTTGCCATGAACAAACAAGTGTGCTGATGCCTGGAGAGAAAATTGTGGCTGCTTTACTCCCCCCCCCCCCCCATCCTACTGCTGCCTTGCTACTTTATACTAAGCATTATAGGTGAGCCCAGGCATGCAGTTTGTCTCATCCAACACATGAACTGCAACCAAGGTTTTTTCTTGGTATATCACTAATGGTTTGTTTGGGAAGACAAACCAGAGCCTGGTTCATACATCATGGTAAGTCATAGTTTGGGTTACCCTTACAAATAAATGAGGCCATACTCTATGCCAAGGACCCATTGTGGGTCATGTCAAATTTGGCTGTTTTGCAAGAACTGAGGCCAGCTGATCCAGTGGCTGCCATCCCCACTTTGTCGCCTCTTTTCACAGGTCTGGAAAACAGTTCACACAAACTAATGAGCTTATGAAAGGTAATAGTTGACTAAATCTATTTACTGGTCCATGCAGACTCACAAAAACAATCTTGAGTAGATTTAGGTTGCAATCTTATGCACATTTACATGGAAGGAAGCTAGCCTGAACTCACTGAGAATTACTTTTGAGTAAATATTGCACTCTATGGGGTTTTTCCCCCTGTAACCATAAATACATATGAATATTACTGAAAAATCTGTAGTTGAGTAATAACCCAATACACATTGTTTATGCATATTTTTATGTTGCCTGTATTGTGTGGTTGCTCTCCTCCCCCCACCCCTTCATAATAAACACAGGCCTGGTATTATAGCTGTATAGTTGGTGATACAGAATAGACACGACTGCAGTTTGGTATGCAGTTTTAAGCACATACCAAATCATGTACTGTGGTTTGTCTCTGATGGAAAATGTAAATGGAGTGGGATTCCAATCACAGAATTAGAGATTTAGGACACTGGGAGTTTGGCCCAATAAGATAAGTTTGTTACAAGAAGACAAAATACATTCTACAGCAATGGGAAAATATGCTCTGCATTTCTATTCCATCTCAAGGAGATATGCTTTGCAGCTCGAGAAATGGATGCAAGTTACTATGGCGACACCATTTCCCTCTGTGTATGCCACACATATGGAAAATGCAAGGGAAGCTAGTCACACTAGAAAGCTGAAAACAGCAAGATGAACATTGTTATTATTATTATTAGTCACTTTCCCCACAGAAAGGTGAGCTCAAAGCAACCTACAAAAACAAACATCAAAAACAAGTATAGAAGCATGAGTAAAAACAACTTTAAAGGCTCCTGTATGAGTCTGGGTAGCTCAGTTGGCTAAAGCATGGTGCCAATAACGCCAAGGTTGCAGGTTCAATCTCCCTATGGGACAGCTGCATTTTCCTGCATTGCAGGTGGGTGGGAGTAGATGAGTGGTTCCCAACCTTTTTTTGGCCATGCCCCACCTAAGCATCTCTAAAATCCTGATCCCTGCCCCCCATGACATATAATTCTTATTATTCAAAAAGTGAACTACTATTCACATGGAGGAAGCCTAAAGGGCCGTTAACTTGGCCTAAACAAGCTCGAATTGCCCCCCCCCCTTAAAAATCAAATTGCCCCCCTGTGGAAACCACAGGACTAGATCAGGCATAGGCAAACTCAGCCCTCCAGATGTTTTGGGACTACAACTCCCATCATCCCTAGCTAACAGGACCAGTGGTCAGGGATGATGGGAATTGTAGTCTCAAAACATCTGGAGGGCTGAGTTTGCCTATGCCTGGACTAGATGATCCCCAGGGTCCCTTCCAACTCTACAATTCTATGATTCTATGTATAAAAGAGCAGAAGCAAGTCTAATGCAGCTCTCTCTCAATCGACAAAATCCTTGTGCTGTCAACTCTGAATTGGCAGTGGCTCTCCAGGGTTTCAGGCAGGCAGTCTTCCCCAGCCCTACCTAAGATGTTGAGGACTGAAGTAGTGATCCAGCTCTTTGCTACCACATGGACAGGCACACAGGAACACAGGTCTCTGCCTTTTATCGACTCACACCATTGCTAAATTTTGTCTTACACTGACTGGCAGCAGCTCCTCAGGATCTCTCTCCCAGCCCTGCCTGGAGTTGCTGTCAGTTGAAGACAGGACCTTGTGCATCCAAAGCAGATGCTTTGCCCCTGAGCTCCAGCCCCTCCTCTCCACCTGGTGGCGGTGACAGGGCTTGAGAACTGAAAAGAAACAAACCCAGAATGCTACTGAAACCAAAAAGGCTTTGCGTGTTATCAATAAGTAAATCAATAGCGGCTTGTTGGAAGAAAACATTTTCCCTTATTATTTTCTGCAGCAGGAATGAATCATTGGAAGATAATAGCCTAGAGGAGCCAGTGTAATGGGCAAGGAATTAGAGGGAAATGCGCAGATGGGAGGTGAGGCCCCAGTGAATAGATCTTTTGCAGTGTGGCCGGATTGATTGGTTACAGTGCACCAATTTGAAAGGCACAAAGCTCAGCTCAAGGGGGAAAGCTCAGCAGGATAGTCATGGGTTTCCCCCACCCACACATGGATTTCAGCAAATAAGGTTGTTAATAACGCAAAGGAAGAATAAAAGACGAGAAGTAAAAGACTGGGAATGAGAGCATGTGGGTTGCTTTCATTGTGTTGTCGTCCCCCCCCCCCCATACAGCCTAATCTTAAAGTGGAGTAGGGATTGTTTCATGTTTGAATAGATTTTTTTTAAAGCTTTCACAGGTAAGAAAAAAAATGTGGCTCATAGCTCAAGACTACAGCTGACAGGTTAAATCAGAGCCTTAAGGCACCTTCATGTTTCCTATAGGAGTGCACTGGAGGGGGAATGTGGGTGTGATGGCTGAGTCTGTACAGATGTATATATAGAAAGATGGAGATAAAGATAGATGGTGTGTGTGTTGCAGAATATTTGGTGTGAAATGCTCCCTGCCCCCCGAAACACATCTGCAGAGCAGATGCCATCATCATGGTCTTACCAGAGATGGAGGACAGGTCTGGGAGCCAAATGCCTCATCCAGGCCTCTCCATCTGCCTCTCAGAAATCTCCCCTCACTGGGCCTTGCTTCACACCCCTGTCTGTGAAGTATTTTTGACTGACTGGATTACATCCTTGAACTCCAATAATGCTGCTTGCTTATTTGGGTGAAGGATTGAAAGGGGTATGTAGTAGTATAGAGTGCAGAGGAGCAGCAGCCCCAGGTGCAAAATTCTGAGGGGGCGCAACCAGGTGCCTCCATGACAGACACCCTCATCTAGGCTACATGGCTGAGCTCCTGCTGCCTTCTGGATCTGTGGGGAGGCAAGCTGTGCCCTGGTTGGGTCTTTGGAGCTCCTTCTCCTCAGGGCCGGCAAAGAACACCCACACGCCCAGCCTCAGGGCTGGCCAAGCCGGGAGGCACAGCCACCAAGTCGAAAAGGCACATGGCCACCACCGCCATCAGTGGCAGCATTGGTAGCCATGTGTCTCACAGACTCCGTGTGCCCCCCCCCCGGTGTGTGCCTACCTCTACCCCAGCTGCCCTGTTCTCCAGGGAGCATAATACTTGCCCTGCTCCAGGGACCAGCAACCCACGCTACGCCACTGGGGGTATGTGAGTGTTTTTAGAAACTAACTTACAGTACAAAAGTAAAATTTGCATATACTGTTCTGCTCCCTTTTACCTCTGGCCTCACCCACCCCTGGCATGCTGACCCATGTGTACTTTTGCCTGCAGGCGCATTTCCTCAGCCTCCAAAATACCAATCCTGTGTTCTATTCTGAGTATCAAATGGAACAGAGAGCTAACACTTTGCCTACTGCTTCTGGATCACATACACCCCATAACTGCAGTTTATATTGCTAAAAATAGTGAAGAAAGAGAGAGCCTAAAGGATATATTTGGTCTAAATATAGAGGAAGAGATTCTAAAGAATCAGGAGCAGTTTTAGATGTTTTGTTAAGACATACAAATGATTGGCCAGGATTACAAACCCCAGATCTGGCCCTACCACTAGATAGTGTGAGGAAGCCACCTGAGGCAGCTGATTTTGAAAGGGCAGCAAACTGCCAGTCATTTAATTATTACTGCATTGCCTGCTGCCAAGGAGACGACATGACACTCGTGGGATTTTCATTCTCAGGTGCCAAAATCACTCAACTGACCCTGGGTGAAATGCACTTTGAAATAGGTGTGGAAATGCACTATTTGCCTCATTGCCATAGGCAGGAAAATGTTTTGGATTTGCCCGGGGCATCTGTGAACTGGCTGTACAAGAGAGGGAGGTGTCTTGCTGCTGATGAAATGAGTTTCACCATTACAGAGAAACTGTTTCCTTTGATTTATAGTGGACCAACAAATCACACGCGGCCCGAGCCCTCTTCAAGTATTTGTTTGGAACCTCGGGATTCCAAACATATCACTTGTGGGATGCAAGAGACTCCCTTTTTTAAACAGTCCCCTTCCGCAAGTTGAAAAGTGATTCAAATAGGGATGGAGCTCCATTGCTCAGGGCTTCTATCCAATGCAGTTCCAAGTAACTTTCCTGTAAGGATCAACGCTGGTGCAATGGGACTTCTCCTACTCTCCTCCCCTGCATGTCCCAAGCCCTCCCCAAATCTGCTCCAGAAGGATGCAGGGACCTAGAATTGATATGGGGATGCAGAACTGGATAAAATCCTCTTATGCAAGTGTAAATCCTTGTATGTCGAGACAGCTAGTTAGCTCTGCATTGGATGCAAGCCCAGTTCTTCTGTCCAACCATCATGTGTTTACTGGAATGCCGCTAACTCAGGTTTAAGCCTGATACTTTTATAAACCAGCTAAAGGCGCCCTCAGTTCATGACGTATGGTACAAGCTTACTTTGAGAGACAGAACCTTCCAGAATGGGGGGAAAAAGCTTTTTGTTTTCTCTCACTGAAGCATACACTTGCCCTTGGAAAGAAACCGCCAGCTAGAACTCAATTCCGAATACTAATCTCTTTTAGATTAGGGGTTTCAGGAAGAGAGAACACTGTTCCCATTAGTGTTCTGGTTAGCTGTTCTATTTTTACACTGCAGTGTTGTTGAAGGAACCGCTGGTGATTTTTATGAGGAACATAATTTGTACTTTCTAAATCCAGCTAATGCTTAGATGGCATCCAGTGTGAATGAATCACTAACTAATATTAACTCAAAGGCATGTTCCAAATCCCACAGTGAAGCTGGAACATGGTGCTCAGCTCCTGCGACAGACGATACCTGAAATCTAAAAGGCTACATTTAAAATATTAGTCTTCCGCAACGTTCATCCATCAATTCTTTTGTTCTTTGGTGACTCAGGCTGCTTCAAATGCTTTAGATTTTGCATGGGATGAGGGTAGCAGACGGTGCATTTGTGCTCCAATGTTTCCTTTCTCAAAAATTCACAAACCATGTCTCTGAACTCCTCCTGGATTTGAGAGAAATTTAAACACAGTTTGGAGATTCTGGAGGATGAGGGGGGAGGGGGAAAATCAGTACTGCATTAAATCTTTAAAGCCCTAAATAACTTGGGGCTAGGTTACTTAAAGGATAGCATCTTCCTGTATGTACCTGCCCAGACCTAAAGATCTTTGCTGGAAGATATTCTCAGGTTTTTTTCATCTTGCGAGGTTTGATGGGTGAGGCACTAGGGAGGGGCCTTTTCAGAGTTGTTGCTCCAATTACGGAATGTCCTCCCCAGAGGGGTTTGCCTGGTGCTTGAGTTAAGGACTTTCACTCAAAGTCCTTTTTAGTGCCACTTGCCATTTAGAACCATGTTATAGTGTATTTTAGTACCTGGGAGAAATTATTTTTAGCTGAGCTTTAAATCCTGTTATAGAATTATTTCATGCTGCTGCTGCTGTTGCTGGAGGAATTGTATTGATTTTAGTGTTTTCACATTTTTTGATATTTCAAAATCGATATTATTGTTTTAAATTTTGTGTGAACTGACCAGAATATGTTGCTAATGGGCAGTCAACAACTGTCTAAAATAAACAAATAAATCCAGTGGTGTACATGTGAGCACCAGCTTGTATGTTTAAAGCCGGGATTAGAAACTGGATCTGACAAGTGGGTCGGATCCTTGTTTCCAGTCCCTGCAGGTCAAACCCACCTGCCATACTTCATCTTAAAATAGCATATAAACTCAGAGGCTTAGTGTTACTTGGAACATCACTACCTGACATCAGGGAAACTACCAGGAACCTACCAATTTTGCCTATGACCTCCTCCAATCTGACCCCACCAATGTGTTGATAGAAATCAGCACTTTGCAAAATAATTTCACAATCATCAACACTTGTACAAAGCCCACTACTTTTTTTTATACCAAGCCAGATGTTTTTGGAAATGTTAATTGCCTTGAGATTATATTGAGAAAGTCAATAAAATATTAAGACTCGGTACATTCTTGGAAAGACAAATGGCAGCTGAAGCCTTAAAGCCTAAGCAATGCTAACAGCTGTTCTTTGTTTTCAGGTCTCAGTCCGTGGTGGAACCTGGAATGTTGAAACATGAGGATCAGCATGAGAATGAGAACACCCAGCCACTGCTGGCTCTGGACTGAGTCTGAATTCACCGCAAAGCGCACAACTGCACCATCAGACTTCAATGGGACAAGATACCCATGAAGCAAAAGACAGGTTTAATACACATTAACACACATTCAGCTTGAAACAAGGCTCTCGGTCTTTGCAGAGCAAGTAAATGATCATCACCAGCCATCTGTATGTGTGGCCAAAGCCAATGGGGAGATGCCCTGCGGCCCAAGTTCTAAGCTAATGAGCCTGATTGTAAAGCAGAGCCCCCCCCTTGTAATTTTATGGTTTATGATATTAACAATGGTTGAAATGTTAGGGATGACTTTGTAAGTTCATGCACTCAAAGATACATCAGTTGAGGTTTTCCCATACTGTTTAAGCAGGGATATTGTCCAGTTTTATTAAAATGAAATTTAGATGCAGTACACACACAAATACATATATATACATTTCAAGTAAAGGTGTTTCGAGTTTAAATATTGCAGCAACAGGCATAATTTAGTCTGCAGCATGGAGAGAACACCTTGAAACCCGAAAGTCCTTACAGAGCTGCCTCCTCTGCGTTTTATCTACACACAACACACATACACGCACACACTAGGCAATCACCAGCAGAAAATTGTTCAACTCTGCAATATGTGATCTCATCACCTCAGCTATTTGCAGGGGTCACTTATTACAGTCCCCTGGAAAATAAATTCTTAACTTTTAAAAGTCCTTATAAACCTGTCAGCTCAATGTAATGACTGGAGTTGGAAACAGACACAGGCAATTTGGAAAGCAATTATTTAATTTTAACAGTGTGGGATCCACCCCCCCCCAAGGCAACTGCAGTATGTGGGGTAGATATGTTGGTTGGGGGGGTGGGGAAAGGAGGTGTCTGAGCTCAATGGGAACACTTACTGGTGATTAATGTTCCACTCCAGGTCCTTTCATTTAGGTCATTCTGGCAAATGAAAGCTCAGCAGAGCTATTTAACCATCTTTTCTCCAGCAATCAGTTAAAGGTGTAGCCAGAGGGCCTGGCTGACTGCAGATATACGCTATGCTTATAATGGAAAGGGAAAACTTGGAATGAATTATTCAATATGCCTCCATTAGAAGGAACCATGGAAGAACAGAAAAACGTAGAACTGAAATGCCAAAGATCATTTTGCTATTCCTGTCTTTGCTCTACTTGCGAAAGCAAATCCCATTCTTGTATTGAAAATAGTAAGGGGGGGGACTCCATCATATATATATATATATATATATATATATATATATATATATATGCGCACTGTGGCTTTATTTCTTCAAAGAGCTGGAAACATGTTTGTTGACATTTTGCAATAGTATGTAACAGCCAGTTAGCAATCCTTAGCCAAACAGTACATTTATGCCATATGACCTGAAGGATTTGCTCGCTATCTCAAGGATGGCCAAGTAACTCTTAGGTCAAGGATGGGGAACCTGTGACCTTCTAGATGTCATTAGACTCCAAGTCCCAGAAGCCTCAGTCACCATAGCTAATAGCCAAGGATGATGGGAACTGGAGTGCAACAACATCTGGAGGGCCACATCCTTCATCCCTGTCTTTGGTGAAGCTGAGAAACAATTGCAATCATTTAGTAGAAGTCACATGTAACGAATAAAGCCATGCTATGTTACTGGCATAATGTTTCATTGTTAGGGATATCATTCAGAAACTGTTTTATCTATTGTGTAGAGCTAAGATGCTTGTACAGAGTTGCAGCAGATATAATTTAGTTGGGGATTCTATTGCTCCAGAGGGCCAAATAAAAAAAATGAACTTGGTCTCTCTTGTAAAATCAAAGTTCTATCAAATCAGTAATTATCAAGTCAGCCTTTTATTGTTTCTCAGTGAAATACAGGGTCTCCACCTTTACTACAGGTTTACTTTGGGCTGTTGCTTCTGGTGGTAAAGTCCAGATTGTTTACTAATCCTTTGTCACAGGGGCCAACATAAAAAAGCTGCTTAACATTCATAACAGAAAAACTGAGTTTTTACCAATGTATCTGTTTTCAGAAAAGTTTGCTGTACTTAACTCTCACTCCTACCACCATGGACTTTGTACCCTCTGGAAATGATGACCAAATGCATTGTAAATTTTGGGGAAGGTTGCAACAAGTATTAAAATCTTAGCTAAAGATCAATGTAATTTATTTTTATAGCCCAAGAATATTAAAAGAAGCATTATGGAATAGCATCCATGGGTACCCAAACAAGCAATTTCAACTCAGATAATAAACCTTAAAATGGAAAAATAAATAAGTAGACCTTTGTGTGGATTGTAAATGTACCCAAAAGGCCAGGACAGAACATAACAGGAAGTTTTTTGCAACTGCCAAGGTTAGCATAAGGATAGTGCTTAAAAGGTTATTTCTGGCAGTGTTAGTTGGACATGTGGCTTTTGAAAGTGCTTCTTCCATTAGCAGCATGATGCAGAACTCTAGGAAGCTGTCAGGGAACTGCCATCAGTGCCAGAGGGAGAGAGCAAAATCCAGAGGGATTCCAGAGAGTGTCCCGGGATTGGGAGAGGCAGCCCATCTTCTGGGGAAGAGAATCAGCGTAGCACCAGTGGAGAAGGGGGGCAGATGGGGGAAGCGGCGAGGCGGTCCCATGACTCCTTGCCGGGGACCAGCAGGGAGAGTAGGGGTCCTCCGCTGCCTACGCCCTCCTTGCGCAGAAGGCTTTCACACAAAGAGAGTAGGAGGAGACTAGGCGTCAAAGAGCTTCTTTGCTGGAAGAAGTTTAAGAAACGCCCACTGACGGATTCTGCCAGCGATTGAGACAGCCACAGGTGAGTGGCTGTCCGGACAGAAAAGGTTCACTCAGGCAACCCAGCCAGGTGTTTGCACCGGCTTACGCACGAGCAACCCCTAGAACCACTACAGAAGCGTACAATGGTAACAAGGAAAGGTCAAGGTTGACTCATGTATACACTGTACATTTGTTTGTTCTGCAGGGTTTTATTTGGTGTTTTTTTAAGTATAGTGCCAAAACCTGTCCTCCAAAATTTCAAACGTTTTCTTCCCCTATGAAAGCTTTCATTTTCCTGCCTCACTGACAGCATGTAGGATAATTTCAGCTGGGGGTGAACTTGCACAGTGCTCATTGTACAATGGCAGTAGTGGCATGCAGTGATTTTTTTCATAGGAGAAGAGTTAGGGCCAGAAGCGCCAGCTTTCAAGGGCAATGGGGGGACTGATGCTGCGCTTGTGATGTCGGAACGTCCTGACGTCTTGCGGATGAGCATCGCACCTCCCTCCCTAAACTGGGCAGAAGTTTCCCGGGCTTTGGGAAGGAGGTGCCAGGCTTTAATAATTTAATACTCTAACTTACCAGGAGCATTTAGGGGACTAGTCTAGTCCCCCTAGTCCACTGACTGCACACCACTGAATGGCAGATGGCAGTGGGGGAGGTCCCCCCCTCCATTAAAACATTTCACCTGTGTTCCTCAGCCTCCCTGGCTGCCAGTGTTTCCTGATCTGAAAAAAGGCCCATGGGAGAAGTTACCTCATGGCACCTTCCCCTGAAGTTTAAATGAAGTACGGGAAGCTTGAGAGGGTGGCTGCCAAGCACCTGAGATGGGAGTACTTACTGCTTTTGTTTTTAAGCAAATTCCTTATTTTTGCTATATTATTATTATTATTAAGCAAAAACTTAGCAGACTGATTTCTTTCAAAGCAAAAATAATTTTTAAAAACAACAACTCATCATGAGGTTTTCAGGAAGTGTGGGCCCCTTGCAAGTCTGTACAGTGCAGACGTGTAGAAAGATAACATGTAGAATGAAACAAATGACTCAGAAAACCTCCTGCTACTTCAAAAGTAAATAAGTGTGAGAACACCCCCCACCAACTCTACCCATGAGAATTTCAACAAAATTTCCTCTCTCCTTTGATAATTTTTTTTAATGCAGTTCCTTTTCTCACTGGTGAAGAATGGTAGAAAAAACACAGAAGAAGGCCAACACAACATTTGTTTTTATGTAAGCTTCATTTATTCCAGCAGCAACAGCAATTTTTGCTATCAATGCAAAAATTAGAAACTATTTCAGTGCTGAAGCTACTAACATATATAAAAAAATCCACACTGCCACAAAGAAGGCACTTGTTTAATGCACAATATACCACAGCACGTAATGGGCAACCATTAGCTTGTAGGTGCACATTTAGAGTAGATTGCTATATTCCATTTGCCTTCCACATGCAGTAATTGTTTTCAGGCAAAACTGAGATAAGGTAACACTGAACAATGCTGAGCTAATGAGGGCTACAGAAAAATGTAGCCTGTGGTTTCCCAGATGGAACAACACATATTTGTTCACACTTTCATTTTAGGCCTTCCATCTGCACTTAGGAAAGAAAAGGCAGCTATTTATAAACATTATACATAGGAATCTTTCCATTCCATGAAACAAATGACAACAACAGGGCCCTGGATTCAATCTGTACAAAATACTGACCATTCTATTTGAAAATATTACTCCGTCAAGGCCGTAGCAAATATTTATTTTCATGTCATCAGTTTAGGTAACATCTCAGAATTTCAGCTTCTATAATTTCAAAAGTATAGCACTATAAAACCCAGCACATGTATACATTGGCACGTTTCTGCTCATAAAATTTAAATTGTAATGTATATTTTGGTCAGAGAGTGTGAACTGTCTTGTTGTTGGTCGTAATTGTAAAAAGTCAAACCAAAGCTGCTTTGGTGCTGATCCTGTGCACCGCACTTCACTAATTCAGAGGCAAAACTGAGAAGCGAATATGAAAGGGAGGTCAGCCCCCACTTTCCCCCCCTCAGGTGGATTGAAACAACCATGTGGGTGTCACTTCATGTGACGATACCTGTATCCAAACTGAATGCTTCCTCTACCACATACGCCACTGTACAATAAGAAACTGGCCACACTTGAGAGTAGAAATGCCATAACAATAGACTGGAAGCAAATTGGTTCCAAATGTGATCCTCCTCACAACCTGCACAGTCCCTTAATAAGAAAATGTGCTTTCCATTTAAGTGAAATTCTTTTTGCTGTATTGGAAAGGACCACAAGACCATTTTTATGAGTAAGACGCAGACATATCAGAGCTGGGTTATAAGTGCTGCTCAGCAGAAACTGAACAAGGCAAATGCATATTGTGCCTTCTCACTTGAAAGGCAAAGGCCGAACTCAATAAAATGAAGAGCAGCTCCATAAGGCGTCATCTCTGCAAAATTAACATGGATTGCCATTATTACAAAAGAAAATTACAAAAGGAAAGTGGTTCATAAAGAGCAGGAAAATGGTATCCATATACGATACAAAAATACTATGATCTTTTAAAAAATACAATACCACTCACTCATCCACTCACATTATCTACAACTCACACTATCAGTTCATTCACTTAAATCTAAATTCATTTCTACACATTCTAGTATGACAAATTTCCAAGATGCTTGCAAGTAACACGTTATGAGTGTCCTTAGAAGGATATAGAAGCACTGATGTGAGATGCAATTCACCAAGTACTGTAGCTGCACAGCTTTCCTTCATGTGAACATAAATTGCATACTCACAATGTCTGAAAATCTGTGTCCTTTATGTTTACACACAAGCATTAGTAGTTACGTGACTAGTACACCAAGTGTATGCTTAGCAGTGGTAAGCATAATGCTGGCCTAACAAATATTGGCATAAGTCTTATTTTGATATATGGCACAGGATATTCTTTGGCTGACAAGAGAATAGGAATCTGTACTTGCAGCATGAATACAGAGCTATCAGATCAGTGCCTTATAAAGCACAGAATAGGATGCTTTAAAGTCCATGCCCAGATTACTTCATACATACAATTCAGGTTTCTTTCTTTTTTAATGAGACCAGCACTTCCAAACATAAAATGTAGACCTCAACAAGGAAAGCCTCAAACATCCTTCAAATGGCTGGAAGGGAGCGCCGCTGTTGAGATGTTAACTCTGGATGCCAAACATCCACAATGAATATCAGGCGATAAGCATCAGCATCCTGCCACACTTCATGTTCAAAAGAGTCATCAAAGATAAGGATTTTCCCTTCTTCCCAGAACCTGAAAGACAGAGAAGCCATCCTTTATTTGCTGCCTCAAGAACCACATCTCCATTCTAGATGAAAACCGTGCACAGATGACCAAACTACCCTGGAGCTAGTAGCTTTACTCTGGAATAGCTTGATATTAGCTCTTCCATACAAAAAGGAGAATTGCACTACTCCATAAAGCCAGATGTATGATATAAAATATGTGGTAGAATGCACATCCACATTGATCCAGAATCTGTAACAGATTCTCTACATTGTGTTTACTTATTGTTTGATTGGGTTAGATTCTAATTTAAGGCTCTTCACACAACCTCCTCTTTCTTTGCTGTGCCCCTCACAAATCTGCCCCTGTCTCTCAAGCTAACCTACTACACAGGGGTTTGGGTAGGATGAAATGGAGATAGTGTCATATATGCTGAGAAAAGGTAGGATGCAAATGTAATATATTCAGCAACCAAGTTCGGTAAGTCTGAAGAACTGTTCATCTGTTTAAGCATCATACTGAAAAACATTGAGAGGAAAGATCAACATCAAGGAAAAAGAAAACAAGTATGGTAATTTTCCAAAGCAAATCTAGGCTAATAAAGCAATATGTACAAATTAATTCTTAGAAGAGCAAATGAACACACAAGATTCACTTTGACTGACTTTTATGAAACCATCTTACTAGCAAAAACCTGAAGCAGAAGTTAATAAACTTATAATCCACCAATGAATACTCTTCCTTTTCTATGATGGGGTTCACATGCCCTCAAAGGTAATCTGTCATAGGCTGCATGCCAGGTGTCCCAGGAGCCAGAGTCAATGATGGGCAGAGCTAGAGTGAAAAGTGTTCAAATGGGAATATGGCTTCTATCCTAACTTTGTTTCCAGTTGGCTCATGGAAATATCAAGAGGTACTTATCTAATGTGGATAGGGCCTATAATGAAGCAATGAAGCTAGTATTTCATAGAATCATAGAACTGTAGAGTTGGAAGGTATCCAACCCTCTGCTACACAGGAATCTCAACTAAATCATATCCAACTTCTACTTAAAAACTTCCAAGAAGAGTCTGTCACCTCTATGTGACAAAAATACAGTCATCATCTACCTATTTTTTTAAATCAACTAGAAACCTAGAAATTTGGCTTATGACATGTGTTCAGTCTGTGAGATATATGTTGATTGAGTCATTCAAGAAGCGCTATTTCTGAAAACAGTTTCTTACACCATGGTGAAGATCAGTGCAAATATGACCGGCTTTTTGGTATTTGCAGAGGTCTCATTGTGCCCTTTGCAGAGTTGCATTATATCAGTTCATAGCATATTTCCTGAGCTTGGCCCAGTGTTGTCTAATCTAGCTGCCACTGAGGGCCACTTTTCCTTTCCCCCATCCCCTAATTTCAGTTTGCAGGACATGACAACCTTGGACCTCTTTGAAATAATAATTATCCAGTGATAGCAACCTTCTTGGAAAGAGATGCTGCCTTGCCTCGCTGGTTCTACCATACACAAGTATAACAGACCTCTTTGGGTCACATGAGTTTTCTCTTTGATGCCTGATTCACACCATTAATTTGGCCTCTTGATGGGACACTGCAAGGCTTCCCCCATAAGGTTCAGGTTTACACAGAACACGTTATATTTCTAACCACCATTTCCTCCTTTTTTTCATGATCCTGTGAACAGGAAACCTTAGGAGCATCCTGACGATCTCTTAATTCCTCCAAAGTCTGCGACTGGCAAAGTCTCTGATTAGTACTCTGAAAGTAGAGCTTGTACCCCAGCTCTCAACTCAGGGATTATCCTACGGAAGCAGAGAGCAATAGGCAAGAATATCCATCGCTCACCTCACTCCAACATTGCCCTAGTTCTACAATGAGAGCAGGCCACAGTCTTCTCATAATTAATCTCTGATGAGAACAAGACTGAGCTTTAAATACTGCAAACAGCCCTGGACATCACATTACCATAAAGATTTAAAGAGAAGAAAATTCAAGAGAGAGCAATAAACAGAGGAAGCAATTAGAGGAAAGGATTTAAGCTTCACAATTGGAAAGATGTTCAGAAGTGTTTTGTTCACCCTACTTAAAAGGGACCTTCTTTCAACTAAATTCATAGCGCTGAACATTTTGGCTGATACTTTGACTAATGGAAAATACAATACAGTGGAAGTGTCATAATCAAGAAAGAAAACTCATTTATTTAAACTGATTTTTTAAAGTGATGGCTATGAGGAACCTCGATCCTAAATTTACACACCAGAACTTTGGATAGCTGCTTCAAGTGTTGTTTTAATAGAAAAGTGGGAATAAATGTTAATTCTAATCCAGATATATGAAACCCAAGGATTAAAATAGTCAGTCCTGTAAACTGGCATGCAGGATTATAGGCAACACCATGCCAGTTCTTAAATTTAGCTTCTGTCTAATTCTGGTGGAAAGCAGGTGACAAACTTGCGTAAGAAAGTGACTCTATTTAAAGGGGGAGGAAAGGTTTGTTTGTTTTTATTTAAAAAATTGCATTAATTAGCCACCAAAAGTTCTGATTCTTGAGAAAAACACTAGTGCAAGGGAAGTGTTGCTGTCGAAAATTTGAAGAGGATTCTGTCATTTACATAGCCTTGAAAGAGATTGCTACACACACATACAAAACAAAACAGAACAAAACAAAACAGCTACAGAATTGCCAGGGCCGTTAATTGGTTTCTGGGATCAATTGCTCAACCTACCACTGAAATGGAAATAAATGTGGGTTTTTGTGTGTGTATGCCACACTATATTGTGAATGAAAAGTACCACAATGTGATAATCACAACATGATATCGTACAATTAGGATTATGTCAACACTGGGCTATGTTGGTTGCATCAACTAATGCCCATCTCTTACCACTAGACACTCCTGTATTATACGGAACTCTCCTTTGACAGCTTATTAAGTTTAAATTATTTGTATTTCATATTGCATTTTGAATTGCAGCATCTGATCTAGATCATGTTTATCCCTGTAAAAGGGCTGGGTAAGGTTTTTGGAGGGCTTTTCTGCAGTAATATATTATGATTGTGTAATGGCTTTCTCTTTTGTAATAAGTAAAAGCTTGGAATGGAAATGACAAACAATGACTAGGAGAAGCTAAACATTCATTAAATTTCTCATTATCAAATTTCTGAGCAACATCACTTTGCACCTAACTCAGCTCAAACTCCTGGAAACAAATATTATTGTCAGTGACTAGTCAATAGGAGCTAACGGCTGCCACAAACTGACATGTGTGGTGCAGTATTAAAATTAGGTATATGCTGGCAAGTGTCCAAAATTTCTGGTGGAAGTAGCTGCAATCACATTATATATACATAAATAATTACATGTTAGGAAGATGATTGGCACATGTGATTCCCTCCCCTCCCCACAAAAACCACTAACTGGGTTTCTACAATGGTAACAGTTCCAAAGCAGCTTTGGCATGATTGGCAGACTGGAAAACAACACTAGCTTTTAAAGAATTTTTCCTGTATACTGCCTTAAATTGCAATCTTATGCTCACTTGATAGATAGATAGATAGATAGATAGATGATAGATAGATGATAGATAGATAGATAGATAGATAGATAGATAGATAGATGATAGATACTGTAGAGAGATAGATAGATGATAGATATAGGTAGATGATAGATAGATAGATAGATGATAGGGCATGTCAACCAGCCAGTGCTTTTAACTCGTGTGTGTTCTGTCTGGTAACCAAATGCTGACAGCTTTGCCCAGGGTCTTCCAGATTTAATCCAGCCCCCCCCCCAAAAAAAACCTGGTTCTGCCCAGACTCACCAGGTTCTGTATAATTATTATTATTATTATTATTATTATTATTATTATTATTATTTATACCCCACCCATCTGGCTGGGTTTCCCCAGTCACTCTGGGCGGCTTCCAACAGAATATTAAAATACAATAATCTATTAAACATTAAAAGCTTCCCTAAACAGAGTACTGACTCTGTTTGCTGGGGAGCTCTTCCCCTTTGGCTCCTGTCCCCCCTCTTGTCATCATAAACCCCAGACCGGAGGATAGGGGAGGAGGGTGATACCTTGTTTCTTCAGCACACCGAATCTGGCACCCTTCTTTTGGAATCACCAAGCCTAGATGCATCCTCAGCCTACAATTTGTAGGCCCTGTGTGAGGCCAGACATGAGTCCCTGGGTGCATGACAGAATATTTGATCTGCAGAGAGAGGCATAGTTTGTGGGTTTTTTTAAAAAAATCAGTTCAATTACTCTAACTTGCAGAGAGTATAGGACTGTGTTCAAACCAATTCAGGCTGACAAGCCAGCACTGCTATGTCATCTTGTGTTAGCAAGCCTGTTCATGACTATGTCCAGGAACCTTGATATAAAGGTTCTTTAACTTCTCCAAAGCACATGATAGGAGCTTTAATTAGAGCTGAATCTCCTAGAGCTACTTTAGAGCTCCAATACAATCCCACCCTCAGGTCACACCAAAAATGGTTTGTTGCAGTGTGCAGGAGCACACTTAATAAGGGGCGGGGGGCGGGGATTGTATTTCTATCAGAATTGTAGGAGTGGGAAGGAAAGTTTAAAACTTGCATCTCTATATGACCCCCCTTGTGCTGCTCAGCTGACTGGGAAACAGCTGAGAATGGTGGAAAGGAGAACTACATGGGGGGGGGGGATTTAGGTGATCAGTAGCGTTGTGACCCAGGTAGATGCCACGCAGTGGGCCAGAAGCATGACCCAGGTAGATGCCACGCAGTGGGCCAGAAGCAACCTGGGGAGTGTAGATTGCACACTTCTGAACAAGAAATAGAAAAAAGGCAGGTTTCTTTGAGACTATGCATACAGATCAGATAATGTGCATATTGTCCTGGGAACGTCCAAATGCAGTCAATATATGTACATTACCCAAGGCCTGTTGGGGATTATGCATAATGGCAAGAGAATGTTAAAAATTAAGCCACAATATGCACATTTCCCAAGATGCATAATAACCAGGAAATGTGCACAATCCCCTCTTCACTGAAATATAACGTGCACATTCTCAATGAGGCCTGGACAATGGCCTGTTATGCACATTAAACACTCAACATTCCCTATAACATCTCTCTCCCCGCCCCACCTCTCTCTTCCCCTCTATATCAGTTAGCACCTGTCCTCTTCTGCATCCAGTGGCCTCTGGAAATCGTTCCAATAAGGCACATGTTTTGGGAACACTCTTGCATGCATTTTCATTTTTTCTTCCTAGAAGGAGGGGGAAAACCACAACTTAAGCACCAGGAATCTGAATTCTTAAAACAAAAGATTAATCAACCTTTAAATTCTCCTTCGTCAACCTTCAAAGTTATTCAAACACTTGAAAATTATCTCTGTAAAATTCATAAGTTTATTTAAGTCTATTACAAGTCCACAGACCTTCTAATTCCAAAAACAAATATTGATTCCATGCAAAGAGGGATTGATGGGAAAAGCCTTCCAAATTATGAGAAAGCCCATCCACAGTACATTTTTCATTGTTAATAATTTGAACAAAAAACAGTTGGACAAAAACATAGTATCTCTGTAAATTCTGTACAAGTTTGTTATAAATCTAAATAGCTTGGTATACAAAGGCTGCAACTGATTCAGTTACGTGTGTGTCTCTCTCTCTCTGTGTGTGTGTGTGTGTGTGTGTGTGTGTGTGAACACCAGGAAGACTGGTGGGCCGAGTTCTGTTGCACTCATGTCTTGCTTGCAGGCATCCCACAGGTGCTGGTTGGCCACTGTGCAAACAGCAGGTTGTTGGACTAGATTGGCCTTGGGCCCGATATTCTAATGTTCTTATGTACATGTCAGGGACTGGACTGAAGAAGAGGTTTGGGAATCACCTCCTCCTTCTCCTCTGCTTCCCTTGGAGGAGGAGGGGTAGGGGGGGATCTCCAGTAGTTTCAAGAGAAGTGGGAGACAGGATTGTATTACAGCAAAACGCAGAGCTGCCAAGTTATGAGATCTTAGGAGAAGGAGGGGAAGTTGGAGAAATGCCAGCAGAGACTTCCTTGGAGAGAACAGAAGCTCCACCACCACCGCGTACTCGTCGCTCACTTAGAATTCAAGAGCAAAGGGCTCAACGACATTTGACTCCTGAAGCCTCCCATAGAGCCATGGGCTGTTGCTGGAGAAAGAAGGGGATGGGCTCAGAGTGAGCAACGTCACCATGGAGTTAAGGACTGGATTGTTTTCCTTGCTCCACGATTACTGAATAAAACCACAAATATGAATTTTCTTGTTTCTTCTTTGATCCTTGATGCTACCGGGGGGAGGAGAGAATCCCTTGAGCCTGACAGTACATCACTCTGCTGGAAAGGAAGTGATCAAGGGAAAAAGAAGACTGCTTCTTATGTCTCTATAAAAATGTCACAACAGTAACATGCATAGGACAATTTCTAACTTTTTACTGCCATGTGGACAAGCATGATCCTCGTATCAGGAAGTCTCGAGTACCTATTGGACTTGCTGTTCCTCTTTTTTGCTGTCAGTCCCTTTCCCCCGGTCCTTGCACAAAAGAGGGCAATGGCAGGAATGAGAAGGGTAAGCAGCTTCCACTTGCCTCATCCCCTCCCTTTGTGAGGCTGAATGTATTGGTCACAGAGAGAAAGGACAAGTGAACAAAAAGTGGTGATAGTGTCAAGGAGGATGTGGGCCCACTGAGGCCACCTGGCCCAAATAGATTGGATCCAGCACTTGCTGTAGAACAGCCATGCATTTTCATTTTATTGCAGTCTGACTTCACAGGAACAAACCCATTTCCATTAAAAGGACAGCTTTTATTAAAATTGCAGCATGGAAACTGAGTGACCGGAGAGAGGGGAAAATTAGCGCTTACAAACCTTGCTGCCAGAGAGTAAACTGGCTCCAGTCACCTTTCTCCCGCAAGTTCTCATCTTCAGGCAGAAAGAGCCCTTTTCCTTTATCCATCACAGCAAGTCCTTCATCTCGAATCACCTTCCAGTTTCTCTCTAAGGACTGAAAAGGCAAAAAATACCAAATAATACATTAATTTAGTATTTAAAGAGCATTCTGATTTATTTATTTTTACCTTAAAAATACACAGCAGCAGTAAGAAAGCATTTAGCATCGTTAACAAGCTTTCCATTTTCCATTTTCCATTCAGTTAAGGGTTTAAAACAAAACGATCCATGTAGTTTCTTAGTTTCAATTACCTTTGCATCATAAAAATTTCAATAATCCCCAGCCACCTACCAAAGTGGCCTCCACTTTAATTTGCTTTTGATTAGCCGAGGGGGATGTTCAGCAGATCATTTTATACTATGCGCTAACAAGAGTATTGATCTTCACAGTCACAGCGCACCAGAGTTTTCAATAGAGCTAACAGAGAATTGAGAACAATACTTTGAATTCCAGAAATAAATGCAGCACAATGTACACATGTCTTTTAAGTCTGTAATGGCATGTGAAATCCTCAGTGCTCCCCCCCACTCCACTCTGTTGCAAGAGTTGGCCCCAGACAAGTTGAGAGAGCAGAACATTCCCATAGCCCAAGGTGCAAAGTTAGAGGAGCACCTCTTTTCCAGGTCACTTCCCTCAAATTTCTGATTTGTTGCTAAAGCATCAAGCAGGAGTAACTCCTACAGCAATATGACTTCAACAAATGTTGAGATCCCAAGGCCTTCCCACCTCTGTCTCACCCACATACTGTTTAATGGCATTACATGAATTCCCTAAAGGAAGGGTAATGGCATTATTTTTAGTCCACAAACTTAACTCAAGCAACCAATAGCACTTGCCATCATCACATTTTCCCAGACAAAGCTTTCCACAGATTCTCTATGTACTTATTGATGTTAAGCAGAGTTAATCCCCTTAATTTACAACTTAATTTCATCAGCAAAACAGAATCTTTATCTTCTGTTGCCTAAATGATTTAATTCGTGCATCAGTCTGCCAAGCAATTCTTTTGCTATTTAACATCACACAGGCACTTGCAAAGCCAGATTATGTGCCATGCAATTAATTGGGCACTGCTTTCATTTCCAAAGAGCAATGCAAATATATTGTGGTTAATGACTGATACCAGCACCTGGCAATGCCCAATGTAAGAAGGTGTCGGAGAAAAGGGAACTGAATCATGGTCTCTCTTATGCAGAATGGTCAACTCTTTTTTTTAAAAAAATTATTTTTATTCATTTTCCAAACAAGTTTTATACAATCAACAAATTGTTTTACACTCATGCTTCAATTTTTGACTTCCCTCAGTTTCTCTGTCAATCTTTAGAAAAATTTCTATTTATTGACGCATTTCTAAACATGATATTGCCTTTCCCCACTCCTTTTCCTCTTACTCTCTTTTTTTGCAGTATTTCTTACTATTTCACAGAGTCTCTTCAAAACCAACAAGCGTTGTCTGTACATCACATATATTTTTCAGATATTCTGTAAATTTCCCCCAGTCCTCGATAAACTTTTGGTCTTTCTGGTATTGAATCTTCCCAGTCAATTTGTCCAATTCTGCATATTCGGTCAATTTCCTTCTCCATTCTTCCACTGTTGGAATTTCTTCCTGTTTCCATCTTTGGGCCAGAAGTATCCTTGCGGCAGTCACTGCATATTGAAACAGTTTACAGTCTCTCTTATTGATTTCGTTTCCTACCATTCCTAATAGAAAGGCTTCTGGTTTTTTAACGAACGTATATTTCAACATCTTTTTCAATTCATTGTATATCATTTCCGAGAAGTCTTTCACCTTTTTACACTCCCACCACATATGATAGAAAGTACCTTCTTTTTCTTTACATTTCCAACACTTGTTGCATGTTTTATACATTTTGGCCAGTTTAACTGGCGTTATATACCATCTGTAAAACATTTTCATTACATTTTCTTTCAACGCAGCACATGTCGTAAATTTTAGCCTTTCATTCCATAATTTCATCCAATCATCATACTGTATATTGTAACCAAAGTCTCTTGCCCAGTGTATCATTACTAGAGGTCTTCTTCTTCATCTTTTGTATGCCACTCCAGCAACACTTTATACATTTTAGACAGGTTTTTATACTCATTATTCAATACCTCCACTTGGAATTTTGATTCTTTACCTTCATACCCACACATTTTACAATCTTTTTTAAACATTTCATTAATCTGAAAGTAGTGTAACCAGTCGTAAACAAATTCTTTCACCTCTTCATAAGTTTTCATTTTCCATTCCCCCCCCCTCTTGTTACCAATTCTCCATATGTTATCCACCTCCCCCTCATATTAATTTTTTTCACACTCATCACTTCTAATGGTGAAATCCAATGGGGGAGTCTAGGTTCCAACAAGTTTTTATACCTCTCCCACACCTCTATCAGTGATCTTCGGAAGATGTGGTTTTCAAAACCTTTGTGAATTTTTTTCTTCTCATACCATAGGTAAGCATGCCAACCAAATCTGTTGTCAAATCCTTCTAAATCGAACAGCTCTCCATTCTCTAATTTAATCCATTCCTTTATCCAACAGAGGCATGATGCTTCATAATATAATTTCAAATCTGGCAGGGCGAAGCCACCTCTCTCTTTTGCATCTGTTAATAACTTAAACCGAATCCTTGGCTTCTTACCCTGCCAGATATATCTTGAAATTATTTTTTGCCATTCTTTAAAAATTGATGCCCCCTTAACTATCAGCAATGATTGGAAAAGGAATAACATCTTTGGTAGCACACTCATTTTTATCGTGGATATTCTCCCCCAAAAGGACAATTTCAGTCTTCCCCACACCTCCAAATCCCTTTTTATCTGATTCCACATAGGTAAGTAATTGTTTTGAAACAAGTCAATGTTCTTGGGGTTAACCATATTCCTAAATACTTCACTTTGTTCACCACTTCTATCTCTGTCCTTTGTTGTATTTCCTCAATTAGTTCTTGATTCATGTTTTTAGCCATGATTTTCGTCTTTTTTTTGTTGAGATAAAATCCTGCAACTCGACCAAATTGTTCTATTTCTTCTAAGATTCTTTCAATACTTTCCACTGGTTCTTCTACTGTCAATACCAAGTCATCTGCGAATGCTTTAACTTTGTATTCATTTTTCCCTATAGACACCCCTTTTATATCTTCATTTTTCTTACTGATTTTAGCAAAACTTCCAGCACCATAATGAATAATAGTGGCGACAGTGGGCATCCCTGCCTTGTACCTTTGGTTATTTTAATATCTTCTGTGGTATAGTTGTTTAATAGCAGAATGGTCAACTCTGGTGGTCAACAGATATGAATTTCAGTTCTCCATGGATACTAGTTCTTCAGTCACTTGAGATTCATTCCCTGAAAAGCTTGGGGAAAGCTCAGGTATCCTCATTTGTGTGAAATATGTGCACCATTATTGAGCCTTCCTCAAGTGTAGAAAGAAATCTGCATGGTAACTAACTCAATCACACAGGTCAAAGACATTCCAGATTGCTTTGCAAACTGACAATATAGGACATTGTTTAATCAATCATTTCCAGTTACTTGGTTATTATCTAAGAATGGCACTGCTGTGATCCTTCCTAAATGTCAAAGCAGCATTATTAGGAAAATGTACAAAGTTACCTGCCTTATTTCTTTCTTTTTGCTGCCAACAATATTTCTGATGACACTAGAATAAACTGACGGTACTTTTAATGATCTGTATGTAATCTAAACAATGTACTGAGGACTGACAAAGGTACCACTTGATTTGCTTGAATCAATAATAATGTACTATAGGATGTCAGAACAGAAGCTGAAAGGATAAGGTAAGGGAATATCAATTCACCAACACAAGGAACAGCTTTACTCAAGTTAAACGCAAGCTTTCCTTATCTGAAACACAGATAGGAATGGTGATTTTCTTATGGCCTGTGCAGTACTGTGATTCAATAAGGATGAATCCTGCACCGCCTTGCCAAGAGAGTTGTGCCAGGTTCCCTCGGGTGTAACTGTTTTGGGTGGCCTTTGGCTGAACACTTCCTCCTTTGGGGTATGTTTGGTATGCTGATGTTTTAATTCCGATGGCTGCCTTGTAATTGTTATTGTGGTCCTAGTTTCTCATGCTAATATTTCATTATTAGGTGCGATTGTTTTATATTACTGTTTTTTTGAATCGTTGGCACTTTGAACTTCTAAGGAATTTAAGTAAAATAAATGAAATAGCTAGCCGTCTTCAAGTATTTAGCCTGAACACATGAAAACAAAATGCACATACTTCTCTTGCAAAAGCTCTCAGGAACCATCTCCAGACAGCACTTGCAGAGAAATTTGGGGAGCTGCTGCCAGTCTGTGCAGACAAAGTGTGGCTGAACTTTTTCAGCCTGAGAGCCTCACTGATGGTCAGCTACCTTTCTGAGAGCTGCATGATAGCGGTGGGTGTGGCCTAGGTATGTGTGTATACAAATATATTACAAATACACACACACACACACACACACACACACACACACAGCATTTCCAGCTCTCCCTACTCCAATGCTGCCGTGAGGGGTGGCTGAAAACTTTGCTTTTTACATATCATTTTGCGCAAAATAAAAGGCAGCATTTCTCTTCACATCAGCACATCAGTGGGGCTTGGTCAGGAGTGGAGCAGGCATGCACAGCACACTGGAGCTGGGACATGTACCCCTTGAAGGGCTGAATGTGGGGCCAAGTGGATTCAAGTTGATTATTCTCAGCACACACTCCCCAGTACTGTCAGAGACACCTGAACTGAAGCACAGGTGAAATGGTTTAGTCTTGGCTAAACAGTAACCATAGTCAAAAGCCAAACTAGACAGCATAGTATGCCCTTGCTTCTCCCTTGCAATTTTTTTTTTTTTGGGGGGGTGTTTTACTAAATAGCTTGGGAGGAGTGATCTGGCTTAGGACCATGAAAGGAATAATCCTGGTCCCTCTGCAACTACTATTTAATGAACAGAAATCAAGCATATAAGGGCCCATCATGTGCAAACCATGGCATCTAGTCTGTGCCTAAGCCCCAATTAAGCAATATTAACTTCCATGATGTTAAACGGAGGCACAAAAAGCATGTGATGTGAGCAAAACTGTGTTTCCAAACACAGACCCACCCTATTTAGATGGAAAGCTAGCATGGAGAGTGTGATTCAGAAGACCAAACAGGCACATGATCATGGAGTGATGAATCCACCACTGCTACTCTCAAAGTCCATCCTTCGAATCACTTTGCTCCAAAGTGGGCTTTGATACTGGAAGTAGGGCCAGCTGAGAAGAAAGCAATTGGAAGTGAGTGTGGGAGCTTCAAGGAGGGGTCAGCACTGTTATGCCTCTTCAGTGCTTTGCATCTTACACTCCATAGCCAGATTTACATACAAATAGGACAGACACACATTTAAATACATTTTTAACATTAGTCTATAAACCGGGCTCAACACTGAATAGACTGAATATGAGTAAGACGAGTACTTTGCACCGTACACAAGCTTGAATGCTGCCAAGTCGGTTTGGTTTGAGTGCCTTTTCTGCAAACACGTTCACAAATTTGGATTGCATGGGCTGCAGAGAGAAAACGTGTCCGGATTTCTCGGTTTTAATAAGTAAGAAGGAATAGAAGCACAAATGACTGAAACAGCTGTCTTTATTAAGCTTGTTACTACTCTCCTGAGAACGTTATGGCACTTTTCGCTTGCAGCAAAAACACAGCTCATTACTAGAATTACCTTTTTTCAAATATTGAAATAATTTTATACAGCATTAACATGGAAGCATGAGGACTACAAATGTTCTTCTCATATGTCTTCGCAACTTATATTTCTAATTCCTTAGGCAAACTTCCAACTGTGCAAGCTACTTCAGGCATCTAAAACATAACACCAATTAGAGCAAAATATATACGTGCATCAGCAGAAGCATAGGCTGTTATGCATACAAAACAGCACAGATAAACATCAGTTGACAGTATTACCCAAGGAACAGCCCCTCTAGTACTATATCACTGCATTGCTTCATCCTGATGCTTCATGCATCTCACTCAGGTTTCTGTTTTTTATAGTTAGCAAATATTAGCTAGACTGATTACACGGCTGTTATTCCACATGGAGAAAAGCTTTTTGCTCTTTTTACTAAAAATAGAACAACATGAAATAAGTGACATTGGAAAGAATATAAGGATACCTGAAGATAATGTCCAATTCCCTCATTTAAAATTAAATCTGAGGTGGGAGATGTAAGGCATTATTTGGTACTTTCTCCAGAAAGATTTTTTTTGGGGGGGTGCATATACAAATTAATAGAAAATTATAAACATGAAGACTTGGGGAGACTGAATTTGGACAATGAGACCCCATCTGGCTCAAACTAAGTTACCAAAATCAGCAACAAAAGAAGAAAGTGCCCCCACATGTAGTTGGTCTGTCTTTGTGAAAATTATATACTGATGTTTTTTTTTAAAAAAAATATCTTCCAAGTACTGCAATGCTTTGCATCTTTGTCTATGCAAGTTTTGTATGTAATGGACCCAAGCGTTCAAAAGTATGCCTACAAAAAGTTAACATACCCACAATGGGAGCAAAAGGGAGCAGGTGGGAGTGGAAAATGGCTCTTAAAAGTTTCCTTGATCCAAGACAATGTTTTTGTTACCTCTGTGGGGATTTCTGCTTCTAGAAGTTTTGGGCTTTTGTGAATATATTTGTTAGCAAATAAAAAAACTGCGAAGATTCAAAACATCAAGTATTTTAAGGTAGCTCAGATCTTTTCCAGACAGTGCAAGAATTTTATTCTCTCTGTGTGTACCTATAAATATATATGGGTACAAGTGAACAAAAATGGATCACTTCCAAAGAAATAGCATTATGTCTGCTGCTCTGAAACATTGTTATTTTCAGGTCTGTCTGCTACTTCTTGAATAAGGCAGGTGCCTTAGTCTTATAAATATTTCTTGGGAAAGAAAAGGTTGATAATGAGCATCTTGGAATATGCATGCTTATGAACCTACAGCTTGGAAGCAGGCACCCATGGGTTCTGTTTCATGATCTGTGTCTGAATGAGAACATGTGGGTGTCTTTCCCCTTTTCTGACTGGCATCCTGTAACTAGTCATGATTACATTGTGCCACTAGGTGCGACTAGATGTAGCACCTTATGGCCAAACACAAGCATTAGCTCTCTTGGGGGGAACAAAAATCAATCAATCAAGGTTCATTTAGTCTCCAAAACAGCCAGACTATTCCATCATGGGATGCAGATTTAAGAAGCCCACCTGAGCTTTGAGTGTGCAAACTTACCCTACGGACCATTGATTTCAATAGGGCTTTCCTACAAGAAAGCGTGCAGATGGTCAAAATGAATGAGGATATTCATGCTAGAGAACATTTCTTGTTAGGGAACATTATCCATGCTAACATTAAAGCATGTTCAGAAAAACCAGATGTTTTAGCCTTTTACAGGGACAACAAAATTTAATAATGTGTGTGATCCTGTTAAAAGGGGGAGGGAGTATAAGTCTTCTTCTTATTAGCATGGAACATTAAGAAAAAAAGCAAACAATTAAAATAGATGGCAGCCTCTAAAGTTCCTCTATAATCTGTTCTAGAAATGGAAATCTCACTGACGTTTTGAAAAAAGAACAATAATTGATGATTTAATAACAGAGTCTAAATTGTATTTTAACAATAGCAGAGAATAGTGATTATAAATAATTTAGCTGTCTATCTCAAGGGCTACAAACAGTGATGAGTTTCTTCTCTGTTGTCTGAGTTTTGTATTTATTCAGTTGGCCTGATGTTGTCTACCTTCTGCAATTAAACGTCCCAGTGAAGCCTCTAAGAGTTATGAGAGCACAAGGGAAAACAAACCGGCATGTTATCCACTAATTACAACATTCAGCAATTTAAGGCTTGCCTCCCAGTAATTAGTGTAAATTACAGACTTACTATGGCCATAAAAACTCAAGTGGTCCAGCATGTACATTTTTTTGTGTTCGCTCACTTCCACAACTCATTCCCTTAGCAGAAGAAGGAATGTCACACAATGGACTATGGCTCCCACTGAAATCAAGTTAGTCACATGACTTACTTAGGTCCTGCTGATTTCAGTTGGTCTACTCTAAGTATGACTCAAGTCTGGAACCAAGCTTAGGTGTCAGTCACAAGGAATAAAGCAGCATATTGTTCTATCTGCTGAAGTCTGATCTTATGCATGCTTACTGAGAAGTAAGCTCCACTGTGTTTAATGAGATTTAATTCTAGGTATGTATCCAGAGAACTGCAGCTGTGGAATCTACTTCAGACAAAAATCTATATAGGAGAATTAATGAAACGTAGATTTTTACCCTGATTATTATTATTTTGTATTTTTATCTCCTATATTTTCCTTCTTGCATTTTTCTATGTATGCATTGTGCTTGCAAATAATTTCAGTTTTCTTTTTGGCATCATGCAATATGCAGAAATGTCTGCTGATAACAATCTATAAAGTAAAAGAAAGCATACTGCTCACCTTGACCAGGTCTGTATAACCTGTTTCCTTTGCTGTCCACCATGGCTGAGCCTTTAAACCCTTAACATTGTAGAGAGAGCGCTGCCAGACAGATGCAAAGTGACCCCGCTGGTGCCCAAGTTCATACCACTTGTATGCCTAGAAGATTTTAATTTGTTAACAGCTCATTTACATTAGCTACACTTCAGCAGAAAAGGATAAATCAATAACAAATATCATATGCTAGCAAATTCCTCTGTGCATGCTAATGATGCTATCTGCCTGCTTAGTGATTGTTCCCCTATAGCATCATCACAAATAACCAGCTGAGATGCAGTGATCTGGGAAAAGAGAACAGAGGTGGATACAAACAATTTAAGATCTTTTCCATGAAAACCTGCAGCACCAAATAATTCAGTGGCACTCAAGTATACCCACCATCCACGTGGAATATGGATGTGCCTATAGAAATTCCTACTAGGATGCTGCTCCAGTTCTGCCCATCTTGCAATAAAACACAAAAAGCAAAGACATCTTCTCTACCTCCTGTAAAAAAAAATAAATCTATCTGCCTTCCATGGATAATATCTACAAGGAAGCTACCAGTATTGGCAGTTAAGTGGTGAGGCCATTTTGCAAAACCACACCCACAGTGGCCCACGAGAGTTGTGGGATGCCAGGGTCTGGCCTTGCAGCTGAATCTGATTCCTCATCCCTACTTCAGTACATAACCAGAAGTGCAGAAATTAATCAAAAAGTATATGCTGAAAGTTTTCTTTAAAATTTTGTCCCTAATGTCAATCCACAATCCTATAACCAGTAAGCCACTCAACTACATCACAAAGAAAGGAACTCAATATACTGGTCTCTAAAGACACAGAGGTAAAGAGAAATAGGTTTTAAGATGTCTTTGCAGCAATGCTGCTAAAAGTAAAAAAAAGGGGGGGCAATTAACTAAGCTTCTTCTCTGTAGCCATTTCTATGCACTTCCTTACAGAAGAAATGGGGTGGGGGGATCCTACTTAAACATCAGGAACTAGGAAGCAGTTTGGTGTGATCCAGCTAAGTGTATTCATAAATAAAGGTAACTTATATTGGATTTCACCCATTGCAATGCCATCTCAAAGACACCACTGCACGGGGAATTTCCCACTTCTTTATGCAGGGTGCCTCCGACCATTCAGCCTTTTGTTATGGTCCACGTAAAAAGCTTTAGGAATTTTGGCAGTGTGAATTAATGCAAAAGCTGAATTGGATTTATACCCAGCTCTTGTTCCCTAGGTAGAGTCAGCCTCTTCTAATTGGTTTGACTAAGACTACAGCCCTATTTATTTCCAAGTCTTCCCTTGAACCCTTCTGTCTGCTTAACAACCTGCAATTTCATCATAGCCTCTGATGACATTTGGAGTTTGGCTCTTTGCTGTGCTTCCTGCTTCAGGTTCCTGACCAATCTCACACTCTGGACACAATAGGGCCAAAGTCAACTCAGATCTTATTTGCCTTTTCAGATGAAACTCATTGAACCTCCATTAAACTCTACCTCTTTGTTTCCAACTCTCTGCATGGCATCACCCAAATGGAAATAAAAGCGCCCGTCATCAGTGCCTGGGTCTCCTGATTCTAGACCTTCCTAGAGGGATCAGAAAAGAATGCCAGTTATTCATTTTTGTGTTTTAAAAAAGCTTTTCAGTTCCACAGCTAACAAAATGTAGCAGCGTGCATGGCTGCTATTCAGGATTTGAGCCAGCTATGCCCTTTACTAGGAAACTCTATTCCATTTCCCCAGCTTTCAATTTTTCCATCATTCCATGTCCATCAAGCTGTTTTGGGGCTCCCCCACCATAAAGATTTCTTGTACTTCTGAAAACTTTAAGGATCCCCCAAGGCTGCTTATACATTAAATTGTACTGTCATTTGGGCTGCCTAAAGACCCACATGCAGATAGTAAGTCAATTACTAGTATATAGGATACCTGTATTTATATAATTCTTTCTCAAAGATATATTATCTTAAAATTCCTATAATGTATTATACTGCACACACTTTCTGTTCCTTCAAAGGATGCGTAATCAATTATCTATCACCCTCTTTCCCCCATGTCTTCTCTGCTATTGTGTGCCAACTCTACTATTTCTAATGGAGGTGGAGAGTGGCCATGGTGTGTTTCCCCCACAAATGTTCACATGATTATATGAACTTGTGAAAATGTCTCTACATGGGAACTTGCTTCAGAAGAACCATCTCAAACGTGGTTGTGTGAACTGGTTCTTAGAGGGCAGGGAGTAAGTTGCAGTGCTAAATAACTGACCTGAAGCCCCATGCAGGAAAAGAGATCTTGCATCCAGGGGATGGATCAACATAGTAGTGATAGCAGTAGTAGTAGTAATATTAATAACAATAACCATCATCATCCTATACCACCATTCATCCAAGGATCACAGGGCAGTTTACAATATAAAAACACAAAAATGTATACCATTTTTGAAACAAAAAACCCCAAGACCCCCCGCAGTTAAAAAGTCCATTGATTGTTTAATTAGCCAAAGGTATGGGAGAAGAGGACTGTTTTTGCCTTCTGCCTAAAGATAAGTAGCAAAGGCACCTGGTGCCCTGGGGAAAGCATTTTGCAAGTGGGGAGTCACTGCAGAAAAGGCCCTTTCTCGTGTTGCCACCTTCTGAACCTCTCGTGGAGGAGGCACATGAAAAAGGGCCTCAGATGGTGATCACAGGATCTGGGTCAGTTCATATGGGGAAAGGAGGATTTCACGACCCTCTAATATTAAATAGTACAGTTTTGACCCTTTACATATAATTTCCTCCATTTATTGTGCTTTCCAAAAGAAGGAGATCCTAATGTAAATATTACTTTTAAATAGGGAATGCTTTCTGCAATCTTGTTCTCTGCCTTCAGGATGAAGCCATAATGCACTTTAGCAAAGCCGTCATTAGGAGCCAGGCTCAAAACCTGTGAAAAAGCAAAACAACAAATAATTAGGGCTTTACCTCTGCAGTGATTTTGAATTGTTTACAGAGACAGTGCTATATATTAGTTCTTGGCTCAAAATAAGGATTTATTTCCATTAGTAGTCCACAAGCAGACCACTGGTTAAGGGTTTTGACTATGCATTATTGAACATGTATGTCTAATTGGAATTGTCCCTGCCTTTTCTCTTGCCTGCAAGGTCATGCAGCAGACTTCTTGGACTAATTCAGCACAGTCATATAGGCTGGCATTACATATTGTGTGTCACATGGAGATGCTTCAAAATTGCATTTAAAAAAGTAAATTTTATTAGAGTTTGGAAAAAGGAACACAAATATTATTTATTATATTTTTTATCAAAATTAAAATGTTAATCTAAATAAAACCAAAAACTAAAAAGAAAAAGAAAAGAGAAAGAGAAAAGGAGATAGAGAAGGGATAAATTAGGAGACAGGAGAAGAGAAAGATGAAATAATGAAGGAAGGAAATAAGGAAATAAGGAACATACCCTATGATGTGTTTTTATCAAGTCATGAGACTTCATGTCTCACTCCACATTATTGGCTCCCATTGCTAAAGGCAGGGAAACTCACAACTTGGTGATATCATGATATAGACTGAATCAGTCTTCCCCAATTTGGTGCCCCCCCCCCGATATTTTGGACTAGAACTCCCACCAGTCCCAGACAACATGGTCAATAGCCAATGCGGATGGGAGTTGTAGTTAAAAAATAATAATGTGACGGGCACCTGCTGGGTTAAGTGAGCCTAAATGTTATGGAGCAGAGGGGGAGAACTCAAACAGGAGGGGAGCCATTTTTTGGCAATACTTCCATGCTGCATGTAAGGTGTGTTCCATCCTCAGCCATGGACAAGAAGCTGTGCTGATATTCATGGTCTGGCCTTCATTTTCAAACAACATACCAAACGTCAGCTTTGACATTTGCACAATGTATTTTTATGAAAAGAATGTTTAATTAGTACAGTGGTACCTCGGGTTACATACGCTTCAGGTTACATATGCTTCAGGTTACAGACTCTGTTAACCCAGAAATAGTACCTCGGGTTAAGAACTTTGCTTCAGGATGAGAACAGAAATCGCAACACAGCGGCGCAGCGGCAGCAGCAGGAGGCCCCACTAGCTAAAGTGGTGCTTCAGGTTAAGAACAGTTTCAGGTTAAGTACGGACCTCCGGAACGAATTAAGTACTTAAACCGAGGTACCACTGTACACAGAACTGTGGGAGCAGAGAAGGAAGGGAATTCTTCCTGCTACTGTGTCTTTTTCAGCCATTTAACTATAATTAATGCAGAGTTCAGGACTAACCTCAAAACACTCGTCTATCTGTGGCACAAATTGGGAGACAGAGCGTTTGCCTTCAAATTTCTTGAACTAGAGAAATCCCTTGAAGAAAGTTAAACCAAGATCTATTGCACTTTGAAAACAAAAGCAGCTTTGATTTTTACAAAGCCTATATTTAATGTATTGTGTCTCAGTGCCAGACTACTAGATTCAAAGGGGAAATAGCTAATCGGAGAAAAATGAAATGCTATCCCTTTCTTGACACTGCCTTCAAGCTGTGATACAATGGAAGATCTTAAAAAAATTGTTCGCCAAGAATGGACAAGTTTCCCATCGGGTTGAATTCCAGCTATAGGAATAAAATTCTTTGATTCAAAGTTCACTGTTTGGGTTCATTGCTGAAGGTGTGTGTGGCAGGGGAAATAGGAAAAAAGATTCAACATGACCAAACTGCTGAGAACAGCATTTAGGTCAACCATGAACACAGGATTTCCTAAAAGTTATTCCTACTGCTGACCTACAACTTCTCATTCTAGTGCTACCCTTTTGCCAACATAGGGGAGGGGGTGCAGGGATTTTCTGATTCTCGTTGGCCATCAGCAGACGGTGCTTCGTGGGTCTTCAACCACATTGCAATGCCTCTAGTCAGATTTCAAGACTCTATTCATAACAGCAGTGGAGAACCTGAGGTCCCCCAGAAGTTGTTTGCTGCCAAGTCCCATCAGCCCCAATCAGCATGGCAAAGAAAATGACAGGAGTTGTAGGGAACAACATTCGAAGCACCACACAGTCCTCATCCCTATTTTATAGGGTACAGAACTAGCTACATATAAACTTTGTATTAAAACTTCAAATGAGTTATGATGCTCCGCCTGGTATACCTAACTTTGTTTCTTCATCAGACCATTTCACATGTATTCTTTAATTTTTAAACTGTAACATCTTTGAGCATTTTGTGAATGAGATATGCTTTTAAATTGATGTACAACTGCAGCTGGCTGGAATTATGTAAGTGACTGCTTCAGGAAGCAATGCCCTCAGTTTCAATGAGGTTCAGTTGCCTTCAGTGGCATTATCATACAGTCAGATTTGAATGCCTCCCTAGAGTCATGGTACAATCCTGTTCACATGCTTTTTAGTAGACCAGGTTTTCCCATGCGAAGGAATGACCAGAAGGGGGAAAGGCAAGTATCTTGGAGTTTGAACAAGAAGCTACGCAACAGGGAAACCACACAGTCTATGCACACTTTAGCGCAACTGTAAGAGGAAACATTTGCAGTGTTTGGACTGGTCAAAATGAGGGTACCATGGCCTAAAAGACAGGGGTGGCTACCCTTTTTTGGCTGAAGGGCTACCCTGAGGGTCAGTCAACTAATCCAAGGACTACATGCCTGTGGTAGGTGTTGCCAACACATATTTATCACACATGCACCACATACAAAACACACACACTCTGCACACACATTCATCCTCACTAGGCTGGGCAGGGAAGTTTAAACCTCTCTCCTCAGATCAACCCTGTCATGGGGTGATTTGTCCATCACAGTATTGGGCTGCATGAAGAGTTTTAACCCTTTCCTCTCAGCCCAGGACTGTGATGTACAGATTTTGCCACTGCAGCCCTGGGTAATGAGGAGAAGTTCAGGCCCAGCCAGCACAATGGAAAAGAAAGCCCCCATCTGCATAATTTGCAAATCATACTCCCTCTTGCAGGGAATCGTTCCTATGAGGAAACAGCACAGAATGCTCCTTCCTGGTTCCTGTCTGGTAAGACCACCCAGCAATGGAGGCTTTGCAGAGGGAGATGTACCTGATTTTGTTGTGGGCTGGTAGGGCTGCTGCAATCACCTTTCAGCCCACTGGTTCACCACCTATGCTATAAAGAGGCAGATGCATACTTTTATTGTTTGCAAAATTGTAATGTTCTTAAGCCTTGATCAACCTGTGGTACTTTAAAAAAAAGTTTACATATTCTTAATAGAAGCTCACCTCCTCATAAACCCTCTTGGCATTGCTGTTGTCACCAATCAAAAGGTAACCCACTCCTAGATTGTTCTTGAATGAAGTATCATTGGGAAACAGGCTAACAAGTTTTTGCAGTGTAACCAAGGAGCCTCTCATGCGACCTAATTGAATTGGACAAAAAACAACAACAGCTTGGTTACAAGTAGGAGTAGTCTGGGATATAGCAGAGGAGGTAGCCAATCCAGTGCCTTCCAGATGTGGTTGGACTCTCATCATCTCTGCCGATTGGCCATCCTGACTGAGGTTGATGGGAGTCCTGCAACATCTGGAGAGCATCATGTTGCTCATGCCTGCAATACAGTATGTTCAGCTGTTAAATGGGCTCAAGTGATTAAATATATAAAAAGTATACATTACTAAAGACCGATAACACAAAATGTAAATACGCATGTGAAAATATATGAATATTTTTCTCACTGACGTCTTTTACTACTAATTTTAACAGATATGCCTTAGGAAAGCAAGCTGGTGGATTGTATCAGTCAGTCTTATGGAGACCTCTTGTGGACAACTGTGGCATTCCTCATATCACAGCTTTCATTGGACAGTGGTAATAAGGGGGTTCACAGCATGGATAGATATGCCAACAATTAATCTCCAGTTCTTTAAAGTGCAAGTTTAAAGCTGCTGGTGCTTTTTAACTACATTAATTAAGGGTATAAATAAACTGCAATAAATTCAAGCGGGGGGCGGGGGAATGTTCAGACTTCCTGGCTCACAGGAAGACAGTTGCTCACAATATTTGCTTAACATTTGTCCTTTCCATGAATCTGGGAGACACCTGTTTCTATCTACTTCTGTTCATTTCAAGTCATGCCTGTAATTTAATGCCACTGGAAAGAGACCAACAGTTTAAAACACAAATGCAGTGATGTACACAGGTTTTGGGGGTTTTTTTGTACAAGCATATCTGTGGTCTGTACAATATGATTTGACTCTGTGAAGCTGTATACAGTGGTACCTCGGGTTACATACGCTTCAGGTTACAGACTCCGCTAACCCAGAAATAGTGCTTCAGGTTAAGAACTTTGCTTCAGGATGAGAACAGAAATCGTGCGGCGGTGGTGCGGCAGCAGGAGGCCCCATTAGCTAAAGTGGTGCTTCAGGTTAAGAACAGTTTCAGGTTAAGAATGGACCTCCGGAACGAATGAAGTACTTAACCCGAGGTACCACTGTACAGGTAACACAGCTGTATACTGTTGAATATGCATGATCAAATACTGGCAAAAAAAACCCCACCCCTATCAGGATATTAAAACCAAGTATCAATGTCAAATCCAGATAGAAATCATTTGGAAGAATATTCAAGCAACTGAGCAGTATCTGTAGAAAAAATGGTGTTAAAATTCACAAGGAGGATTTTTTGAGACCAAATAGGTTTCAGTTTCTCCTTCAAAATCTTCTTGGCATTATATGATATACATCTCTAGTGTGTACTTACCCTTTAAGCTACATTGCGCAAACAGTTCTTTTGTTGTTTATCGTTCATGTAACTTTACAAACATATGCTGTATGTATCATCCATTTAATAAAACAACAAAGTCTTTAAAAACCCCCTGGGCATTTTTGAACATTTGACCTGCAGTAAGTGCAGATTTAAGATCCTTACCAAGAAATTGTTGCCGATCTGCCCTTCTTTTCAATGTGAGTTTTACCAGATCATCAGGGACATTTGGTAGACTAGCAACTTCACCATAGGTACTGATGGATCGCTGTAGTATTTCATTGCTTCTCGCTTTCTCTGCCAAGTCATCCTCACTCTGTGTGTGACCATAAATCATTCATCAGTGCCCAAGTCACCACTTAACTTTTTGTTTGTTAAAAACATGTTTTTACTCAATTGGTAGTTGTTTGAGATTGGTAAATGTCATTGGGAAAAGGAGATGAACTGCTTTCATTTTAAAGAAAAAGAAGAAGAATTCCTGATTGTACAAATGGACAGTGTAACACCTTCAAGCATTTTGGTGGCTACTTACACCAAAACGTACAGCAAGGAAAATGGAAAAAAATATTTTAATAGCTGGCAAACAGCCTCTACATAGCCAACCACAACACTGACTTGAAAAAATAAACAGGTATTTTGTTTCCGTGCTCATCTTTTGAAATGCCTGCAGCTTTGTTTTGTTTTATTCTGGAATTCATTCACCAAATCATGAGTATTTGTTCAAAGGTAGTATAAATCTGTTTTCACTTCAGAATGACTTTACTGGATGGAAAGTTGTAATAGCAAGTTGTTTTAACAAAGGGTTAATATGGTGAATTCTGCTGGCTTTTCTGGCTTTGGTTTATTTATTTATTTTAAGACGGATGTCAATTGAAGAACTGACACAGTTAAGACCTCCATATTTCCATCGTGTAATGTCAAGCAAGCTGATTATAGTGTGTATGCAAGTTATTTTAAGGCTACAAAATATGGGCTATAAGCACAAATCACTGGGAATGTCATTGCTTAATTGTATGTAACACAAGAAGCTGAGAGACATCCAAAGGAGAAAAGACAGGAGGTACCAAGCCTCTTCTATTCAAGAAAGGAAGTGTCACCTGCTCCCTTCTTTCAGAAGAAATTGGCAGTTACAGGAGCATGGGGGGGGGAATCAGTGCTAGGATTAAGAAACATTCAGTAAACCACCTGCAAGTTTCACAGCTCTGGGGGAAATGTCCTGGCCTCACTAAATAAGAGCTGCCTTTTGCAAGATCATTCACATTTCCCATTGTGTTCATCCTGGAGATGACTGGATTTATAGTCTAGGACAAATAGAGACATACACAACTAGACAATTTGTCTTTCCATACATTGCTTGCTCATTTTTTACCTGCGCTTTTCCATATCTTGCCCGTGGGCTTTGGGGGTACTTGTTGACTAATGCTTCAAATGCCTTCAAAGCTTCCTCAGCTTTTCCCTAAAGAAAACCATTGTTATCTGAAGTAATTTGCAAAATACCATGTGTAGGGAAAATATTAACATTCATTATTATTTACATTTCCGATAAAAGTGCTGAGAAGTCACCAGCTAACAAAGCGCCTAAAAATAATTCAGTCATTTATAAAACATTTTTTGTGGGAAAAGGAAGTAGGCACACAACACTTACAGTGACAGCTAGGGAAGCTATCTGTTATAGTTTGGTAATGTATAATACACCTTTTAAATAAACACAGGTTGGGATTGTTGTCGTTTAAATAAAAATAAAATATTAACATTATGAAATGATTGTGGAAGGGAATGGCGGGGGAATCTAAAATATCAGCACTAGAGTGGGTTGATGACCACAGGCAGTGGATTTTGGAAGAGCAACAAGTTATTATATTTCTGTACCCAGGGAGAAGTGCTTGTGGGATTTTATGTCTTAGATGCTAAAATAAACCAGCTAGGTTTGGGCTCAGGGTGTGGGGGGGGAGGAGACAGAAGAGAGGGAGAGGGAGAGGGAGAGGGAGAGGGAGAAGGTGGTATTTATTGCTCTTCCTCAGGGAGGGAAACATCTGGGGCCATCCCTGAAATTTCCCTTTTTGTTATGAAATGGCTTAAAGTGAACATCTTGAGGGGGGAAAATGAAAGCATATTGGGGGCTATTAAAACACATAAGGAAAAAATTGATTGAATATGATGGGTGGTATTCATTTGAGTTTTACTCAGAGTAATCCTACTGAAATTAAATACACGATGGCATCAAAACGAAATTATTTAGGTACCTTCTTACGGGCTATTTCACAGCTGTGAAATCCTTGAAAGCTTCGGTTATGAAGAGGTATGCAAATATGAGAAAAATATATAGATTTTAAAACTCAAGGCTGCCATCACATCTGGAAGAACTGCAAGTTTTACTTTACTTGGGCAGGGCTACTTCCCAGGTTCAGTTGCATAAAATGTCATAGGAAGCTACCATATACTGAATCAGACCATTATTCCACCAAGCTCAGTTTTGTCTACACTGATGGCAGTTCTCCAAGATTTCGGACAAGTCCTTTCCTAGCCTTACCCGGAGTTGCTGGGGACTGAACCTGGTACCTTCTGCATTCAAAGCAGATGCTCTACCACTGAGCTACAGTCTATACATTTTAAAAGTACTGAATTGCTGTCTTTGTCCATCCACCCCTTACAATAGACATAAGCCTATATTGTGATCCACTAGCATTGCCAATAGATGGGTTCACAACCATTTGTAGTGTTTATCAGTGCCTTCTGAGGTTCTCTATGCCTAGAATTTTATGCATCTTTATGTTCTCTCCAGCAACAGCCAATTTAAGCTCAGTCGAATTTCATCATTACCTTTTTACGCAGCTTCTCTGCAGCATCGAGTTCAGCTTTAATCTGTTTATCAAATTTATTGAGCAATTTTGGTTTCTTTTTCTTCACTAGAAAAAAAAGAGATTAAAAAGAAATACAGCATTTCTTCCCAGAATTCAGAATTGACTATTTATGAACTTCTTTAACACCTTAATGCATGCTGAATGATATCTAACAATAAGGAGCAAAACTGTAGTGTTTTTGTATTTACACAGTTACAATAATACTGTGACAAGTCCAAACTGGTGTGTGTGTAATTGAATTTCCAAAAATAAAGGGGGGGAAGAGAAAAAAGAAATGAAAAGAAGAAAAGAACACAAGAGAAAGATAAACTTACAAAAAATCTTACAATTCCACATATTGAGATTACCCTCTTGACTTCCCCCCATCCCAACCATGGGTCCTCTTAATTATATTTTAACTGCATACTGACATTTCTCCAATTATTCCGTCTTCCTAAGTTATCCATACTCTCTATTTCATTTAGTGTATTTAGAATCCTGCTAATGTTTTGACCCGTTTGCATTACTTTTGTATATACATTATAAACATCTCCCATTCTTTTTTAAATTTCTTGTCTTCCAGTCCAAATTGTTAAGAATGCAAGAACATAGTTAGAGCCTACTGACTCAGGATAATGGTCCATGTAGTCGGCATTCTGCTTTCTTAGTAGCCAACCAGATGCTGGTGGGAAACCAGCAAACAAGATCTGGGCACAAGAGCAGTCTCCCCTCCTGTAGTTTTTGGTAACTGGTATTACTGCCTCCAACTGTGGAAGCAGAATATAGCCAACATGGCTAGTAGTCATTGTTAGCCTTCTTCTCCATGAATTTGCCTAAAGCCATCTAAGTTGGTGGCTATCCCTGCTTCCTGTGGGTTGCAGTAGCATCTGGCCAGTACCCAAAAAGGCAACGGTGCCCTCATCACACTCCAGAGTAGTTATCTGAAAGATCACAACTGCATCTGAAGCCATTGCTAGTCATTGAGCTATTCAAAGTCATTCAGCCACTGGGTTTGTCAGCAACTCCATTCCCTGTATCGGTGCAGGAGGAAGGGGTAACAGGATAGTAGGATTAAGGATCAATTAACAAAGAACCTCTATACCTGATTTTAAAGCAGGAATTGGGAACCTTGGGAACCCACCCTCACAGATGCTGTTAGATTCCAACTCTCACCACCTTCATCCAGCATGGCCAATGGTCAGGAATGATAGGAGTTGCAGTCCAACAACATCTGGAGCACAATGGGTTCCTCATCCCTGTTTTAAAGGATTTAGCTAAATATATGAACATCATCGGCTTATGGTTATTACCACAATATGACAAATGATCAGCATAAGGCACAAATGTGCAGAACAGGCCATTAGAATCATTTGATCTTATTTTCCAAGACTTGGAAGGCATGCTTTCATGGACTCTTTCCAAGAACACCCATATGTTTCAGGACACTGTGTCGGCAATCCACCATATGGTATCATGTTCCTGAACTATCCAAGTAAATGAAAGGCCCCTGCTTCTGCTAGTGCTGTATAATAGGGACACAAAATGTAGCAAGGTGTATAATGTGAGTGGTCATTATGATGTTGGAAGGTGTTCAGTAGGGCCAGTTCTGGGGTGACTTCTAATACTTGTTTAGTTATTTTGCATATCTCTTGTAGGACTGCTGTTCAGAAGGGTTGGATTTTAGGGCATTCCCACCACATGTGGAGGCATGTGCCTCTGGAGGTGCAGCCTCTCCAAAATCTTGGTGAGGTTCCTGGGCGTATCAGCACCAGTTTGCATGGTGTTAGGTACCACCTGTAGGTGAGTTTCAGGCTGAAACCTTCTTTGGGCTGATAAGGACTTAAAGGGAGGTTTAGACCACATTCTAGTCCAATGAGTGGGGTTAATTTCATAGCCTATGTTATCCTCCCATTGTTATTTGATTGAATCAAGGGGGTTTGTGGGATTTTGGAGCAGTATTTTGTATATTGTGGATACCATCCCTTTGCTGTGTCCCTGAGCTGTCAGGAGAAGGTTTTTGAAGGTGGTGAAGGGCCTAGTGGCTGCTGATTTGAATTAAACACAATGCTTCAGGTCCTAACTTAAGGAAGTTGGTGATTATGTCACTTGCTACTCAAAGGTCTTCAAGCACCAATGCAAAAACTAAGCATTCACATTATCTTACCTTTTTCTTTTTGCTGAGTTTCTTTTTCACTTTGTCCTAGAATATGTAAAAGAAAAAGAAAAAGTTTTGTATCATCACCACAGTGCTATTTTTAAAATGCATACAACTGGAATAATACCCACAAAATAATGGGTATATCTTCATTTTGCAATATTGTCAGGTTTTTTAATCTATCAATGACCTAATAATATAATATAATATGTTATTATGTGCAGAGAGTAAAGAATAGTTGTTTCGGTTGTGCCGGAAAAGGTAAGGACTAAAGTTCATACCTATTCATTCTCAATCCACTTCATTCAAATGAATGGAAGTTTTTGCCTGCATACTCTTAACTTAATAAACCACTTACATTTTTCATCTTCCTGCATTCCAGATTAACATAACTAGTTCTCTCTTGAATATACTGGTAGTTTATGTATAGAACCTTTCAGACTTCTATATATAGACAACAGTGTGGTGGTGGTTTAATTCAGTTTACCAAACATTTCAGCTCCCTTTGCACTATGCCTTGCACTTGGTTTATGCATGCCAACCTTCTCCAGCCTTATACCTTCCCAGGTGTCTTGAACTACAATTAACCAGTATGGCCAATGGTCCAAGATGGAAGTTGTACTCCCAACATGGAAGGCGGGCATCAGGTTGGGGAAGACTGATAGGTGCCAGTCCCCTCCACCCCAATGTGATTGCTTCTGGTAGGATGTTGGGCAATTGATGTACTCAATACTTGGTCAAGTTCATGTGCAGTCTCCAAGTATATGAACTGCCATGATCTGAGCTATCATATGTGATTTGAGCACCAATGGGAACTCCCTTCTTGATGCTAATAATAGCTTCTATGGAGTGATTTTCTTCAGGATCATAGTGAGGATTAAACTCCAGCACCGTATCCATTGCAGTTCAAATCCTGAGCAAGTGGTCCTAAAAGTTGTTATTTAGAGTTTTTTAAATATATATGCAAAATTAAGGTCAGGTGTATCTTACAGTATTCCAACCCTGTCAGGACTCAATAACCTTTTTATGTTCAAGACAAATATGTAATGTGTTATTTCCCAACTACCTTTAGCCTATTAATTAATTTGCATTATATGGCATGTGTGACAAAAGAATTTTAGTCCCCACCCCACCCCCATACATTTCAAGACTTTGCCTCTTTTTTGCTTTGAGTTTTGGTGCTAACCGCTTTTCAGTTCCATTGTAACATATAACATCCTGTGAAGCAAATTCAGCAGGTTAGTCACATTCATCAGCTGCAATAAAAACAGGGAGCCTTGTGGTACCTTAAAAACTAACATATTTACTATGTCATAATATAGATTTTAGTCTTTAAGATGCCAAAAGACTTTGTGTTGCTCATGTGAAGTAAGTTCCTCTGGTTATGTTAAATTATCTGTTTCAATTCTATCCATAGTATAACACAGGGATGTGGCGGAAGTAATATAACCAGCACCATGGTGCCTTAAAAGACTTCATGATGGCTCATGAATCAACTCTAGTTCTCCTCTCCTCCTGGCTCACTACAGTGGTACCTTGGGTTAAGTACTTAATTCGTTCCGGAGGGCCGTTCTTAACCCGAAACTGTTCTTAACCTGAAGCACCACTTTAGCTAATGGGGCCTCCCGCTGCCGCCATGCTGCCAGAGCACAATTTCTGTTCTCATCGTGAAGCAAAGTTCTTAACCTGAGGTACTATTTCTGGGTCAGCAGAGTCTGTAACCTGAAACGTATGTAACCTGAAGCGCATGTAACCCGAGGTACCACTGTATAAGCCTCCCAATCACTAAAGCATTTAGGAACATCTAGCAACAGTTATTGGTAGAAGCTGCTGTATTGAAACAAAATCCACCATCAGCTCCAGATATTGCCTTAGCACATACACTGTGAACCTACACACTAAGGAGGATACTAGCCCGCTTCTGTTTCATAGTGAAAGGGTAAGAGGTTATGATAAAACTGGTGAACACTTCAGAAAAAAAAAAGATTGCAAGCATATAAACTGTAGGAGTTTATATGCAGATATAGGACATACATGAATTCACATTAAGCTGGTTTCAACCACCAGTTCTGCATAATAAAATAACTAGTGATTTCAAATGGTATAAAGAAGACACAAAAGTGTTACTGAAGAGAGATGTTTTGTCAGCGATTTGGAAAATAATGACTGCACCAGTGAAAAGGTTCTTTTGTACTTTATTGCAACCAATCATTACATAGAAGAAAAAGTTCATCTTTTAAAAGTCCCCGTTACCTTGCCCCCATGGCACACTTGTGTAAACATGAAAATTATGTAATTATAAGCATTTTAAGAACTTGATCACAGCATAATAATTTTCTCACTCCAGCAGTCTAAAAATATATTGTCGCTATTGTACAAAAACACAATCCTATTTTTCTCTCACGTCCTTAAAAATATGGCTTTATAAAAAATTATTGCTCTTCCACTTAGAAATATGCAATTTTTCATTCAATGAAGAATAACACTTTCATTTTATTTATTCCTCAAATTTATATACCACCCTTCCTCCCCAAGGAGTCCAGGGTGGCAAACACATCAATGATAAAACAATACTTTGCCTCAATCTGTATTAACAGAACTAGAGGACTATTGCTTCCTGAAAAGTATGAATGGCATGATCCTTCCTGTACAGTCTCCCATTCCCTGCATTGGCCTGGTGTGATGCCTGTGGGTGCAGAGCTTCTGGTGGTGAGAACAAGGCTCTGTTATATTTTATGGGAATCATTCATGCACAGATGCAGTACCCATGTGGGAAGGGAATATGCTCACAGAAATCTAGGATATATGCTACATACAAACTATGTAGACCTCTCAATATATTGGATTCCAACCCAAGAAAAATGCATCACATTTCTCCTTACTCATGTTTCTACATTAAAAAAAATAAATCTAATTATCTCCAAGTGCTGGCTACAGTTCACAAGTCAAAGATTCCATAATAATCCTAGTGAATTCCCATTGACTTCAATGCTACTTAGTGTTTCCTACTGATATCTCAGATTAAACTGAGATTATCTTTCTCAGAGCAACAGCATTAAAACGAGAACTACTCCTGAGCCAAAAAAGGATAAAATAATTAAAGTAATGTGGATCTATTGTAATGCAACAGCACCATGCAATAGTTATCTATACCCCTAACTTTTAAAAAAAGTTTACCTTCATTTGTGAGCAAAATAAGGATTTTATTAATAAATACTGATTTATATTTATAATAAGAATTTTTTGGTAAAGAATATTTGTTGAAATCAATCATATTCTGACTCATTAGATAGACTCATCAGATAACTACAACCCTTGCCTCAGAATAATCCCATTTATTTCAGAGGGGCTACTGTTGATTAAGCAGTTGTGGGAATACAGTTTAGGTACTTATGCCGATATAACTGCTGACAAACAGTGCATTACAATGGCAGGTCTAAGGGCAAATGAAAAAAAAAAAATACAATTAAGCCAAGTGGAATTTCAATGTAAGCTCTGCAAACTTTCAGACTGCTATGGAATTCTTCAGTGTTCATCAGAAGTGGTGGTTACAACAATAACATTTGTGTGTAGTGTAATTATTTAAGTAATTCTGTAGATATGTCCATCATTAAGGTGTTTGCTACACCTGAGCATAGATTAAAGTGAGCTGAGCTCAGCTAGAATAATTACTAACCAACAAGTATAGGTCTAAGCCAAAATTTCACAGCTCTATTTTAGTAGTGTTCGCCATAAAAGAATGTAAATATATCACAATGCTATTTGATCACATTTTAAAACTTTGCTAACTAAGATTGCTTCCAAATTTTAATGCATCCACAGATATATATATATTAAAATCTTAAATCATTTGTTGCTACATTATAAATAGCATATTACAATTATGTGAACGACACATGTAAAATTCAGATACTACAACCTCTTGGTCACTAATAAGGGAGAAAATAAAAACATGTATATTAAAAGCTACAAAATGTTAAAAATGTATATTGGGGTTCTAAATATATGCTAAAGGTATACTAAAATGTGAACTGAGTGCTACACATTTTCAGAGAGTTTCACAAGTGATGCGTAAATAGTTTTTTTGCATCTACAAATTGAATGAAAAGTCTGCATTGACCAGAATATATATTCAGTTTAAAAATAGTGTTCTATTTCTGGCTAATACCATATTAACAACATCTACATGAGATGCAACTCAAATGGGAAAGTCTCCTAGCATCACTTGTGAAACACCTTTAGTGTTTCTCCCTCCACCACAAGTTTCTCAACTGCTTAGTTAATTACGGCATAAAGTCTATAACAAACATCTGTTCCCATTGTGTAGAGAATGGTTTAGGCTGGTCCTCCTGCTGTAGGGACAGTCTTTTTGAAGCTTTAAGTATCTGAAAAAATAAGGGGAGATCTAAATTAGAGGACCAACCATGATACAAATTATTTTTTGAAATATTCTTTGTTACTAATATGCAACTTTGTAGCAAAGGAATTTGGTTGTACCTTTTATTAAAACTGTATTAGTTTTAGACACAAAGTTGCTATCTATTAAAGAGGGGAAGCAACAGCAGACCTTGAAGGACAACCTTTTTGAGCAAGAAAACAAGAATCTCTTCCCCCACTACACACATACACACACCATACATGAGGATGTACCTAGGGGATGGCCAGATTGGCCCCTGCCAAAGGTGCAGGTCCAAGGAAGCGCAGAAATCATACCTCTCCACTCTGGCTCAGAGTGGTTAGGAGTCTGCCCACTCTCCTTGCCAAGGGTGCAAGGGAGCCTAGGTACGCCTCTGACCATACATGCATATTATGAGAAAAATGCATTACTATAATGAAAGCATACTTGTAGAGTAAGAACTCTCTACAATGAGGGTTCGGCCATTCAGTGTTAAGGATGGAAGGGCAGATTTGCTTACACCCCAACACTCTACAATTGCAGTATTTTACTTCTCTGCCTTGCAAGAAGGGTAACTGGCAACCATTCACTTATATGGGAAAAAGTGAAGACATAACATGGAGATAACCCCAGGGTGGAGGCTAAACCAAGCGTTATCTGTCTGCATAGCTCTTCATCTACATGGTTCCATCCTGGGTCATTATATGTATGTATTTGGAACAGGGCAGAGGAAAATTTATGCTGATGCATCTGATATAACATCCTGTGCAATTCTGTGGGATCAATTGCAGTTATTGCACATTGCATGGGCCAAACACACACACCGTTGTGGTCTGTTTCACTGATTAGACGCAACAGTATGGATAAAGAAAAGGCACTGAATTTGAAGGCAGCGCTAGCCACTTATAACAAAATGGGAGCTACAGTGTGCTTTACTACTATGCCGCTCGCATAGGGACAGGGGCTGCTTGCCCCAATTAAATGGTCATCTGACTTGCTGTGCCTATATAACTGCTACTTCACATGCTGCAGGAGAGTGCCATGACCACCACACCCAATATAAATTTAACTGGATGAATCTCTATTCTGTTAATGTTGCCCTTATCTTCGCCATCACAATCTTAGCCTTATGTTTGACTCCATCAACTATCCAGTTGCCAAAGTCTTTTTATTTTCAAGATGCATTCTCTGCTGCTTACACATTCATAATTTTGTTACAATCACAATTTTTTGTACTCTCTCACTTTCTGTTAGATATTTCAAACTTGTCCTCTTCATATCCTTCCATTTCTACCTTCCTACCAGAAACAACCTTTCCTTCTCTATTGCTTCTCTCTCCTTTTCAACTCTCTTCTCAACAGCCAAGCCTTTATTTCTAATCCATTCTTGATTCACTTTAAGCTCATCCACGGGCATCCAAAGGATTTTTTCCCCAGAGGCAGCAGCAAAGCAAATACTCCAAACAAATGTAACTAGTATGAGAGAACAGGCCTACAATTTCTAGAAGACCTGGGCCTGCACCTGATGAACTTATATTCCATCTGTTGTTTCTGAATGGGTAGACCTGGCATCCAGACACCTTTTGACGACCACTCAAACCAACAATTATTTCCCTGGCTCAACTAACCCCCACCAAGCCTTAATTTATCGAACTATTCTACAATCAATTTCTCTCTCTCTCTCTCTCTCTCTCTCACACACACACACACACACACACACACAAAACACCAACATGTCAGAGTAACAACAAAGGTCTATATTTCAGGGTTGTTATAAATTATTATAACTCCTCATACTTTTCAGCATATGGATACAAACACTGGATTACATTGTGGATACACTCAGCCATAGTGTTCTGCGTCCCCTCCCCCAGCTTGCAGTAAGGATAAAATACCGATTGGTTTTAGCTGCATTGAGATTTCTTTTTTAATGTTGACAAATGGGAAAGGGCACTTTTTTGGTATTAAATAAAACCTGAGTTAGAAAGATCATGAACTCCTCTTTGTTGCTATCTTTTCTTTTTGAGTTGACTCCCCAAACTCAGCTACACTAAAATCCTGGATACATGAATGGCTCTCTATGAAGCAGCAATCATTTTTTACAACATAAAAGCCTTAAAAACCAACCAACAAGTTTCTTCACTAGACTCTAGCCCAGGAGTAGTCAACACAGTATCCTCCAGATGTTGCTGGATAATAACTCCCATCATTCTCAACTATTTGGCATGCTGGCTGCAGCTGATAGTCATACAACATACGAGGATACCATGTTGGCTCCCCCTGCTCTAGCCATATCTTTGTGTAATTGGCTAGATCTGTTTTCTTAATGCCACTCATTGCTATGACTTCATTCATTGGCAATCATACTAGTTTACAAAACAAGGAAAACAGTGCTTACATATTTTGCCTCGTATCTCTGGTTCAACAATGGTAGCCTTCTTTTTTAGTCAATGAAAACTGGAACTCTGATGATTATGGCACTTCTGTAGACTTTCCTACTTCCCTTGCAGTCATCCATGAGTTCACCATATCTGCAAATCTAATGTTACCTGATGATCCCCAACTCTATTTTGAAGCAGCAGCTTTTATTTCTAGAGTATTTACCACATGCTACTCATTAGTCCACCACTGACTTTTCTTTAGAAATGCCAGATGGATCAAGCCCATGTAGCCAAGCATTCTTTTGTCATAGTAACCAACCAGATGCCTATGGGATGCCCAGAAACATGAACTGCACACAACAGCACTCTCACCACTGTGATTCCCCAAAACTGGGACTCAGAGGTATTTTTTTCCATACTGCTCTTTTAAAATTTAACCTGAGCCCTGCAGGCAAGGACTTTTATTATCTCAACTGTGCCTTGGAATAGTTTTTAGAATATTCCATTTCCCAAAAAACAAAAAGTAGGGTTAAACGCTGAAATAAAAACAAAAAAGAAACAGAAAGCAATGTGCTTTACAGAAGCCCAAAGCTATGAATATTTCCATCTACCACTTAAGAATCTGGAAATTTGCAGCTGTGATCAAATCCCTTTGTATTTACTCATTCTGGCTCACTAAAAACATACTGAGGATGGAAATGAAAATGTTAGCACCTGTAATAATGCTTTGGTGCTAATCTAATGCCATCATTTTATGGGATGCAAAGTATCAGTTTAGTGTGTGAGAGACATGAAATACAAAATCAAATTTCTCCCACATTTGGTGTTGATAAGCAGTCACTGCAGCTGTGTTGCTGGCAATCTTTCACATCAAAAGATCATGTCCCTCTTTGCCAGGAAGTTTAGACTTGTGCCTTTGTGTCAACTCCATTTGACTGAAGATGTACCTGGAAAGCTGACTGTTTATTCCAAGTTGCAGGCTACAGGTCTCTATTTCCTGCAACGTGTTCCTGAATCCAGATCCTGCCAAGTCATGATACCACATTCTGGGAGTAAGGCAATACTAGATAAAGCAAGGTGAAGGCATGGCAGACGCAACACATGGTGGGTCTGTGATATGAGCAAGATACAGCAGTGGTTGCAAAGTCCCTTTTTTGCCGTAAACAGAAAAGAAGCCCGACTCAGAAGCTTTCGTAAGGTCAAATGTCAACATATGAACTTTTCTGTCATGTTGCTGTTAAAGGAACCTTACCCATGTGAGCCAGAGGCTTCCAGAAACAGTAGCAGCCACCACATGCATCTCCTTGGTGGTTATAAACAAACTCTGCGACAGAGATATGTATAGCTGAAGCTTTCTTCTCACAATGCCAGAGACAGGGCTTGAGAAGACATTTATTGTGGATGTGAGTCACTCACTGTTGTTTTCTACACCTTTATTGGATCTTATTGGAAGCTCCTGCAGCCAATCGGAAGCCACGGAAGCTGCGTTGGACATTTGGGTTCCAAAGAACGTTTGCAAACCAGAACACTCACTTCTGAGTTTGTGGTGTTCAGGACCCAAAACATTCGAGTCGCAAGGCAACCAAGGTACGACTATCTATATCTATCCTATCTATCTATCTATCTATCTATCTATCTATCTATCTACACATACGTATGAGAAACTACACTCTTAGTAAATTGCTGCTTATTCACTTTCTTTAACCATTATGGTTTTCCTTGGAAAAGTTAGTTGGGTTTGCTGAAATGGTAACTTCAAAAGGGATAGTCTGACCACTCTGCTAGACTAGGCTATAGAAATGGGTATCCATTAACACTGTACTGTATCAAGTTATTTTGTACACTGCCCTGATATCTAAGGGGATATCCTAACCCAAGGACTAGTTGGATGTGCCACATCCCCTGGCTCTGCTGGAGTAAGAGCTCCATCATCACAGAAGTCACCACTGTGCCTGTTGTATGTACAGCTGGAAAGCTACCAATAGTAGTGTTCCCACCACTGATAACCCATGGATGGAATTCAAAACTGGGCAGAGTAGGGATTAAAAAAAAAAAAGGCTTGGCCAAGGATTTGCTAGAACCTAAGCCAGCCCACTGTCAGGTGAGGAGCCAGCTTGAGCTGGCATAGCAAAGCAAAAAACAACCCAAAACCCCAGAGCTTTTTGTCCTTTGCCCTGGATGGGTGGTACTAGTAGAACTTTGAATGTAGCATGGGCTCTGGCACTATAATCATCCCACGAGCCAGGTGACCCCAAGTTAGGGCTGCATTTTAAAAGCATTTTAAAAGGTTTTAATTTATGATAAAATAAATAAGTAGATAAATGAATATAGGCTAATGAACTACGATGTGCATTTCAGTTTCTAAGAAACTGAATTAATAAAATAGTTCTGCTCACGACATATTGTTATATAATGGAACAGAAGTAATCAGAAAAAGTATATGCCCTGGTGAACAATTCTGGGCACACTCATATATAAGCACCATTACATAAACAGGTTTTAGCATAGTATGACAATATAATGTACAAACCTGTCTCATGGGGTTGAGCAGTCACATGATCTTCTGTATGTTCTCTCTCATCTACGGTTAACAAGTTGGAAAAACGTATGTTATATTATACCATGTATGTCTGTGCTATAATAATTTCTACTAAACAAACTGATACATTTTATATAAACCAAAATATATTCAGGCTGATTTTGTAGTTATACAGACATAATTAAAGAAATAAGATAAATACAAGCTTAAATTCTTTTTTAAAAATCAGCAATGATTGTATGAACTTTAAGGATGATACAGAGTATATAGGTTGTCAAATTGTACATTACAGCGTAAGTGTGTGACACAGATATAAAATACAGCATTCTCTTCCCTCTTGTTTTCCCCAAGCATTTTATTTTTAATACGTACATCATAAAATACTCTCTTATTTTTTAAGCCAAATATCTAAATATTTATGAGCTTTGAGCTATCATAGCTGGATATTTTAGCTACAGTATTTTCTTTAAAATAGTTTTGACTTCCGAAATGAGCAAACCAAAGAAAATGAGTGGTTTAATGGAGTTATATACCAACACCTGAGTCCTTAAAAACAAACAAATGTTTGTTCCAAAGGCAGGGCAGATTCAACATAACAGCTACGGTTTGGCAGTGTACTCCATTCTTAAAGATGTATACCCTCTTCCAGTGATATCCATGCATGTCTCCTTAAAGTAACTTTGAAATAGTGAGCTTCCATAAGACAAGAAAAGGCTGTACTAAAGCATGTTCAAGTGCAGAGGATGTCAAAACAAAATTGCTAAGTTGGCTGGTAGAGCGGATTTTCCCTAACTATGGAGTATGAGATCAAATACAACAGAGGAATGCCCAGCAGACATCCAGGAACCAAAAAGCTCAAGAAAGATAGGTAGCTGACCAATTAGTTCACAGAATCGTCAACTTCAGCTGGAACTTCACATTTAGGAGAGACCTGGGTCTCCACAAAATAGCTGCAAAGCAGCAGGGGTGAGTGGGTGTTATTTGAAACAGTAAAATGGTTGGTACAATGGAGTGATTAACTTTCTTCCCACTTGCTGCTTTTCCCCAGTGACATACAAGCACATCTAGAAACATGGCTGGGTAAAAAATGGGTGAGAGGAGCGTGTTACAGGGTAAAAAGAGATGTGGCAAAGAGCCCTTTCCCTACTTTTAATTGCACCCTCCACAGCCACTATGTAGATGGTCATTCTTGAATTCCAGTATGAATCCCTGCTATTAGCATAATTCAGAGTCTAGACAGCTATGTTATATGGTAAGAGAAGGCAAAGGGAAATCAGGTTCACAAATATCCTAGTAACCTTCCTTGCCACACTTGAGACAGGTAGCTTTAAAAATGGGGGACAGGTTTGATCTCTTCTATCTCCTCCTGACAAAGAAACTTAATATTCACTTTTCCCAGGACAGCAAAGAGGTACTAGCAAAAATAGCCTTAATACATTTCTCAGCACTTCTCACAGGACACCTTATGAGTCCACACTGATTTGTGATTATTTGAATTCACAGAAGCAAATGTCAAAGTGACATGCAAATATGTAGTATATAAATACATTCAGAGCTTTTAAGATCCAGATGTCTAAATTTTTATCAATACATTCAGTGGTTAAAAACCATCATCTTATACAATGAAGTTTCTGAGCAGTTCTCTGTCCAGTATTCCTTTTATTCCACACATGAACAGCAGGTAAAAAGTGCTTTCATGAATTAGAGAAAAATAACTTTAATAAAAGTTATACTCAAATTAGTTTCTCCCACCTTGGTTAATTCATGCAAACGTACCTGACTGAATTTGTTCAGTAGCAGAATGTGGAACATCTGCTTCATCTATGGGCACATAAAAATGAATTAGATAACATGCTGTTAGAGTAGCAACCAAATTAAACTAACAAAAACAACACCTCACAAAGAAAGAGCACACACAATTATTCCCTTATATGACAGCTGCAGGACGAATAATGTTTGCACAGAAATGGAGGGCCTAAGTAGCAGCTGTTACTAATGAGTAGATAGGTAAGGTATGGGAATTTGCTTTAATTATTAAACTGACATACTTTTGAGAAAAGAAGAAACAGGTCAAAGACAAAATGACATTATAACAAATTGGATCCTGGCAACTGAGTACTGCTGAAAGAGCTTTTAGCTCTAAAAGATACCTTGTGGATTTGCAACATCCTAAAATGGGACTATTGTGCTTGAATCATGCTTGTGGGCATCTGGCTGGCCACTGTGAGAAGAGGATAATAGATTGCTCACCTCTTCTTCCCTTTGGCAAATGACTGTACTGTTGAAATGGTGATGAGATCGCACTGGCCTATTTATTCTAAATGTTTGTATGTGATGCCAATAAAGGTTTGATGATGATGATGAGACGAGGATGCTGGACTAGATGGGCCATTGGCCTGATCCAGTAGAAGCAGGATCTTATGTTCTTTAATAATTATAATGGTGGTAATGATTATGATTATCATTAACAGCAGAAGCTGCTAATTTATAAAGGTAATTATACACAAATATGGGGAATTTATAGAAATCATGAAAGGATTCTTAGGACTGATTCCTAATAAGATGGAATGAACCATTTTTTATACTCACTTTCATGTGTTTGATCAGTGCTCTCAATTGGCTCTGTTAGATATATAATACATATAATAAATAAATCACAGCCTTTAAAAGACCAAAACTAACAATACAAAGAGGTAACATGTACACAAACTGTAATTTAAGAGCTAGGACCTTTATAAGCAGGAGAAAGAAACCTTACACTTTCTCAGACTCCAAAATACCTATTCCGACAACACAACTGAAAATCCCTTCAAATGTGACAAAATGCCTATGTGGAAAGTATTGCTGTTTAGGAAACAATAAAGTTAGATGTAGATTGGTCATCACATGCACACTTCTGTATTTTTCTTAGTGTATGCATACAGGAATCAATGACTGACCATGCCTCCATACAATGTACACAATGTACAGCAAATAATAAAAATACAATAATCACCTTTTCCCTCTCATTATATATCATTTCCCAGAAGTTTTTCACTTTCCTACATTCCCACCACATGTGATAAAAGTTTCCTTTTTTTTCTTTACATTTCTAACATTTATTACTTATTTTATACATTTTAGCTAATTTGACAGGAGTAATATACTGCCTATACATCATTTTCATCACATTTTCTTTCAAACATCTCCCATTAGGCTGTGCTTTTTCTACAACATTGTTTTCATATTTCAAGCGGACTTGAGATGCCAATATTGCAGCTGCTGCTAAGATGGGCATGTTTATTTAATCCAGCAATAAGCATTAGTTTTGCAGCATAATTCTTCTCACCACCACCACCCCTAGTTAATAAATGAATATATTCATTTCTAGATAAATGATGATAAAATGAATATATGCTTACCTTGCATATTTTCATAATAATGTTCGGATAACCGTTCTCCATCTGAAAAGAGAACAATGTTGTAATATAGTTCACAAGAAAATGTATTCTTTTTTGGCACCTGCTGAAAACATTTTCATTTAGATCAACCTAGCCAGATGTTTAGAAAGTTAGCATGAGTTTTTATTTGTTTTAGTCTATTTTATTATGGTTTTAACTTTCTGTATGTTTTACATTATGGTTGTAAAAATTTGAGTGATAATTTTATGGTTTTATCTTTTTTTTAACCACTTTGAGGTGTGTTTTTTTCCTACAATAAAATGGTATATAAATTTTATGAAACAAACAAAATATTGCTGCAGGCCTCTCTGATTAAGAAAAAAAAAGAATCCAGGTCCATGCTATGTAAATTAAAGAGAATGACTCCAGGCTTTCACAAAAATGTGGTTGGAACTCAGGGGTTTGGGGACAGAATAGATTGATGGAGTAGAGAAGACAACCAAGGCTGCATTTTGTCAACAACAACAAAAGGAAAAAAAAGATACAAAACCTGTCATTAGGGTTCTTTTCTACATGTTTATACATAATGTGTAGCTAGACCCTTAGAGAGTATCAATTATAGGAGTTGCATCAAAGGAATCAATGTCTATCACCAACCAGACTCATGCTGACAGCATTCAGTTTTTCCTGAAATTGCAGATTCTGTCAGCTTCTAGGACAGGCCTGGGGAACCCTACAATTCTATGATTCTATATAGCCTGCAGGCCTAATTATGCCCTCCAGGCCTCTGCATTAGGCTGCCAGAGCTCCCCATTTGGCCCAGCCATACCCATCTACCCTATACTTGATATTATATATAAGGAATGCAGCAGGTAAAAGCCTGGGCTCAGCTTTGCAAGGGGCTCTGCAAGACCATGTGGGCAAAAAATGTCACCCAATGTCACTGTTGCAACTTTGTCCACAACAACTAAGTAGAGAACTGTTTAGATCCATTTCCCCATGCCTCTTTGAGAAGAGAACTTTCCTTGCTGTCAGTTCAGTTACAGAGCAAAGACATAATTTGCTACTATTTATATGTTCAAAAGTGCAGAATAACTCATTAGATATATATCTTTAGTTCACCTATACGTAACTCATGCAGGACATGACTTGCTCAGTGTGTGCACTAAAACATCAAAGAAACAGGTAAGGAAAACCATTACCGCCAAGTCATTATTTTTCATAGTCACAGTCAATTTACCTGTATTCTGAGCTTCAATAAATTCTTCATTTTCTAATTCTAAAAAAAATACATAATTAAAATTTTAAAACTGGAATGCTACAATGGTTATGACTTAATGAAGAAAAAAGTAACAAAATCACAATTTCCTTTATGTCAGATTAATTAGTAAATATGCTAGAAAAAGACTTTAATACATAAGATTTTAAAGGACTGTGATATGCAAAGCAGTTTGTCTTAATCAGTGAACGCTCTCTCTCTCTCTCTCTCTCTCTCTCTCACACACACACACACACACACACACACACATTGTAGTGAAGTGGACTAGCTGCCTGGATAAGAGTAGGGATCTCAAATGAAGTTGGAAGCACACTGAGAGGGGGAGAGACGCACTCACAAATTTATGATGACTAGAATGCCCCCTTCTGGACATTCCAGAAACTATGGCCTGGTGTTTTCAAACACTGGGACATCATCAAATAGTTCTTAGTGCTTGAATCAAGAAGATCTCAATGGGCTGGCAAAGCTTGTAGAAGGCCCCTTCAGATAGGTAGATCAGATGGAGGAAAGGGAAAGAAACTAAGATTGCAATCCTAAACACACTTACTAGAGATAAAGCTACAGAAGGTAACAGGCCTTGCTGCTGAGTAAACATGGACAGAGAGTGAGGGAAGAAGAAAGTATCTGCTTTGCGGGCAAGTTGCTTGAGAAGGTAGAGTAGGACAGCTTCAAGCATGATCAAATGAAACTGATTATCTAGGCACATTTCAATCCAGTTTCAGATCTGGTTTTGGAATAAAAATTCGCTTGTCCAGATCAATTTTGAGATTTATGTTGTGAATAAATAAAAATAAATTTTAAGAATGACCTTTGTCAGGAGAAATTTGTAGGGGAAATTCAACCCTGTTGATTCTCCCTGACCTCTCAGCAGCTTTTAATACCATTATTCACAGCTTCTTTCTGGACTGCCTTTGGGGTTTAAGAGTCTTGGGAGATGCTTTGTGGTGATTCCACTCATATCTCTGAGAGTAATCAAATCAGTGACATTTTGCATGCAAAGGTAGTTAGTTCTCTGTCACTGAGCAATATTTTATGTTCAGGACAGAGAAAGGAAAGGTTCCCCAACAATCACATATTTCACTATAACACACACGACTTATTTGTTGCTGATTAAAGCTTAACATTTTTGTAAGGCACAAGGAATCTTGGGCACAAGGAATGATTTGCATTTCGTTGTCAATTTTTCAAAACTTTAAAATACAGCTAGAAAAACTGATTCAGCTATGGCCCTTTCACACAAGCCAAGCTGTCTGCTGCTTCTTTGAGGTGACATTCTATGTGCATTATATTTATTTATTTATTTACTTACTTACCCATTCATATATAATTTAATCATAAAATATCCAAGAGGTGAGCAATAGCAAATTATCATAAAAATGATATAATATAAATATAAAACTGTTCAGCCACTATACACAGTAAAATATGGCTGAGTCACACATGAATACCACACATGTGGGTAGGGAAGCAGAAAGCTTTCCCCACAACCCAATCCAGAAATGCAGGCATTAATCAGCTGAGAAAGACATGAGATCAACTCCAACCCATAATTGCAATATTTATACACACAGTACAGCCGTACTGTTACAGCAACATGTTATAAATGTGAGGACTTTCAAACAATATTACAACTAAAGTAAAAAACAAATGTCCTGCTCTTAATCACAGCGTTGCTATAAAGTCACACAACATACCATGTTCATCCACATAGTCCTGCTTTTCTGTGTCATGTAAATAAGGTTCTGCAAGTAAAGAGACTGTTAATGCATGCAATAAATCTACTGTCACATATTATTCCTAAGAATTCACATCTTACTGCATTTAATCGGCATTTAACTGGGAAGCCGATATAGCAAGCAGCATGGAAGGCAAGGGCAAACTGAGTAGCTCACAATGTCCCAGAGGGCTTGGATATGTGTCTTTGTGTAGGTCAAGGTGCATGTGTACAGGCAATGGTGGAGGTATTAATAGAAGGGGTAGGGAAAAGTGAGCAATCTGGGAGGAAGAAAATTGAATAGCCAGAGAGGAGAGCAGAGTGCCACATTGGTTAGAAAAGAAAGAGAAGAATAATCCATTAAAATCACCACCACCACTTCTGGTTCCCTTCCCCTATCAACCATCAAATCAGAGATCACATCTTTTCTATTGACTGAACTGGAAAAGACATGGATCTAGGGCATTGCCAGGGATATGAAACACTGATACTTACGGATCCTCATAATTTATACCAGGGATTACCTCAAAAGTACCCATCATATCACAAGTTGCCTCTGTATACACAGATGTGTTATGTGATTTGTTGGTGGTATTACTGTAAGCATTAATTTGATTGTGGTTTTTCAGGGCCTCTTGGTAAAATTATGCAAATTCAAGAGGATCTTATTTAATTCTACTGGATCTGATTTTTTTTACTCATACGTAAAAGAAAAGTATGTTTGGCTGTGTGTATGCATGTGCTTTCTTTCAATTTGTCTGTTGGGGGCAGGTCTGACCCAGGAAGAGGGGTGAAAAAGCAACCAGAAGGGACAGTACCTACAGCACTCTTCCCAGATGTGCCACAGGCCCAAAAATGTCAGCAACCCCTGCTCTGTTGGGTAACATAACCTGACTTTTAAATTAAGTAGAATCCAACTGTAAAATGCAGGTATTTAGACTTCTGTGTAATACCTGTGTTATGATCCAGAGCATCCTCTAGATTTAGTTCTGTGTCATCTGTGGAAGACAGACAAAAATATGTTTTCATTTGTGCAAATCAAAGTACATGTTTCTATACAGCTGGTTGACTGATTGGATGAAAGAGGAAGGAATCAGGACTGCACTAGGTCTCCTACAGTCAATTTAACATATTAATCATATATGCAAAGAGGCTTGCACTTCTAAATTCATGTTTTGCAGATTATGTGTTTGAGTCTACGTAAGTTAGCCTTATACGGCAGAATTCAATGGAGCAGTTCCATTCTAAGTTTCTACTTAGAACTACTTAGTTGGATATGGCCCTCTGCATATAGGCATTATAAGATACAACTGTGATATATAAACCAACTACTACTTATTATTATTATTATGATTAATAATAATAATAATAATAATAATATATTGGTGCATATACCATTTTAGCTTCATAGTGTATGATTTGTATTATGCCCCCATACATCACCATCATTTTCTTAGCATACTAAATCAGTATTTTTAATGTACAAATTGTTCCAAAGCAAAATAGAAATGAGTAATAAAAACAGGCTTCATGCATCACACATCACTTACGAAAAGCACATGCCCTGACCATCTGACAGTCAGAAGCCATTTCCTCTTTTCATTAGGTTCAATTAAAACCCTTTCTTAAAACAGATAAAGAAGCTATCAAGAGGAACCACTTTCAAAAATTAATCATCATTCTTCCCCTTGTTTCTTATTACAGCAATTAGGCTGCCAGTTATTATTTTAAGAATATTATTTATAATTGGAGTCAGTCTTTCAATCAAAGTCCTTAGTCATTGATGGAAATAAAAAAACATTTTTTCCTGTGATCTCACCAAAGATACAGTAGTAATACTATTTGGCTACCTTAAACATAGTATACTAAAGAACGATACATAAATGTCTACTCATTTTCTAACAGCCAGAATTACAGTATGTCAGAACTGGAAAAGCACCAAAAAAGATTCTTGGGTAGTCCAAGTCTGGGATATCGCATGCATAATGGAAGTTCACAAATCTGATTTGAAGTGAAAGAGTCAACAAGAAAATGTTTTTATGGAAGAAACTGAATTTGTTTATTTCTTATTGGAACAAAGTAAAAATATAAGACTCAGTGAATCCATATTATTTGCTGAGGAAAAGTTAATAGTATGAAGTGTAGGTGAAATAGTTAATAAGCAACATAAGATTCTAACTTTTCTTTTTCTTTAGCATTTATAGAAATATTTAACTGTTTGAGAATATGAGTATATAAAAATATTTAAAATGTATTATAGTATTTTATTAATCTTTTGGTATTAACTGTAACTGCTGCACTGCAATGTATTTCATAAATAAACATATACACAAATTAAAATAATAATTTATAGGAGCACAAGGAGCTTTCACTGCTATATTACAATAAGTATTATTTTTAACCCTCTTCTGGGATGCCTTTTTGTCTCACAGATGGGACATTTTAAATGCACATTGTGCATTTATTTTAAAGATAACAGGAATGCAAGATCAACAGCCTACCAAGACAAAAGACAAGCTTTCCTTGATCTAAACTATGTGCACATTTGCAGTTCCATTGCTCACAAGGTTGGTTAAGCATAGAGAAACAGACACATTCTATATAACCTATTACTTCTATGTGAATAATAACCAGACAAACCTTGGCCTTCTGGTTCATATGTAGCTTCTTCCGTATGTGCATGATATTCATATGTATCTGAAAATTAGAAGTTCACATTAAATCACAAATAGCTTATTAATGCTGTTGTCACGGCTGGAGGGTTTAAATGAGTTAGACTAACTAGTTGCTTGGTCCCTGCTCCTGCCAACCTAGCAGCTCAAAAGCACACAGTGCAAGTAGATAAATAGGTACCGCTCCGGCGGGAAGGTAAACAGCATTTCCGTGCACTGCTCTGGTTCGCCTGAAGTGGCTTAGTCATGCTGGCCACATGACCCGGAAGCTGTAGGCCCGCTCCCTCAGCCAGTAAAGCGAGATGAGCGCCACAACCCCAGAGTCGTCCATGACTGGACTTAACAGTCAGAGGTCCCTTTACCTTTAACTCAAGATTGATGGGAAAGAAAGTCACACAACTATAACTGGGAATGCCCAGCTTTTATCAACACTAGCCATGAAAAGTTCGGAGTAGAAAATTTCCCCCCAGGAACAGATTGTCAAAGAAAGTAATAATATATATTATCTCAAAGCATTTAATAACTAGTCAATAGCAGGATTCTGTGCATGTCAATTCAGAAGCAAGCCCCTTTGCATTCAACGGGACTTGAACTCCAGTGTAGTTTGTGTATAGAATTTAAGCCTAGATGAACTAATGAATGCACATAGATTTCAACAAGTATTATGAAATATAATATATTTTGATCAGAATATCTTCAAATATTTTGATCTGGCATTTCATTAAACCCCTCTAACATGGGTCCCACTTATATATTTTCTCTCTGATTCTCTATCTTTCTTTTCCTCTCTCCCCTTGCTCTATTTATCTTTATTCTCTATGTATGGGCATTTCATCCCCACTTGTGGGTTTGACTTTTACTGGATTCTCTCTACCCAAACTACAGACAGGCACCTTAATCATGTTCCTCTGCACAGAGCTTCACATAACTGCTGCCTCCAATGTCAGCACCAAAACAGAAATTTATCTGTCACCTCCCAAAAGGACCTCAACCCTGATGGAATCTTATCTTCAGATTTGCCAAATCCAAAAAAGGCAGCTTGCCACAGCCACTTTTACATTGGTCTTTCTAGTTAAGACTTATTAGGATTATAGACTGTGAATGTACATGAACCATGCTACCCTCAAATGTTGAGTGAGTCGCCTATGTATGGCAGCTTTGCCCTGACTAGTATTTCTCAATACATAAGTTATCATCACCTGGCTGAGAAGATGCATTATGTAAATACAGTCATACCTCAGGTTACAGATGCTTCGGGTTGCGCACCACGCCGAACCCAGAAGTACTGGAACGGGTTACTACCAGGTTTCGGCACTTGCGCATGAGCATATGAGCTAAATCGTGCTTTGCGCATGCGCAGAAGCACCGAATCGCAACCCACGCAGGTGCGACGCTGCGGGTAGTGAACGTGCTTCCCGCACAGATCATGTTCACAACCTGAGCGTCCACTGTAACATAAAATGTGAAATGGCATTGAATCATGGCAATCTGTCTTAGGTAAAGTTCCAGGTAGGTAGCCGTGTTGGTCTGATGTAGTTGAAATAAATAAGAAAATTGTCCAGCAGCATCTTAGAGACCAACTAAGTTTGTTCTGGGTATAAGCCTTCGTGTGCATGCACACTTCTTCAGATACGATAGGTAAAGTTGTGATCCACTTAGGTAAGGTTGAAAACCAACACTTTAGAAAATTCCGTCAACTATCTCTCCCATTAAATTTGCAAATATTTAGGATCAGTTCACAGACACATGTTCATCACCTGATATATGACTTCACAGCATCTCAAAGCTATTATGAAAAGCAGACATACCATGACTGTCATCTGTGTCTGGCTCTCCTGGTTGATAGTCACTTGCAGGTTCTGAAATGAAAAAGAAGGGAAATATTTGGTTTTTGAAGGTACATAAAACGTTGTATTCAGTGTAGCACTAGGAAAAATATTTCGTCAGACTCTTCTCCCCCTGTATGTCTCCTAAAGCTGTTCGGGGATTTCCCCCAACCTTCCAGAGCACATTTGGGGACAGGGCAGGGCTTCTGGGAGGTAGGGGGGAATAGAGCAAGGAAATCCCATTATGCTATTGCAAATACTTTGTTGAAGACCACCTACTGCTAAGTTAAAATACTGTCAATTTTCAGAAAGGTGCCCAATTAATCTAACAGTTTTTAGACACATATGCTTGGAGTAGACATAATCCTGGAACTAGAATGTAAGGACTAGAGTAGACCACAGAACAATGTAAGGACTAGAGTAGACCACAGAACCATTTGTGCTGTCTTCCAATACTTCTTTTATTGCAAGTGAATTTCCTCATGCCTCCCTGCATCTTGGTATGAGCATCATCAATTCAGGTTAAAATGAATCTAGGCATACTTCTAAATATTTTGAACATCCTGATAAAACCACAATTTTCAGGATCTTAGGCTTCAGGTTAGATGTATGCTTAATTCATGCATGAGAGGGGGAAGGCAGAAGGAAGGGCACACATGATGCTGCAGTCTTCTTCCATTCACTAAACTCTCCTTCCAATGACGTCCAAACTGGGTCACAATACAGTATACAAGTCATTTAAAGCAGACTTGATGACATACTATGTTTGACTGAACTGAATGAACTCAAAGACATATATTTATTCCATAAAAGTCTAAGTAAAATATCTCACCACCTTCTTAATCTCTTTCAAAAAAGGAAAAGGAAAAGAACAACATGCTGAATACTCTTAATATTTCAGGTACCTTCATAGTCAGATTCTGGTGTTTCTAACACTTCTGGCCCTTTATCTTCAAGGTCTCCATCATAGACATCCTGTTCTGTGGGAACGTCAGGTGATTCACTATTCTCCTCCTGAAAATCTGTTTCTTCATCCGCTTCATTTATTTTTTCTTAAAATGTTAGAAAAACAGCATATCAACTGAACAGTCTCAATTGCATTCTGTAATCACCGCCCTTCTAAACAGATCATTGGTACAATCCAAACACATTTAAGGCCCACTGGGTTGGATCCAGATGGAATTTTGCTAACTGGATGTCCCACTGGAGGAAGGGGAAGAACACCTTTTTGGAGACACCCCCCCTTCCTCAGACAGCTCTCTGTGCACCTTGAAAATCTGTTCCAGAGTATTGGGAGACCCTGAAGAACAGTATGGGAAGTTGCACAGGGGACTACTTTATTATTTATTTATTTATTTTTACATTTATTTATTATTATTATTTAAATAAATAAAATAAAATAAAATAAATAAATTATTTAAATAAATAAATAAATATTTATTTTTTATTATTATTACATTTATTTCCTTCAAGGAACTCAAGAAAGCTACACAGTTCTCCCCCTCTTCATGTTATCCTCACAACAACCCTGTGTAGTAGGCTAGGCTGAGAGACAGTGACTGGTCCGAGGTCCTCCAGTGAGCTTCATAGCATAGTGGGGATTTGAATCCTGGTCTTCTAGGTCCTGCCAAAAATCATCTTCTTCCCCTTTTGCCAGCAGGAGCATCAAGTAAAGTGGAATGAAAGCCTCTGCTGGACTGGAGTCCCATCCGCAAATGAAGGAGCCCTTCTGTTTGTGGAGGGAAATGTCCACATACAACCCACTAGTTTAAAATTGCTCCTTTCACAGAAATCAGTGGATCTTAAGAGTGCTTAGCTCTGATATTGCGCCTCAAGCCTTTACTGTTAATATGGGATAATTCTATAAACTGGTATCATTGGACAAACATGTGAGGGGCAGGTCATTAGCCACTACAGTCATTATTGCATTTTGGAAAGCAAACATTTATTTCCAACCAGCAGCAAAAATGTTCTGAACGATCGGTAACTAGCTACATACATTTTTTTAACTGATCAAAATAATTGATTAGTTCTAAAATTTCTTTTTAGAGGTTCATGGACAAAGTATTCATTCATACCAAACTCTGTTTCAAGAATTTGACGTAGCAAAGTGTCCATTTCATCTTCCTCTTCTGGTTCTGCTTCGGCACTTCTGTGTTCTACATTATTTTAGAGAATACATCAAAGGTAAGCAGAAAGAAGAGACTAAACTCGAAAACCAGAAAACAAATACTTTTAGGGAAAGTGAGCATGTTTACCTATGGATTTGATATATGGCACGTGATATATGGCATTTTTATTCAAGTTTTTTTCATATACAGGTGACTCCCCACTTACACAGGGGAGTCTGTGCTGGCCCTCTGCACACATTAATGAAATGCCCTTAAGTGGGAAGCACCCCACTGCACCTCTGACTCACCAGGACACCCTCCCAGAGCCCAAAGAGGACATCCTCTTTGGGCTCTGGGGAGGGTCTCCCCACAAGCTGGAGGCGCAGCAGGGCTTTGTTGAGGTCCTTCAGGTCTCTTCCCCTACTTCTGGGTTCCTGATACAATGCATTTGCACAGTCACACATGACGTGGACATCCACAAGTGGGGTGGTGCCTGTACATTTCACAAACATGTACCCACAGAAGCTGGTGGACTCTCCTTCATTGAAGGTTTTTAAACGGAGATTGGATGGCTATCTGTCAGGGATTTTTTGAGCTGTAATTCCTGCATTGAAGAGCATTGGACTAGATAACCATTGGTTATCTATGATTCTGTGAGTCCATAAATTAACAGTATGAGACTATAGTTAAGTACAAGGCTATAGTACAGCACTTTGAGGGGGGTTGTTGCTGTTTTACAGTCAAACACTGTATACATTTTGTAAAATAAAATAAATCTAGTAGAGATGGACGAAGCATTCCACATCACTGTCCATGAGTGAATGGGGGTTGGAAGCCAACATCTGAAGGCCACAGGTTAGTCACCTCTAAGTTTAAATAATTTGAAACTATCCATCATGATTAACAGTGCATCTTCCACGAGCTGGGAGTATGTGGTAGAATCTGCTATGCTGAACTATCTAGACTCCTGAGGATCTTAGCTTTCGTTTTTACATAAAGCACTTTTGCAGCCCTCATGATAATGAAAATGTTTGAATATGAGCCAGCACAGCCTGTAAGGTTTTATCATACAAAGGCAGACTTCAGGCTTCTGGAATCTACATTGTTTTTTACTAGAACCCCAAGGTCCACAACCTAGAATTAGAGCAACAATGGGAGCTTATGAAGCAGAACGAATTACTGATTGTACCATAAGAGCAATATATTGGTAAAACCTACACAGAGAAGTACAAATCTACAGTCAAGTTAATACGGATCTCGGATTTTTGACATTTATGTTGCTTATTATATACTGCATTGTATGTTTTGTTGCACATTGCCCTGTGGCCATTTTTGGCACTGAGCAGTATAGAAATTTCTCAAATATCAGTGGGATGTACATATTGCAAGAAGATTTCCAAGTACTAGGAAACTTGCATATTGTTTTAAGTGTCTTTAAAATATTTAATCTGGACCCACTCCATTATAGAAAATACTCATTTCTTTTTACAATACTCAATGCCTGAAATGAAGGAAAATATTTGTCATGCTAAGAGTGGCAAAGAACAAAAACAAAATAAATGAATGTACTGGCATATGTATACAGTGTAACAGAAAGCTGTTTAGGGTGTTTATACAGTTCAATCCCTGTTATAAAGGACTCTAGTAAAGAAACTACTTTTAATATTTCAAGCTAATTAATATTTTATTTGAAAAGTTTTAAAGGTTATATGGAGAATCTAGTCTATTAAATGAATATACATCCAAAGATGATTTCAATAGCTATTTCATTTTGGGGTGCAGTCCAACAGTGTTCATCTGCCAGGGGAAACCTAAAGTGCTGGTGGAACAGATACACCCTTCCTCCTATACCCCCCAAATCTGTTCTGGAGGGCTGCAGAGTAGTTGGGGTGTGGGAATGGTGCTTCAGGAAGAAGCAAGGAAGGAGAAGTCCACTCACACGACATTGGATGCCACCCTCTGTTTTTATCTTTTCTGATTTGGGGCATATTTTCATATGTTTACTTCCCTGAGAGATGAGTTCAGAATGATTTTGTGTAAATGTGCTGGTGAAGTACACACAACAATTCATGAACCAGAAACTAGGATTGTCCTTCTGACTAATCTTTCATGAAAGATCTAAATAGAAAGAAATTCAATGTGACATTATGCATATCGCTACCTCAATGGAACCATTCTGAAAGCACTCCCATAGTGTTAACAGTATGGAAGAGGGTTTGCAATACGACAAGATCTGCAAACCTCTCATTGAGGACAACTTGCTGTAGAGCAGATGCTGTAAAGCTTTTACCATACAAAAAGATAGACAAGACTGGAGTTTATTTTTCTATGACTTAGTTTGCAAGAGAACCTACCTGCTCTCCCATGTGGCTCCTCTGTAGGTTGGGTAACCTCTTCAGCATCTCTTGGCTTTTGCTGTTCTGGGACAGATCTTTCTTTAAGTCCTGCATTGTTTAGTTATAAAGTTAACTTTAGCCTTTCTGATTCAACATTTTGGCTTTCTTAGGTATCACTGAGATAATGACAAGGGGTTGAATCCAAACTTAGAAAGACTGTAACGGCTCCTTCCATTTAGGCTTTTGATCCAGTGGAGGGATCAAGCTGAGGGAAGAGGAAACGTCCACTCATCCCTGCTTTCCTTGCAACCCCACACAATATTATTTTTTCAGAGGGCTTTAAGGGAAGGACGGAGGAATTGCCACCTTCTCCCTTCTGCCTGTGAAGGAGTCCCCTGATCAGAACTCTGCTCGAAGGAGTCTCCCCCACGGGGAGCAAAGTCTGGATCCAAGCCCACAAATATAAAGACTACCAAAAAGGAGAGTACATACTACACACAAACAACCGAAGTACCACATTGTATTTCAAAGTCCAACATTTTTTTCATTTTTTAAAACCAGTTTTTGGAGCCTGTTGCAGCATCTTCTTAAAGGAAAACTTCTCTCTGTATGAACTGGTTTCATTTCCAGCTGCCTTTAAATCAGTTTCCTTTTGCCAAAACCCAAAGTTGCTCTGTAAATATGGGGTTATGGGCTGCTTCAAGGAAATCTCTCCAAATGCTGCTGTGAACTTATATGTGTCTCTGGATGGCACTCTTAAATTTTAATTACCTAGAGCATCAAAAGATGGTATTACAAATATTAGGGCCACTTCTTCTAAAATATATATTTAGTTGTTAAGCAGAAGCCAAAGGTGGATTTGGGATAGTAGCTGTTTCCAAATGAAGGTTGAAGCTCCATTCCTAATCCTTCACCCTTGCTTCATTCCTTATTTAACCCCACACACCCACACACCAACAACTCCCCTATCCAGTATAGAGATCATTACCATTGATGAAACAAGAAGAACTGGCTTGGGGTAAAGGGAAGAAGAATGAAGTGAAGCAATGTATGTCTAATGAAAATACTGCTTCCCACTCAAAGCCAGCTCACGGGCAGAGAAGGAGGAAGGTATCTTTCCAAGGTTAAGATTCTAGACTGAGGGGCGCAGGGGGAAGAGTGAAAACGATGTCTCAACCTCTCTTTTCCCTAAACTGTTTCTGAGGACCTTCTCTGTGGCACACTTTTGAGAGCTAATCTATACATTATACATTATACATTATACAGAATAAAGCAGCATACAAATAGAATTCTGGATTGTACTACTTCAGATTACAGGCAGAAAAAAAGGAGACAATATATTTTGAATGCTTCCACATGTAAAATGCTCCTGACATACAATTAATAGGTTTTGCACCACTAAAAACAAACATGTTTTTCTAGCTAGAAGTAGTATAAATGAGTGGCATTTCCATCAAATGACTAAACCAGGCATAGAGAACCTGTGGCTCTCCAAATGTTGCATTTCAGTTTCTATAAATTCTAATCAATATGGCTAATAGTTGTGGGGGAACCACAGTTTTCTTTCCCTGATCTAAATAATGGATGTAAACATTTTTCAAATGGGAGACAGGTTACAGATCCAGCCACTTGACCTGTCAAATCCAAATACCATGCTACAATCTTATCATTTAGCATCTTTGATCAAGACAATTCCCCAAAATTCATAATCAGCATGTACTTGACCACATTGGCAATATTCCACCAATACTGCACAACAAAGCACAGAAAATCATGAGGGGGCTCAGTAAGAAAGGCCTGCACATCAACAGTGATCATTGTCCACTTCAAGAAAATGGAATTTGATGGACTCATTTTTATCCATTGCAATTTTAAAGTAAGCGGAAGCATTTCTGAGCAGTGATTTTAACATATCTTCTGTAGCATTTATAAGTTTACAAACTGCTAGTATAGTCCACCAAAACCTTGGGTGCAACCCATTCTGCTGTAAACAGAAGTGGCATAAAAGAACATCCCTAATTTTCTGGTGGATTTTCTGGTGGATTGTGTTATAGAGAATAGGTCACTCTGTGATTTTACTAAATGGACACTAAGGCTGCAATCCTACTCACACCCATGTTAGAGTAATTCCCACTGAGCATAAAGAGCTTTACTTCTGAGTAAATGTATATAGAATTGCACTGTCAGTTTCTTCATTCTTCTTTCAGAACAAACTGGTGACATGAAACTCTATTGGAATATTACTGTAAACTCATTTCATACAAGAATGTGCATGGTTTTGATGATTTTCTGTATGCAGAACTGCAAAGTATTTTCTCAAAAGATTCAACCTGTAGGTTTCAATCCAAAATGAAGTAAAATATGAACTACCCTAAAAGTTACCATGAACCAGATGTAACATCTAAATGGTACAAACTCAGTCTTCATGTTGCTGAATCTTCATTTGTTAGAGGTAAAGATCAAATTATTATTATTATTTATTAAATTTGTATACCATCCTTCATCCAAAGATCACAGGGCAGTTCACAACAAGCACAAAATAAAACAAAACAAAAATCAAATAACAAAACAAAACCCCTCCCACAAACACATTTAAAAGGCCATGGAATGCTGATCAGCCAGAGGCCTGGTTGTAGAGAAATGTTTTCACCTAGCACCTAAAGATATGTAATGAAGGTGCCAGACGAGCCTTCCTCAAAGAGCATTCCACAAACAGGAAGACTGCAAGGAAAATGCCTGTTCTCATGTTGTCACTCTCCTGACCTTTCATGGAGAAGGCACATGAAGAAGGGCCTTAGATGATTATCATAGGGTCCGGGTCAGTTCATATGGGGGAGAGGCAACCCTTAATGTCTGTAACCATAAATTCTGTACATCCACACCATTTAGATGCAGTACCAAATGTATAGATGTTGAGGTAAGCAGGAAAGTCTCACGCCACATGGAGTTTGTTCGTTCTCAGAAACATATAAATAGGCCAGAAGTTCCATGTCCAACCTGCTCCTCAGACCCTATAATACTGCTTTGCAGGAACCTGTCTTGTGGACAAATTGTTTGTAACACTAATCAATGTGTTTATGTACTACCTATGTGTGCTATAGGCACAAATCCCCTTTGCTATACGGAAAAGTGACAGTCTGACCTTTGCTGATGGAATATCAATCTCAGCTGAATAAGAAATGGTTAGACCCGCTCATATCAGTTTGGAGAGAAACTTGCCTTGATTGTGAATGGGCTGAGTCCACCTACACTTTTCTGGATTTTATTTTTTAAAAAACTCAGGCTTGTCATAAACATCATTCAAAGCTTGGAAACATCTAGAAGCTCCCCAATCACCAGCTCATTTGCCAGTCTCTTCTCTTTCCTAAAAGCTTTCCCAAAATGTAAGCTGGAGGTGGAAAGGAAAACAGCAGCACCTGAAATTTGCAAAACCCAAGGGCTCTACCTAAATTTGATTACTTATGCAGAGCATTATAAGCTAAGGGGTGAGAAGTGACAGAATAGGGTTGGCTTGGCTCACAACGAAAGGATAGAAGCCATTTACATTGGGAGATTAATTTCCAACTTCCACCACCCTTTTTAAAAAAATTATCTAGCTATAAACTGATCAACCCAAATATATAACCCCTGGTATTAGGGAAGTGCTAGTATTTCATTATTGTATTCTACGCTTTGTTCCCCACTCATCTCTCTGCCATTCAAATATGATACTATAGCGTGTACCCACTATTTCATGCAATAGTTCACACAAAAGTGAAAATTTGACAACGGGATGCAAATACATAATCCAATATACATTTCAGAAAACATGGAAGAGTTGGTCCCAGAAAAACCCACACAGATGTCTAAAATTTAAATTGCATAGGTTTTTTCACATGATCAAGTAAAGCATTTTATCTCATGAGAATTCTAAATGTGTTGTATTACTGAAAAACAAGGCTAAAATATGTTGCTTTTATTTTTGTGTCAAAATTGTACTTTGTCACCCATATATGAGTACTTCTTGTGGTAAGACCAGAGACACAAAGAGCTACACAACCATATATTTTCAAACCTTGCACTGATCATAGCACATATACCAATGTCTGTTCAGCCCTAGATTTCCCCCTCGCCCCAAATACTTTTTGACACAGTATTCTCCATGTCAAGATAAAAACAGCAAATGGACTTATTCCAAATATCATTTTGGAAAAGATTATATTCAAGGTTTATTTAAAAACATATATAATAGTATGTCCTACTTTCTACCCAACAGGAAACAAAACCAGTGCCGTCTGTAAAATGCAAACAGAGGGGGTAGCAATGAAGGTATAATTTGTAGTAAATGTTCTTACTTATTTTACACCTGTTCTTCACATTTTTTCATTGCTCCATTTGAGCTTTCATTCTTCCATGTATTTATTTTCTGAATAGTTGAAAAAGATGTGTTTTGTTGCACTTTCTAGAGTGATATGGATATTGATAAGATTTTCCATCGTTCCAAGTGTATAAATTGGATCATGTTCATTGAACACAAAAATAAAAATTGAAAACTAGTCTACCTTATTTTCCCCTAATACTTCTACTTCCCAGTGTAAAACAACACTTACAAATATTTCAGTGTTTTATTTTTGTATTAGCCTTATGTGTGACATACTGAGTACCAAAAACATTCCATTATATAAATGATCTCAGTACAATAAGAATGTACAAGACATTATCAGACATACTATGTACAAATTGAAATTTCATAGCAGTCTATCTTATTTCATGCTTACAATTTCATACGTATTCTAAGGCTGTTTGTGCAAATTATTCTGTCATCTTGTTTACTCTAACAAGCTTAAGACAAATTGCCTTAGTGGTGCTATATTACATTCTCGTGCTATCAGTTCTAACTGAAGCAACATTCAGATATGAAAATAGTATCATTTTACTTTTTTCCTCTTCTCTTCATCCTTTGCTGAGCTATCAGATGCTTTAGAAAGGGCTTTAGCTATTTTCTTAATTTCTTTCTCTTTGCCACTAGTTGATTCTTTTATCTCTTTATTTTTAAGATTCTTGTCTAACCCTGATCTCTCCTTTTCACCTCTCCTGTCTCGCTTAACCTTTTCAGATTCTTTTTTGGATTTATCATCAGCAACTTTCTTATCCTTTCTCTCCAAGTCATCAACTTTCTTCTTGGTTTTTTTCCTCTCTTCATCTTTGGTTTCCTTCTTTCCTTCTTGCTTCTCTTTCAATTTCTTGGCTGGTTCTTTGATCTCTTTTATTTTTTCTATTTTCCCATTTAAAAAAGGGGAAATGTTCATTAAGGAACACACATTAAGACACTGGATATTAGTAAACCAAACTCACATCACAAATTCATAGTTGCAATTCAAAAGAACTTGATCACACAGTATTAATACTGTCAAAAGAATTGCAGGTAGCAATCCCTACTTGGGATGTGCCAAGGGAAATAACTTTCTATTTTACAGGGCTTCCCAAAACTTATTCTTCAGCATCAGATGAAAACTGTTCTATTTCCCCAATTTTAACAGTATTTAAACTAGTTCTCCTATTTTAAGGGGTTTCTGTATTGTAAGTGGCCAAAGAGAAACTGACGTATACCTTTCTTAATTAAATATGTTAAAAGAATTTTCAATTGCTTGAAAAATGATTCAGCTGCCAGCTTTTAAAAAAAATCATGCTACCTGATGAGCTACTAAATAAAATTAGAAAAGAGATACACTGTTAAATGGAAATCAATGACTATAAAATGTATTCGCCTATTTTACAAGATGTCTATAACTGGCATAACCTCCTTATAATGTATCTAAAATTTGCATATACAACACTGACATCTTGCTCATACTACAGACTTTGGTTTGCACAGTGAAACTCCCCCTTCCTCTCCTGTAGCGCCCTCAAAACCTGTTTGAGAGGATTGGGGGACCCTCCAAAGCACATTTTGGAGGTGCACAGGGAAAGGAGAGGCAAGTAAAAGTCCCACTGCACAAGCAGAACTGTGTTCACTCAGCTTTTATACAATCCATGGATTTTGAGGGGCTGGGGATATCGTAAAAGAGAGGAAGCAGTTCAAACATACGCTGAATTAAATTTGCATACTTTAAAGTCAGGGGTGGGGAAGCTGTGGCTGGAATGATGGAAGCTGTAGTTCAACAATTTATGGAGGGCCACAGATTCCTCACCCCTACGTCAATCATTCTGCTACTGTACTTTTTACATCTGCTTGGTCTTTTCTCTTAAGATCTCCTTGACCACTGCCCTTATGCAAAGGGCAGTGCTATCTGCTATCCTGTACTCATGGGGCTGGATCATTGAACTAACAGAAAACATGACTAATCTCAATTCAAAAATGCTAAAACCAGTGCTTTTTTTTTCTAAAAAAATGTTTAGGGGTACTCTCATTTTTGTACTCATCTTGAAATACTGACCCTCAATGAGGCGAAAGTTAGAGTCACAAAATATTAAGGGGTATGCGTACCCCTGCATCCCCCCAGAAAAAAAGCACTGATGTTACATATATTTGAAAAAGATAAGTGAAAAACAAAGTTAGGCACCCCTAGGTGAGTACAGTACTGCAACTCATTTGAAGTTTAAATGGCTGTGACCCCATAAAACAGGAATGAGGAATTTGTGCATGCCCACAACTCCCATCATTTCTGACCCTTGGGCCATGCTGGTTGGAGCTGATTGGAACTGAAATCCGTCAACGTTCGGAGGGTGACAGCTTCCCCCACCCGTTTTATAGGCTAATTTTAGAAATGTTAAACTGACTCCAGAGGTCATGATTTCTAAAGAAGACACTGCATGGAGTATTTCCATTGTGCTGTAAACACAAGATAAAAATAAGATCCTACTGAAAACACCTGATTTTAATGATGACCATCATGTAGACATTTTTTTATTAGAGGCCAAAAATACTATATCGTTATAAAATGGTTTAAAAATAGTTTAGAAAGTTATATATGTAGAGACTTATGAAAATGATTGAGGCACACAAATCTGCATTCAGTTTGCAATTAAAACTGACAATATTATTTCAATAGATTAATACTGAAATAGATCTGAAGTATTGTAGCTGCCTTTAATTAAAAAAATATGCTGATACCATAATTAGTGTTTTAATTACATGACAAAAATGCCACTTCAGGTAAAACTCAAATCCAATCAAGTACTAGCTAATATGGAAAAGAAAACCACGAACACACATGCACACATTTCTGAATTAAATATTCAGGAAATTATGAGTAAACATGGGCCAGGGAGGATCGGTAGACTGGGGCAAGAATTAAGCGCCTGCCAAAAATTTCCCCATTAGGTAATTACCTCTCCTCTTGCAGCCAAACTCTAAAGTCAGAAGTACGTTCGGGGAAAGGGAGGTTCAGGTGTGGTAAAAGCACCCTTCTAGCTGGCCTTTCCTTCCAATATGTTCTCCAGCTCACATTCTCCAGCAATTGTGAGATTGAGAACAAACATTTGCTAAACATTATTTAGTCCACTCTTCCCAACAAGGGCTTTTCTTCTACACCTGTTTTTAAAAAAACATTTGCGAAGGATGATTACAATAAATTATTGAGTGATCTACAATCCCTCTACCGTGAATGGAAATAGGAGCAATGCATTTGGAATAAAAATCTTTTAAGATTAGCATTACTAACTTGTTGGGTTCAGAGCATGGTTAATGCTTCATTGCATGAGGAAATGGTTTCTTCTGCCTTAAAAGAGACAGTGGTACAACTGCTCCTAAAGAAACTGGCTCTGGGCCCCTTAGACTGGAACAACTACTGACCAGTTGCAAGTACCTCCTTTTTGAAGGAAGGTGGTGGAGAGGACTGTGGTGGATGTTTTTAGTTTATTGCTGATTTTGCTTCTTAAAAAAGTTCTTCTTAATAGTTGTTATTAACTGGTTTAACCAATAATTTTATTGTTTTATTCTTTTTGTACACTGCTTTAAGATATTTTACAGTGTATAAATTTTAGAAATAAATAAATAAAGCCCTGAGAATAAAAAGACTATGATATTACAATGAAACATAAAAAGGGAGCATTTCTCCTTCAACAGGAAGACATGAACTCTAATTAAGAAAGGCCCAGCATATTTTGAGCAGAATGCTTGGGGTAACAATATGAAAACCATATAGTATTTCATATGCCATGCACATTGTAGAAGCCTTATCTATCCAAATGATTGAATTCTTTGTCCAAAGGCGTGCACTCAGTGATCAGAAATTCTCATGCATCACTGGGAAAATTCAGCTAGAATTCTGCTAGTTAGATATTTGACAAGAAAGACTGAATGTAGCATCCTATTTTTCCTTCCCAGACAGCTGACTAGTAGGAATCCAATCTTTATATTTGCCCCAGGTTACACATGCCCTGTCCCAAATCCTACAGAATTGCATGCACTGCATCAATTTGCACACACGATTCTTCATCCAGCAGGAGAAATATGCAGATCCACACACACATAGCCTGTAGCTGGATTAGAAATTAAGTTTTTAAAGTACTGTAGATCCAATTATGTAGGATGCTGAAGAGCACCCAAAACTAATGCTTGATATTTTTTGTTCAGTACATTTTGAATGCAAAATCACACTGGTATGAACTGCATCCAGAATTAGTAGACACATTTAACACACATTTAAAACACATTTAAAACACATGCATTTCAGGCATTCATAATCAGTGTGCACAAAAGGTCACTAATGCTCCAGTAGCAAAGTACCTTTGACTTTAGCCTTTCTCTTGGCAACCCCTCCTGGTGGCTCCCCTGATTACCATAAGATGAAAACAAGTTACAAACATTATTTTAAGTCTTTAAGATGCTATACACATGGGGGGGGGGGGAGAGATGACCCAGTATAAAACAGCACCAAAATTACATCAGACCTTAAAAAAAAACTTATACCCGACTGTTCTGTTTTCTGGAAGTGTTCCATTAAACAAAGCTTTCAAAATAAGCCACACACAGGTATAGTAGGCCCAGTCTCTCTCATTTCATCAAATATGAAAGCTGTAATTGGTAAGGTCACAGGAAAGGACCTTTTCTATAGCAGTGCCCCAGTAATGAAATTCCATTCTGATGAGAGGGTGGTAAATACATTTTATTCCATTAGACTTTTGGTGTATTGCAATCTTGTTATCTATGGTCTTATTTTATTTGCTTTTATTCTGGCTTTTAAAGCTTTCCAGTTTGGGGAGCTCTTTTAGTCATCACTATCTCAGTTGATCCGAGAACAGTCTCTCTCTCTCTCTCTCTCTCTCTCTCTCCGTGTGTGTGTGTGTGTGTGTGTGTGTGTGTGTGTTTCTAATGGGAAAAAATCAGTAATACTGTTGTATGGGTTTTCTAACTTATGGTTCTCAAAGAGAAAGTGAAAGATGTATTGCAAAAATAAAGAGAATTCCAAATAGGATTAGTTGCCAAAGTGAGGCAGCTTGGCTCCCTGCCTCAGCTGACTGGGAACAGCTACCATTCGGCTCCTTCCTTCCCCGAAGTGCTTACTGCAATGACCATTCTACCTTGTCACTGCATAACTTCATTATTCAAACAGTTCTCAAATTACAGAGTGCAAGTTCCTTCAGCTGCTGCTTTCTATAGCAGGGTGGTTGTATGATGTTGCCAGAATGAGGGTAGTGAGTTAATACCTCAAGGCTTTCTCTGTCTTTCCTTGATAATCTGAATACTATTGTGCAACCGTGTGACTGTGTTGATACTTGAGTTTGCCTGTTTTCTTCTTCCCTTTTGAAACATGTACCTGACACTGAAGACATTATTTTAAACTGAAAACCATCTTGAGTGCTTTGGTAGGAAGGTGGAGCATAAAGATAAATAAATTAAATAATAAGCATGGTGACTGAAAGAAGATTTCAAAATACTGTACTAGATATAAACTGTAGATCTAAATTGAAAAGATCCAGTGATATGCTATTAAGTTACTGGTTTCTTTTGAATATCATGCTCTCAAAGACCTTAGCAAGCTGTGAAGATAAGCCCATAAAAGTTAATAGCCTACAAAAATAATTACTAAGTCTGCTTTTTATTCATAGGAGTAGCATTCTGGTCCAACCTCTGCTAGTCCTCTTATGAATAAGAAGCAGGCAAGCAATAAATGTAGGCTAGTAATATAGCAGGCAAACATAGCCTCCTCTCCCCACCTGCTTCTTTTTATGCTGGGTGCAAAGGAAAAATAGCCTCACAGAAGATGCCTCCTCCCAATTTTCAGTAATCCCCCTCTTCCCAATTAATCTGGCGTGTCACAGCCTACTCGATTCAGCAATGTACACCTCAGGAAAAACTTTTGTAGGGACAAAGGGAGAGAGAAGTCACCTTTCACCCATCCTCTTCCACCAGCATTTCTCTGGATTCAAACCTATATGATTTAACTTTATTTCCTTTTTATACAAAAAGCAAAAAACAAATGAACTTTAGATCAGATCATAAACAAGGTTACCTCAAACATGATTGAAGTTTTACCATTTCATCACCAAAGGAATGTGGAAGTGGTATTAAAGGTCCAGAAGTTTTAAAAACATTGGGCAATAAAAAAACAAACTTGTTAACAAAACATTCAGACAAGAAAATCTTACGAATACATTTTTTAAAAAGACAATCACTAATCTAGTCCTTGAAATAAACTCTACAGCTGAACCATTATTGCTGTTATTAGATAACAGAATACAAATTTTGTCTAACTTTTATTTATATGGTCCTGCTCAGATGTTTATAACTGTGAAACCCATTTCCAATAAGAATTAAATTTTAGCCATCAATAATGAAGGGTCTGAAATCTGTTATATTATAGCCTTGGGTCAGCTATAGAAATCTATTATTTTAGAACAGCCTGAAGTTTAGCAAAATAAATAAAACCAATGAAATCTCCACTTCCTCACCTTTGCTTCAAAACTGAAACACAATTGTTCAGATTATGTACCCCACCCCACCGCAAAGAACAGAAAAGGTAACTGAAAAGAAGATGAAATTTCTTGCTGAACATCTGGTGACAAAGCACAAAGGCTATGTTTTGCCCCACAAAGCCCTGAATTATTGGTTGCCTTGTTATGAGTAACTGCCCTTTTCATCAGTCTCAACTAAATAACTTCTAACTCATACTATCAGGTATACAAAACTATTTTTAGAGAAGATAACTCCAAACAAAGGAAGGTACATTCCTTGTAAGCTCAAATTCTTTTCTTACAATACTGTGGTATCCAAATGTTATCATTAATTTATTCCACTGTGGATAAACATACAAAGTATATAACATTTATCAATAAAAACCACTGTTTTAATATATTTCTACAACAGTTATGCCCAACCATTTTACAAGATATGAACTTGCTTTGCATCAGATACAGTTGAGGATGGTCACAGAAATCCGGGGTTCAGCTCATGTATTTTTATTTGGAACAAATAAAATGCAAAGTGCATCTTCTGCAAATTATTTACACATTGCTGCCATAGCAAAGAAAGCAGAAGTTTGTGCAAAATGTAAAGCAGCTTTTTCACATTATGTGCTCAATATTATGTCAGGCAAGCTTTGAAAATCCATAGAACTCTTCCTCAGGCTGTAGACTTTACTTGTACACTTTACTTAAACACTCACATTTCTGAGCCATGAAAGTTTCTATCAAATGTGCTAATTCTGAGACAAACAGTGCAATTCTATACATATTTATTCAGATGTAAGCTCCATTGAGTTCAATGGTTGCTACTTATAGAAAAGTGTGTAAAGGACTGCAGTCTAAGGTTTGATCAGCAATATCAGATCAAACAAGCCTAAGTATTATTCAGCAGTGTGCATGAAATACAGGCACTAGATTTTATCATACACACACACACACACCACAAAATTTTGCACACATATCTGTTCCAGAAGGTTAATTTGCTCCACACAAAGCTGGGCATGGAAACTTGCTGAACTCAGGCATTTGTATAATCAGTCCCTTCACTATGAGATGGGGGGAGGGTGCGGCGGAGCAGAAAAATCAAAAAGCAAATCTGAGTCAGCCATTCAGTTTAGCAAGACATAAAAGACAGTTTGCATTTATCAGCTTTAATTAGTTGAATATTACAGGAGAAATACATATTTACAGGTTCTCGCTTTCAAAAAATGTCCACTAAATTTTTACAAACAAATCTGCCTTTAAGAGATAAAATAGTATATAAAGAAAATAAGAATGAAAGCTTCATTTCAAAATATACAACACTTGCATGCTATTTCTTTCATATAGTAAATGGATTTACTAACATAACAAATTTGAGTAACCTCAGAATTTGCTCTATAAGTCTGTAAAAGCATGTAATAAATTATAAAATTAAGGAATACTCATTGGTAGCAAATTCAAATAATTTCAGTAATAGTTTTCTTATTTAATGCAATAGTAGGCAGAGTCTTAAAATATAAAATATAAATATATACATAATTTGTCAATCATGCCAGAATAGTCTATAGTAATTTAACACTTTATTAGAAAGGTGAATCATTTAAGGGTTAATAGTGTATGTTACTACCACAGAGCTTGTGCAGGTTAGTGCTAAGAATACACAGCACAGGTTAGTGCTAAGAAAGCACAAACCGACGCAAAGCCATACAGAAACCAATCATACTACTGAAGACACTTTTGTCTTACCCCAGTCTCTCTCAAAAAGGCTTTTTGACAAGTGAATTACATCACATGGCTGATATGTCCATTGAGGGTAAGGGGTTACATCAGGTTTTACCCCAGTAGCCTGTTGCATTTTGATAATTGAACTTGATCCCTGAACTAAAGTCATTGGTTCTGTAAATCCACAATAACACATGTCTTTTTTCCCTGAACCCCTTCATTCTGTGACGTACCATCAACATCATCTGCAGCATCGCTCTCTTCCTCTTCTATGATTTCAAAAGGAGTCATTACATCATAGAGAAATGAGAGGAAACCATAAAACCAATCAGAACTTTCCTCTGCTAAAATATTAAGGACTTCCTCAAGTGAATCAATATTTTCATTATTGCCATCTTTGGTCAAGCCTACACAAGAATAAAAGGAGAGAGAGAGAGAGAGAGAGAAGGCAGCAGTTAGGTGGAAAAAGAGAAATTGAAGTAGAAGGATTTAAGAGAGCCTGTTTCATGATCAGCAGTCTAAAACAGTATGGTTAAGAAAATTAGTAAAAAGAAATCTGGAAGTTTTAATAAGCACCCAAGAAACAAACCATTTGAAGAAATAGAAAAAACACTGACAAAGACATATTCCTACTACTGACCTTGCCAAGATGGTTGATTAGAGGCCACTAATGGGGAGAGGATTAAACACATGCTTATGCAAAAAGCACCAAAAGCTGTAGCCTTTCCTCACAGAAAAGGTGCCTCAACAACTTGTATCATTTTGGTTCTAACCCTTTCCTCACTTTTTCAAGTAATATATTCTATTGATATTGAGTAACTAGAACTGTACACAGTAGTTCATAAATTGCCACAGAATTATATAAAGAGATTGTGATCTCTTGATATAGCAGCTCTCTAAGGTAAGAGTTATCCCAAACTGGATGCGCTCCAGCCTGACCAATTTCCCTAAGAAATTTGGGGAAATTGTTCTACAATCTTTATGAGCACCACTTCAAACACTAGCAGCCTGGTTTCATTGTAATTCAAGTATAGCCCCTCTCCTTTGCATGCATGGCTTCTCCTAAAGTGTTCCCCAATGTTTAATAAATCTAAATAATTCTTCCTGACATTACCGTGTCATTCAAACCCCTCCCATCTTTCCATGCTGCTGGCCTTCTGCATGAAACAGGTAGCATTTCTGAAAATGCCATGCCCCTGCACTTCAACATTCTACTTAGCAAGCTAGGTTTTATTAGAGCATCTCATAACCACTTTTAACAGTTTGTTATTGATGTAGAAAACTGCCATCTTCCACCCATTATTTATATGGCAAACCATTCAAATCAGGCAGGTGAAAACCCATCACAAACTCCTCTCCCCATACCCTTAATTTGCAAGTCTAGCACTGCCAAAGATCCCCCATCTCTGGAAACATATCCTAAGCGCAAAAGCATATTGGTTCAGTAACCAAGAAATGAGTCCTTTCTAAAGGATTATTTTGTTGTTGTTTTTTCCTTGCAGAATTATATAAAGCAGTGATTGAGAATAAGAAAAACCTTGATCCCCATTATAGCTGCTTATTCCCTTTACTGGGATACCACTGCTGTCAGATTGCATTTATCTAGGAACTACAGACTGAAGAAGAAAGAAAAGGAGAAAGCATATGGGTGACTGTAACCCAAAGCTTGATGTTTTATTATGTTTTGATATATGCTTTAAGCCACCCAGAGTGGCTGGGGAAACCCAGCCAGATGGATGGGGTATAAATAATAAAATTATTATTATTACTACTACAAAAATGAGCAATTAGTAAAATAACCAGCAAGGCTTCACACCAGCAAGGCTGTTTTAGGAGATGAAGAGATAGACGTACCTTGTGTGGGAGACAAAGCTTTCGTTATCCTGCTCATATGAACCAGTCATGGTCATGGACTGGGGAATATCTGATTTCTAATTACATGTACATCTATGAAACAGTAGCATGATCGTGTCTTTACAACTATACAGTTCTTTTGTATGTCAGTTGCAAAATAATGTTACCACTAAAGACTAGGCTCCTGAACCAGTAAATTACTGACACCTGCCCAAACGAATCAATATGCATTCTCTCTCTCTCTCTCTCTCTCTCACACACACACACACACACACAGCTCATCTTATCGTCCAAAGGTCTGCTGCTCAAAGTTTATGTATTTTTTTTAACATAAAGCCAAAGTTCAGCATCTTGGTGAACAACTAAATCAGTATTGTTCATATTATTCATATTTAATATACAAAGTTCTGCAATGTAAATCTTGAAACTGGGGAAAGAATTAATCACAAATAACAATGATAGCACTTGCCTATTATCACTCCATCACCCCTCAGGGGTTTTTTTTTGGGGGGGGGAGTTGTTTATGCTGTATAGGTTATTAGTCAACTCATGAATGGAGGAGATTCAGGGTGTGTCTGAATATATTGATTTCTATGCTATCTGTACATTGTTAAATCACAAGTAGTCAGAATACATAAAAGCAATTTGGGTTAAAGGTTGGACATGATCAAATGAATTAGGTATCTGAAGACACAGGAATATATTTGCCCAGTGCAGTGACACAAACTAAATTTATTAAGTTTCCCAGACAAGCTGAAGATCTTAGAGAACATCTGAATGTTAAATCAATATCTAAAAGGAAGCAACACAGAGCCTTTAAACAGCATGTCAATATAGAATAAAAATGCCAAGATATAGGTAATTATTTTTATTTGAGAAAGGTCCCAGGACTTGTTCTCTTCTTCTCTTAGTCTTTTCTCCACTTCTAGACTTAACATCCCATTCCACTTCCAACCTATGTAATTCCTCTTATTAATCTAGTATTATACTATTCACCTTTACAACCTAGCTATTCAAATCAGGTGCACTGTCCTAAGTGCCCTTTTCCCTCACGTCTCACTCTGTAGACTGGCCTTTGCAAAGTCCTCATCCTTTTCTGTCTTGTCAATCTTCTGGCTTTTTAGGTACGTCTTGCTACTTTTTCCTCTTGATTCGCCTTATATAGGTCTTCTTTCCAGTTTTACTTCAATCGTATCTTGGGTTATGTGCTTCAGTATGTTTGACAATCAAACTTCACACTTTACATCAGTTCTCATCCCTCTTAAATCTTATGCTTTTCTCTTCTGTTTTCGTTTTCATTGCATACTATGACTGTTTCTCTATATAAAATGGTTCCAGTGCTCTTTTACACCTTTTTGCCTGATGGAACTCAAGGCGGCTTAATAGGCTTAAGGACTTTAGGATTTCTGACCAATGTTTCTCAGGAATCTTTTATACAGGTACCTTAAAAAGTTTTAAACGTATTATCACTTTAAACATTTATCGTATTAAATGTTTCATACTGTATAAGAAAACAATAGGACTACAGGAATACACTGGGCTGTGCAACATAATTTCACCAATATTAAGCAATTACTGTGATTATTTTAACACTTTGGGTTACTTTTTGTTTAAAAATACATATAATATATAATGGTATTGTGAAATTTTGGAAACCAAATTCATTATTTTAATGCTGCAACAGAAGGTAATGTTTAAGACAGTTTTAGAAGTGTCTACTTGCCTAGCAAAGCCTTGGCATCTTCCACATCAAAATCTCCATCTCCATCAGCATCGTAGATCCCAAGTTTTCCTAGAGCAGGGACAGATAGAAAGAAACTAATTCAGTAATCTATTTCTGTATTAATCTGTTGAATGTGTGATGGAATGTAGCAAGAAATCATGAGCCTCAACATTTTATAAAAGATATCATTCCAAAACACAGATGCAAGCTTACTAACTGTTTTGATATGATATACATTTTTTCCAAATAAACAAAACAAACTCCTTAAAATATAGCGTATCTTTCTGCAAATCTGAAATCCTTTTGGATTGCTAAATCAGCACTTCATTACTTGCTAGTGTTTAAGGAACTGTAACAATTTTGTATCTGAAATGACTATGCAAGTCAAGTGACACAATGGCTGTAATCCTGTTCCATTCACATTAGTGGAAGTTATGGGACTGGCTTTTTAATAGGAACAGAATTGCACCTACCAGTTCACTAAATAGTATTTATCTAGATTACTGGAATAGTATTTGTTTAAGAAAAAAGAACTCAAAAATCTACTGCTAAGTGCTACATGATGATTGCTTATTAATAAAATTGCCTATCTAATGTCAAAGGTACAATACTTCATAAGCAGCATATCAAACACAACGTTCAATGCATCTGTTTCAGACAGTAAATTGGTGTTCTCAGGAATGAGGCAGATGCATGCAACATAGAAATATTCCTGCTGCTATGGAAATTTGCAATTGCTGCATTTGGGATACTGGCAGAGCCATAGCCCTAAACACTCAAAAGAAATTTAGGCAGAAGCAATTTCAATCAGAGAAATGCATGCCAAGCTGGCTGATACAGTAGATTAATTGCTAGAAAATCCTAAAAGTTGGAGAGCATAGTTTGAGCTCATTTTTTGCCACGGCTTATTGAACAAGGCAGAAGCAACAGTCATGCGGAGAAGAAGCTAAAACAGAGTCCTGCCAAGGTGGTTGCTCAAAGGGCATATTTGTTTTATCCCAAACAACAAAAATCAAAATATCCAAGAATGAAACTGAAAATTCTAGCAACACATTCAATTATTATACTGAAAACAGTATAATAAACCAGCACTATAAGAAAGGAAATCTAGCTATGGTTTGGTTTGATGTCTGAGTTGACAAGCCATAATTAAGGAGATTGTTCTGCTTCCAAAGGCCAATATAGCCAGAGACAAGAGAACAGAGAAGACAGGTGACAAAAGCAGGCAAACAGCTCTAAACTAGTTTGATTGATTCTTTGAGTTCAGCTATGCTATGCTCTCAGCTATGCAAACCATAGGATTTGGAATCATGTCTGAACAGAACAGATAGTGATTGCGGGTTGCAGCCAGTGTTAATCCTACTCAGCATAGACCCACTGTAATTACTGGACCTATCTAACTTGGGCCCATACATTCCAAAGAGTATACTGCAAATATAACTTGGTTGAATACAACCCTGCATAATTTATTTTAATGAATTTATTATGGAATCTTTGTAATTATTTAACCTTCCCAGATACTAATATTTTCATGGCTACATTTCAGTTGGAAACAATTACTCATTTCCACATGATGTCAAAACACTGTAATAAATCAGCTAAAATCTGCACCCGCAATTCTAAGCTTTGAAAAGTCACATTTTGTTCCCAAGGCTCACCACTTTAAAAATATTTGTAGTCTGGATATTGGATGCATTACACTTTTACACATAGCCAAATCCTCTACCTTCCATTTCACAACTACATGTGGACTTTAACCAAATTAATGGTAGTTGTGGGAAAGGCAGGCAATTGAAATGTCTTCTCACCCACCTGCATCCCTCTGACTTCAATCCTATAGATAATTTTTGGCATGAAGTGCAAATGGTTACACCATTTCTATTTGCTCTGAGCTCCAACAGTCTCTAGAATCAAATCAAATGAAGCAAAATGCCCCAAAGCAGCTTCATATAGAGATAAGCAGAGAACAGGCTGCATGCCAGGTGTTACCTATATCACCTTTCCACTCTCATAGGAAACTGGGAAAGATAATTTAGCCCATACACTTCCCCCAAAGAACACAGAGATCATGCGATCCAACTCCTCCTCCTCAGCTTTTTATTATTTGTACACTTGGAGAATTTGTTTTTTATCAAGTGGTTCACAAATTTGCTTAATAAAGGAGTACCAAAACTCAACCCTAAAAGAAAGAGTAGCAGCTGAATAAGGTTAAAAATCTGAAAACCACTTAAAGAAAGCAAAGATTGAAGGGTATAGCAGAAGATAAAATAATGAAGCCAACCATATTCCATTACAAAAAATAAAATAAAGAGTTACAGCAGATTTTGTTTACTCCAGCAGTATGCCAACAGTCAGGTATTTCAATCCCAAGAAGTATAAGCATAGTTTATTTCTCTATAATCCTACCTTGGAGTACCTCTGACAAGTTATAACGGAAGTCCTTTGCTTTGGCTGCATGCGTGGTAAAAATATAGAAACCATTATTCACATTGTCAAAACCTGAACAGATGAACTACATGATTTACTCTTTAAATCAACACTTTCATGAATATCTGGTGCTTGATAGTGAACAATGAATAAGCACCTGTAATTGTTGAAAGGTTAAATCCAATGTTGCACTAGTGAGGTTTCATTTAGGAAATGAGACTTGGGTTTCCTCTCCTCCCCCTATGCACCCTTAAAATTTGCTCTTGAGGGTCCCTCAACTCTTTGCAGCTGATTTTGTGAAGGGGGTGCTGGAGGAGACAGGAGAGGTAGAGGAAGTTCAAGTGTATTACAAAAGTCCCTTGTGCCAGTGGAGCCACAGAGCTGGATATGATCCAAGGTTCTTAATCAAAATCCTGAAGTTGCAAAAGAATGACATTTGGAAATGTGAAATATTAAAATTACTTCATTTCAAATGCTGTTGGAATGCTCACCTAGCACTTCCTCGTAATCAACAAGTTCAAACCAAACCACAGCGACTGATGTCCACACTCCCAGCAGTGCAATTACCATAAACCAAGTAAAAAATGAACTTCCAGAAATTCCTTCTTTCTTCCCATTCTTGTTCCCTCCATGTCTTGCTTCTGTAAAATAAAGCAAGTGAAATTACTACTAGAAGGCAAGGCTTACAATTATACATTCCTGCAAATATATTATTTGATTACACAAAATTCAGAATGAAGGGTTTCATGCAATTATTTAAAAGGCTATCTACTGATTCAAGCCTGGTGGTTAATTTAATCAAAGTCATTTAAAATTATCAAACATAAAAAGACTTATCCTTTATTTAAATCTTGTTTCCCATTTTGTAATTCATTATTTGAACTGTTTTCCACTATGCTCATGCCTCTTCCATTCCTCTGCAGCTCTGTGTCACCCCTAAATCTTTTTTGTTTTTTAAGGTATTGGGCAAAAGACTACCACATTAACTTGAATGTAATACACACCTTTTTGGGATCCAACCCAACCCAGAATAGTAAAGTATATTATTTTGTTTAGAACAGATCTCATAATTTTTTATTATGTGCAAGATTATTGATTTTCATGGTGTTTAAACTGGATATTGTAAGTAAGATCACAGAGATGTCAAGATAGTCACACAATAAACTAAGAAGGTAAATTTATGGACTATGGGGGGGATGTTTAAAAATGAAGAACTGCTGACCCCTAGGTTTGGCTACTTAGCAAAGAAACATAATCATTGCTTTATGAGCCCCTATTTTTCATAGGTCCATTAGTTTCAGAAGAGAGTAGTTATTAACTCACTTGTGGAAATAAAGCTAAAATTTCGGTACAGTTATTTGCTGCCCTTGGCTCCTTTGGGAGGAATGTGAGATATAAATCAAATGAATAAACAAATAAATAAATAATCAGACTCATTAACACATTGAGACTTACTTCTGTGTAAACATGTATAGCAGAAGTAGCCAAGCCATCAAGCTATTTGTGGATGCCAACTTCAGCCCCAGCCAGTCTGGCCAATGGCCAGGGATGACTGAAGTTGAGGTCCAACATCTGGAGAGCCATAGGTTGGCTGTCACTAATGTATAGGATTGCACTCTACTCTAGAGTCTTGGGTCCAGAAGAAAAACTACAAAAAAAATCCTCAGTCTTTAAAGCACACTAAGAAATTTAGGACTGAATCAAGAAAGTAGCTTCTCCACATTCAGCCTGGCCTTAAACAGTCATTAGGCGCAGCATCAAGGATTATATACAGTAGTTGCTCATATTACAGATGAATATATTTAAATATTTCCGTAGCACAAGTCATGGGAATATAATATAGCACACTACTGGATCCAGCAGCTTCATGGATAGTGAAGCCACTTACAATGTAGAGACCAAAGCAGAGATAAATATAGTATTTAGCAACTGATATTTCATAGTCTATGTAAGTAAAAATGATCTCAGCAGCAGATAGTTCCCCCTGAGATTTAGCAAAAACTTAAACTCAGTTTCATGGAAAATGCCACATTATAAACATTTATTTTTGCAATTGTGAAGCACTGTTGACTGCTATGCAAACACATACCACTCAAGAACCAATGTGAAACAATTTATGATGTGAAGCTTTTACTGCAAGCAGCAGCTAGACTCCTCTGAGCTATGCTAATCAGAACCTTATCTTTTTTTCCCTTTAAGGTTTATCATATGACATTTTATAATTAAGAGCCAATTGAGAGCTAAAAGCATATTTTATATACCAATTTAAACTCATTCCAAAAAACGAAATCAAGGATGAAGCCCTGCACGCAAAAACTGCCAGCCATGAAGAAAGTAGGTCAATTTCCAAATCTGGTAAGCCTTTACTTTCACCTACCATATGTCTATACAGATCCCATAGTCCTGTAAAATACAGTGCTGCACTTTCAAAGCTCATAAAATAATGTGAAGAACTAGGTCTTCGTGAATATTCATTCACCTCAGGTTTAATATGCCCCATTTTCTATAAAGGGATCTCTGTTCATTCTCTAGATTCAAGTAGAAAAAATGGCAGCCACTGTCAAAATCTGAAGACAAAATGTAATCCATTTATTACATGAGATTAAGCCCCACTGAACAAAATTGAGATATGCTTCTAATTAGACATGAAGTCATAAACACTGTATATATCTAGTCAAAAATAAATCTCATTGTTTGCATTGTATCTATTTCATAAAGCTATACAGCTCTAGGAAGAGGAAATCCCAAATATTAATAATTTTTAAACTATTTAATCTTCAGATTAAAGTTATACCACAATACATTTACAGTTTTGCTGCTCACCCCCAGATTCACAAATACAGTAGGTATTCCAAGCTGCTAGAAGTATACCTGAATCTTCAGCCATGGCATCAGTGTCCTTTATCCATGAATTAAGTAAATCTTAATCTAAAAAACAAGTGTCCAGATAGAATCAGCAAAAAATGTCCCTCATGTAAGCCTTCCTACAGCCACAAAGAAAGTTTCTTACAGCCAACTCAGCTAAGGCACGAAATCGGACCCTGCTGCAAACTGCTCAAAAGCTATTTTTAGTGCAATCATCTGCAAGCCAAATGCTTTTAAGTACCCATATGGAAACCCAGTGCTGACGACAATCAAATTTGCCCCCTCCTACTAACAAAGCATCCTGGATCTTTTCTGTCTCATTTAATCTCTAAACACCAACATACCAGAGACGCAAAACAGAACAGATTTTAAAAAATGATTGCAGGAAAGCATGCCTCAGTGACTAAATTCTAAGAGCATTAAACCTTCTGTACAAACTCAAACAAAAGTCAGGACACAAAGCTTGTCTGTGCAATTTGGGCAACAGCCACACACATTTACATGATGCTGACAGTCAGCCATCGGATGACTTTTGGGTGCATTTCTAGCTATAAACTTGACACAATTGTAGTCCACAATTACAGAATGGCACTAACACATGTATTATGTACTACTAAGGATGGTGTGTCACTGGCAAAAAAGAAAGACACATGCAGCTAGGCTGCCTTCTGATTCAACATTTGCAAACCAAGCTTTGAACTGGAAGGTAATGGCGTTTGGTGAAAGACTAATATTTATAAACATGCTTTAGTTTGTAGCTCTCCTCAAGCAGGAAATATTGTCAATAGCCCCTTTTCAATTTTTCGAAAACTTCCTTCTGATAGCTTTTTAGAAAGCATTGTGTAAACATTACATTACACACACACACACACACACACACACACACCCCCGCTAACTTGTTGAATTCTAGCCCAAATAATAAAGACTGTTGGCATTTTTGGAAGATTTGCAGGCTTGAATTCCGATGTGCTTTAGGAGAAGAGTGTTTCACAACTAAGGAGTGAATAATTTGCCTACATGCTAATGGTAAAGAGCAGCCAAAGAATGCCTATTAAATAAAAAACCCTTTCATTCTCAAAGAAACTACATTCCACTACACAGCTGAGTAGTTCAAAAGTGACAGCACCATCGGACCAACCCAGCTTCCTGTAGGGCAGGGTGCAATAGCTCTGAGGCAAAACCTGCCTGCTAATGCCTCAACAATTCTCTCCTCAGGAAGCTATGGCATTTGTTTTCTAACAGCCAAATCTAAATATGTTAGAAAAAAGGTACAGAAATCCCATTTAGCAAATCTACCTAAACAATAAAACTATAATCCATACATGCATATATTTATTGACTGTAGATAAATTGGACCCGCCATCAATGTGAAGTTCAGAACAATTTTACAGAGAAGAACAGCAACTAGAAGAAAATCAATTGAAGCAACTGCACTATACGGCTGCAGCATGTTTTTTTGGTAAGAACTGAGTAAAACGTTAGACCTTTACTAGTGTGATTTGGCTATGCATACACAAGGAAACAGGCAATAAATCAATTTATTATGAATAAGTTAATAAATGGCTCAGTTAATTTAATTGAATCATTAAGTACAAAAGAGTAGTTAACGATAATATAGGTCACAGAGTGAGCCAAATAACTTCATTTATTAAATGCCACGCCTTGTAAAGAAAAAAATATTGAGATAGCTAGCTGGCAGCTATACAGTTTTCACAAGGTCCTTTATAACAGGTTAGTATTTGTGCTCCCAATGCATAACCAAGCAACAAACAGCCAAGGATATCAGGGACTCCAGTTTTCAATGGTTCGTTCCTAAACTCAGGCCTAGGGATGGATGAATCTGTCAATTTTTAAATCTTAAGTTCAGCTCACCACATTTCAGTAACAGTTTGCAATTTTTTATGTTAAAGTCATGAAAATGTAAATCAACATTTTAATGTGCATTTCTCCTAAAATGCACTTTGCTAAGCAATTTTCCTATTGTTATATTTTATTCTCACTAGCATACTTATCATTATGCACATGTTCCCACAATATGTACATTTTTACACACTTTTCTTTTTTGCTGCAGAATCCAGAGAAGTGTAAATTTCAAAAGAAAGCTGCATTTAGGTTCACATATTGTTTCAGAGAGTGGAAATTAGGTAGAGTCACATTAAATGTGAACTAAACTGAATTTCTCTCCCATACCTTATTTAGGCCTCAAAGCCCTCTTCAGGAAGAGAAGGAAGAATTCAAGACCAACACTGGCCCCTGAAACTCAAAGACAGCATAAACTCTCTTGACTGGTCAACACCTTTGTGCTTTGCATTTGGGGAACCAGCTTCCAACTTGCCTGACTTTAGCTCCAGCTGATGACTTTTGATTCCCCTCCCCCCAGCAGAAGGGCACAACCTGCAAGCCTAGATTCAGGTATGGCTCTAGTCTAGTCATTACACAGGAGAATATCCAGACAAACTACTGCTTTAAAAATATCATGTGAATCTCACTGGTTTCTGTGCATGAAGCTAGTGTAAGTTTTATAACCACCCTGTGTAAGCTGCAGGAAACTTTCAGCATGGTGCTGTTCTACATGATACCCAAAACATCTGAAAACTCTTTACCACATCTGTCAGCTCACATTGTGCAGCACTTCATCACTTAGGAATGTGCAATGCTAATACAAAAATGCCTCATACAACTGAGCAACCACAATTAGTACAGTCTTTTTAAACATTACACCTGCTACACAGAGAACAACTATAAAGGTTTTCCATGGCTATAACACTTTCTACAAAAACTTAACTAGGGGCATGCAACTACAGTGGTACCTCAGGTTACAGACGCTTCAGGTTACAGACTCCACTAACCCAGAAATAGTACCTTGGGTTAAGAACTTTGCTTCAGGATGAGAACAGAAATTGTGCTCCGGCGGCACGGCAGCAGCGGGAGGCCCCATTAGCTAAAGTGGTGCTTCAGGTTAAGAACAGTTTCAGGTTAAGTACGGACCTCCATTATTAAGTACTTAACCTGAGGTACCACTGTATATTTTATGGGTTCTACCTTTACAATTCATAATCAATATAGAATTACATTTTGACCTTGGGAGTTATCTTGGGGATAGTTCAAGTACAGTGGTACCTCTGGTTGTGAACGGGATCCATTCCAGAGGTCTGGCTGGATCCCAAGGTTTTCACAACCCAAGGAGAAGTGGTAGACTGCTTCTGTGCATGCACATGCAGCGAAACACTTCTGGGTTTGCTGCTTTCGCAACCTGAAGTTTACATTACCTGAGGGTAACGTAACCCAAGGTACTACTGTGCTGTCCTATTGCCTCACTAGGTAACAACCCCTCATTTGAAGCACCTCTAACTTCTACTGCAACCTTGAGGAATGAAACATTTAAGCTGAGGATGGTTACAAAGACATGGTCTCTATATATTCTCTGAGATGCCATAATTTCAAGCAAGCAAATACTACAGGCAGCTCTGAACCTTTAGCCACCCCTCATATATGGGAAGAGAGGATCCCATAGACATGGCATGTAAAAGTCAAACAGCCATTCCCCCATAGATGTCTCAAAGCAAGTAAAATTATCAAGTTTTCCTATGAGAAACTGACTCCTGTAGAGTTCCTGAATAGGCAGGAGTTTCTGAATAGGTTTCATTTCAGAATATTGTCAAGATAACCCATCTCACACAATAATCAACTGGCCAGAAGTAGTTAGCAATAGGTGGGATGAGCATTGGGGGGGGGGGAAATCCCTCTCCAGATCTGTCACAGAAGTACTAAAACATTTGGAACCTTTTTTGTTAGGGGAAAAAGCAGATCTAAGGGAGAATTCTTCATATAATAGTATAAAATGGAGAAAGACTGACAAAGAACTCAAGGTCACCCAATGAAATGAAATCTCCTGACATTTTCCAGAACAGGTTTGTATCCAAATAATGCATTGCATTAGTGAAATGACTTTTCCTCATGCAATTAAACTTCCCATCCTCCACTGAAATCTGCCCATCAAAGAATAAAAGCAGGGGATCTACAGAAATTGTCAGATTCTTTTTATTGGTATTTTTAGGGAGGGGTCCTTGGCAGTAACAAAAACTCTTGGGGGCAGGGTACGGTCCACCCTCGTTGCGTCATCTTAAAAAGTACTTTAAAAGTGGTTATAGATGTTGTCACAAAGTCTACTTGCATTTCATGGGACAAAGCATCACTGTCAATGGAACAAAGTGATTACAAATTAGCTGTATAAAAGCAGCTCTTTGAAGAGAATAAATGACGCAATAACCCCTAATCACATAGCTGCTCACCTCTTGTGATATTTGTTCATCAATTAATCCAGAAAAGTAACTCAGGCAAAAGGCTGGAAAATTAATTAATAAAAACACACTAAAAATCATTTTATCTCAATTTTATCACTCGTTCCAGTTCATAAAATACATACATTTGTTTGAAAAGTTGTACTTAGTCAATAGATTACAAGGGAGAAAAATCAGATGAGAGCCAATGCGGCGTTTGTAGTATTCAGAGTACTGGAACAGGGCCAGGGAATCCAGGGTTCAAATTCCCACTCAGACATAAGGCTCACTACATTAACTTGAGCCAATTGCTGTCTCTTAATCTAATACACCTTGCAGGATTGTTGTAAGAGTAAAATGGGGAGCTCTTTGGAGGAAAGCTGTGATATAAATGTAATAACACATTTCATTTCATTTTTTTAAGGAGATGGTATAATGATAATTTAAACAAGTCTCAAGCAGGATAGAAGTACTACTGCTACTACCAGACATTGATTCAAGGCCAAGTATAATCTGTACCAACCAAAGTCACACAATTCATTTTAAGAGAATTAACAGAGTAAGCTATATGGATGGAATACAGGTGATTACAGATGCAAGACTGTAGATGTGAGATAGTGGGTCTTGAAGATAGATTGAGGGTGCAACAGGTGCTATATTCAAGTAGTTTTTCTGCTCCTGCTGCTACTTCCATTCTTATGAAGCCATGTTTCCTATTCTATCTATAAATCGAACGGAAACAGCAACACAAACTCCACATACTCTACAAAGCTGCCAGGACAAAATTGAACAAAACTGGCACCACAGACTATGAAGAAGCTGAAGAATAATTTGCACTTAACACTGAAACCCAAGTACTCCTAGTACTATATAGTGTGCTTTAAAAGAGGAGAGCAATGCAGGCCTCAAAAAATACCCCAGCACATGGCTTTACAGAATTCTTGTTTTAGTTAAAATCTCTAGGTAGTAACTAGATGGGTTTTATTGAGACATCAGATCTCAGTCGTCCAGATTTAGTACATATTCATGTTCTTAGAGCAGTTTAGGTTTACGTTGGGCCTCATCCTCCAGTTGAATGCAAAAGCACATATATTCTGTCTACCTTTTAAAAAAAAATTTATATACCACTCTTCATCTGTAATATCAGAGCAGTTCACCAAAATACAATAATAAAACAACACTTTAAAACAATAAACCACTGTAAACTTCCACTCACTTTAGCCAGCAATATACATTATTCCAAGCTAGGAATTAATCACATGCAAAGGCCTGAGTAAATAGGAAGGTCTGGAGCAGATACTGGAAGCTCCTTTCAGATGGGATGGAGCTCTATAGAGTAAGCACCAGCACATAAAAGGTCTTCCCTCTGCATGCTGCATACTGTGCCTCAACTAATGGCAACACCATCAAGAAAGAATACATAAGATATTTTGTATCAGGCATGACCAACTCCCAAGAGACTGTAATCTACTCCCAGTATTAAAAAAATTTGGCAGTGATCTACCCATTGTCATTGGAGGGAAGAGGTGTGTGCATGGGGTGAGTGGATTGCCCAGAATTGTTGAGCAATCTACCAGGATCAGCCGGAGATCTACGGGTAGATCGCGATCTAACGGTGGGACATCCCTGCAATATTTCATTTTGCTTTACAGTGGGGGCTGATAGATTCATCACTATCACACTATGAATACGAAGAAAGCCTGTACAGGCAGCCTGCTTAAAAGAAGGCCAAGCAGGAAAGACAGGGACACACATAAAACTTAAAAGGGCATTTCAACACTACCATTATTTTCTTTCTATGCTCTTTTGCATTCATTATCTGTTTCCCATTGTTGCAACATGAGTAAAAGCTGCAATCCTAAATAGCTCTATGAGATAAGAGTCCTGTCTGATCACATAATTAAATATTATTTCCAAATCCTTGCTTAAGGGAGAAAAGGGGTAAATTGCATAAACAGCCTATAGGTTTGACTTTTGTCAGACATAAAAGTTTGCTCAATCTGGTCAATGCCTTATTTAATGCCTTATTTCTAACACATCACCATGATTGTGTGGCATGCAAGGCGACTGCAGATATGTTCAAACCTATTCATTTCACAAGAACAAAATGTGTGAACTTAGCAATTTTCAGTTGTGAAGGTGTGCTTATACAACCTGAAACAGGAGCTTTGAACTCCTGCTCAAGCAAAAACATGGGAGGAGTTTCAGGAGTGAGGGGTGGGGGAGAGACCTGCCTCTTTTCAACCCCTCCCCCCAAGCCTTTCTTGCTATGTTAAAAGGATCAGGTAGCAGGTGACAGGAATGGGGATGAGACTCTGGCAAGCCAAAGCCATGGCCTATCAGAGTAGACAATTATGGGTGAGATGGACAAATTGTTTGACCTAATAAAAGGCAGTCTATGCTGCATTTCAATTATTATCTCCAGTTGCTTTGGGACTGCAGAGCAGACAGGAAGCACTCTGACCTTCGTCTCTGGCCAGGGAGCCAAGGGCTACTGGGAGGCAGTACACCCACCCAGCCCCACCAGAAGAATACTGTTATGTACTGAGCTGAATCCTAGAACAATAGGATCCAGAATGCAGCAGTCTGATTGGTCCGCAGGAACCACCCAATCCAGCTCCAGGTGGAAGTGAATCAGCAACCTGATTGGCCTGCAGGAGCAGCCAATCAAGCTTCTGAAGGAGGCCTTATTGGCCTACAGGAGCAGCCTGGAATTAGCCAATCACATGGGGCCCATTGTGTAAATAATGTGTATATAGCTAAACGTTTTGGGGGAAGTTTCATTCTTTGCTACTATGAGCTGAATAAAGAGCATGAAATTCACACTCGACTCCGAGTATATTTCAAATACCATGGCAAGAAGACACAGTTTGAGCCCAACCGTCAACTAGAGGAGCAGCAGCTGCAGTAGTGAGTTTGCTTCCCCACTCTACCACAAAAGAACACTCTGCTTCAACAGCTAGTTGTACCGAGACTGCAGAACTGAAGGCAGCTATGTGCTGGGCAGTGTGTATATTTGTGACTTTTTGGTGATGGTGATTCTTTATTATTACAAGCAAGTGCCTTAAAAATCATTTGATTAAAAGGCAGAGTATAAATCTTCAAAATAATAAATAAGTTAAAAGTAGAATTCTATTGCTGATTATTTTCTTGTTCATTCCAAAACCACACCACTCATTAGTAGTTTTCTTTCAATGCAAGCATTTAACAATTGAACAAATATTTAACACTGCAAGTAATATTTTCAGGAAAACTAATACAACTACTTCAAGATAGGTTTAAAAAGAATTATAAAATGATGCTTTTCTTTTCTCCAGGGCTGGAAAATCAGATAAACCAATCACCATTTGCCTAAAGTTGTTTGGAAAAATGTGTTGGTGATTAGAAATTTGAATCTTTTTCATGGCTAGGGCCTCTAGTGGTAGCATCTATGAATTTGAATGATTTCCCAGCCCTAGATCTCTCATTTCACAGCATTTTAAAGCACACAAACAAAAACTTCTCATGCAGCAAATCAATCCATCAGTGTGGTTATAAAATAAACAGTGTTATCAGTCACAGCAATCGTCACACTTTACCAGTATATGATGTTCATCAGGGAACAATCACCTTGGTGCAAGGAAAACATTGCACAAATGGCCTATAATGAAGAATCCAATAAACCATTAGCATGAGATATACTTCATTGTTCAAAATAAATAATAATAATAATATATTCTATAGTATTTCTTCAGAAGTGAAAAATCAGAGAAATATCAAAGTGTACATTGTTTCAGAAGGGGTGTAAGAAATTGCCAAGAAAAGATACGTTTTGTCTAAAGTCCAAGCGGCCCTTCCTCTTTGCATAGTACGTTTGTTCTAAAGGTATGGGCAAAACTGAGCACAGTAAAGCTGTATGCCATCATTATATTTAATGAATGTTGGTCTTAGTCTTGCTTTAACAAAGTAAACTGTGAGAATGCCACATTATATTGCAGAGAAACTTGATATACTTTACTAGGAAAGCTAACTACATGGTGAGATTGGATGACGAGAAGCCTTGCAAGGAGTTAAGTGGTGGGTGGGTGTGGAGACCAGAGAAAGTAAAGGAGAATGGAAAGCACAAAGAATTAAGAAGTGCAGGCATTTCTGCTTCTTATGTCCCTCCATTGTACAAACTGTCAATTTATCCCTACTCTGTGCATAAAGACCTGTCCTCTTATCCCATGACTGCTAAACTTACTCAGGATACCTAGGTGTTTGAAACTCTAAATACACAGATGGTATCTAAGTTCTACTCAGAGGAGACTCATTAAAATTAACATATTGAAATTTCCTTTATCATACACTTCAATGGGTCTACTCTGGATAGGGTTTACTCTGAGTAGGACTAACACTGGCTAAAACCCAATGTCTACTTAGTCATCCTTATTCACTCAAAAAAATACTAAAAAGTTAGTGGGACAGGACTTATCTTTGTGGAAGCCATGGCCATTTTTCAGTTAGACCTGTAAGCTCACAGAGACTGTGAACAGTTTAATTACGTTGTGTGTGTGTGTGTATGTCTATATAACAGAATGATAATATGACATAAAGCAGTCTACTCAATTATATTCTAAAATCTTCAATAGCTTGTTACCAGCACATACAGGCACACAATGGTATCATCAATGTGGGAACACTGAAGAAGGCAGGTATAGGATGGATGGGTGAAATATGCCTGAATGCCCTGTATGCCACCAAATCTTGGCCATGTTGGGCTTTGTTGTTGTTTAGTCGTTTAGTTGTGTCCGACTCTTCGTGACCCCATGGACCAGAGCACGCCAGGCACTTCTGTCCTCCACTGCCTCCCGCAGTTTGATCAAACTCATGCTGGTAGCTTCAAGAACACCATCCAACCATCTCATCCTCTGTCATCCCCTTCTCCTTGTGCCCTCCATCTTTCTCAACATCAGGGTCTTTTCCAGGGAGTCTTCTCTTCTCATGAGGTGGCCAAAGTATTGGAGCCTCAGCTTCACGATCTGTCCTTCCAGTGAGCACTCAGGGCTGATTTCCTTCAGAATGGATACCTTTGATCTTCTTGCAGTCCATGGGACTCTTAAGAGTCTCCTCCAGCACCGTAATTCAAAAGCATCAATTCTTCGGCGATCAGCCTTCTTTATGGTCCAGCTCTCACTTCCATACATCACTACTGGGAAAACCATAGCTTTTACCATACGGACCTTTGTTGGCAAGGTGATGTCTCTACTTTTTAAGATGCTGTCTAGGTTTGTCATTGCTTTTCTCCCAAGAAGCAGGCGACTTTTAATTTCGTGACTGCTGTCACCATCTGCAGTGATCATGGAGCCCAAGAAAGTAAAATCTCTTACTGCCTCCATTTCTTCCCCTTCTATTTGCCAGGAGGTGATGGGACCAGTGGCCATGATCTTCATTTTTTTGATGTTGAGCTTCAGACCATATTTTGCGCTCTCCTCTTTCACCCTCATTAAAAGGTTCTTTAATTCCTCCTCACTTTCTGCCATCAAGGTTGTGTCATCTGCATATCTGAGGTTGTTGATATTTCTTCCGGCAATCTTAATTCCGGCTAGGGATTCATCCAGCCCAGCCTTTCACATGATGAATTCTGCATATAAGTTAAATAAGCAGGGAGACAATATACAGCCTTGTCGTACTCCTTTCCCAATTTTGAACCAGAGATTTCTCAGGAGACAGATGAGGTGATCAGGCACTCCCATTTCTTTAAGAACTTGCCATAGTCTGCTGTGGTCGACACAGTCAAAGACTTTTGCATAGTCAATGAAGCAGAAGTAGATGTCTTTCTGGAACTCTCTAGCTTTCTCCATAATCCAGCGCATGTTTGCAATTTGGTCTCTGGTTCCTCTGCCTCTTCTAAATCCAGCTTGCACTTCTGGGAGTTCTCGGTCCACATACTGCTTGAGCCTTCCTTGTAGAATTTTAAGCATAACCTTGCTAGCGTGTGAAATAAGTGCAATTGTGCGGTAGTTGGAGCATTCTTTGGCACTGCCTTTCTTTGGGATTGGGATGTAGACTGATCTTCTCCAATCCTCTGGCCACTGCTGAGTTTTCCAAACTTGCTGGCATATTGAGTGTAGCACCTTAACAGCATCATCTTTTACAATTTTAAATAGTTCAGCTGGAATACCATCACTTCCACTGGCCTTGTTATTTGCAGTGCTTTCCAAGGCCCATTTGACTTCGCTCTCCAGGATGTCTGGCTCAAGGTCAGCAACCACACTACCTGGGGTGTACGAGACATCCATATCTTTCTGGTATAATTCCTCTGTGTATTCTTGCCACCTCTTCTTGATGTCTTCTGCTTCTGTTAGGTCCTTACCACTTTTGTCCTTTATTATGGTAATCTTTGTACAAAATGTTCCTTTCATATTTCCGATTTTCTTGAACAGATCTCTGGTTCTTCCCATTCTGTTGTTTTCCTCTATTTCTTTGCATTGCTCGTTTAAGAAGGCCTTCTTGTCTCTCCTTGCTATTCTTTGGAAATCTGCATTCAATTTCCTGTATCTTTCACTATCTCCCTCACATTTTGCTTGCCTTCTCTCCCCCGCTATTTGTAAGGCCTCGTTGGACAGCCACTTTGCTTTCTTGCATTTCTTTTTCATTGGGATGGTTTTAGTTGCTGCCTCATGTATAATGTTGCGAGCCTCCACCCATAGTTCTGCAGGCACTCTGTCCAGCAAATCTAAATCCTTAAACCTGTTCCTCACTTCCACTGTGTATTCATAAGGTATTTGGTTTAGATTGGATCTTACCGGCCCAGTGGTTTTTCCTACTTTCTTCAGTTTAAGCTGGAATTTTGCTATAAGAAGCTGATGATCTGAGCCACAGTCAGCTCCAGGTCTTGTTTTTGCTGACTGTATGGAGCTTCTCCATCTTTGGCTGCAGAGAATATAATTAATCTGATTTCGATGTTGCCCATCTGGTGATATCCATGTGTAGAGTCGTCTCTTGTGTTGTTGGAAAAGTGTGTTTGTGATGACCAGCTTGTTCTCTTGACATAACTCTATTAGCCTTTGCCCTGCTTCGTTTTGATCTCCAAGGCCAAACTTGCCAGTTGTTCCTTTTATCTCTTGATTCCCTACTTTAGCATTCCAATCCCCTATAATGAGGAGAACATCCTTCTTTGGTGTCACTTCTATAAGGTCTTGTAAGTCTTCATAGAATTGGTCAATTTCAGTTTCTTCAGCACTAGTAGTTGGTGCATAAACTTGGATTACTGTGATGTTAAAAGGTCTGCCTTGGATTCGTATCGAGATCATTCTGTCATTTTTGAGACTGCATCCCAGTACAGCTTTCACCACTCTTTTGTTGACTATGAGGGCCACTCCATTTCTTTTACGGGTTTCTTACCCACAATAGTAGATATGATAGTCATCCGAACTGAATTCGCCCATTCCCATCCATTTTAGTTCACTGATGCCCAAGATGTCAATATTTATTCTTGCCATCTCATTTTTGACCACATCCAACTTACCCAGGTTCATGATTCTTACATTCCAGGTTCCTATGCAATATTTTTCTTTACAGCATTGGACTTTCCTTTCGCTTTCCTTTCCCCTTCATGGATCACTGCCTTGCCATGGCGAAGGGGCTTGAATAACTCAGAGAAGCTATGAACTATGCCAAGCAGGGCACCCAAGATGAACAGGTCATAGTGGAGAGTTTTAACCAAACGTGATCCACCTGGAGGAGGAACCGGCAAGCCACTCCAGTATCCCTGCCAAGAAAACTCCATGGACAAAGACAACAGGCATGTTGGGCTAACTATACATTAATGCTACATATTGGATTTATTTCTAAGTAAATATATGTACAATTGATCTAAACCAGGCTTCTTCAACCTCGGCCCTCCAGATGTTTTGAGACTATAATTCCCATCATCCCTGACCACTGATCCAGCTAGCTAGGGATCATGGGAGTTGTAGGCCAAACATATCTGGAGAGCAGAGATTGAGGAAGCTTGATCTAAACAGAACCAACTCTGAAACATGCATATGAGGTAGCCACCATTCTAACTACACTTACTTGCCTGGAAATAAGTGCCACTGAACCCTTTAGGACCTGCTTCTGAATGAACACATTTAGGGTTGGGCTTTAGGTAAGGATATTCTCCCTTGTCATAGAAGGAAAGAGATAATAACCTTATGAATTTTCAGCTACTTAACAAAAATCTGTGGAAAGCACACTTTCCATGTTGAGAAAATGAAATGAAATCAATGAAAATGAAAGAAAAGAAAAACCTGCCAGCTAACACTCCACTTTACTAGCTAATTAAAAAATAAATAAATCCTTATTTCCACAAAATCTGTATACCAATCTAGAGTATATTTAGTTGGAAGAAAGTAATATTTTGAGAACTGATATTATGGCTTGGCAAAAAAATAAAAAGAAACCCTAAAGGCATTCATACTAACACCAGCCACACATTCATCTGACCTCTTATCACTAACTAGGTTTTATTAAATAAAGTTTTCCATTTGCTTATGCATGTGTTCTTTTGCAAGTTAAGACATTTCTGTGTCACTAAAATGCCAGTAGAGAAGGAAAAGGAGGGGAGATTGATTTAAATACAAGCAGCAAATGTAAACCATCTGGTCACACCTCACCCTTTTTTAATGGGCAGTTGACACGTAAACACTTTGGAAGAGATGAGGGAGTAACCAAACAGAAGTATTGAAAATACCTTACTGGCAAGGGATACAAGTCTTGCCACACAATCAAGAGAAAGCATTTTATACTTGCACATGAAACTTGATGCCAGATTACAGGCAACAAACTACAATGGTGTTCTAATGAGATTGTGGGTTCGGCTGCTATGTATAAAGTCCTAGAAAATGCACTCAGCCAGCTAATTTAATGATGTAGAAAAATCTATGTTTCCCACCATTGCAGCCTCACAAAGCTGTACTAAACTGAATTACACAGAGTTTTGGACAAATCACAACAAAATTCATCAACCATCTTTTTGGACAAATCACAGCAAAATTCATCTGTGTAATTCAGTTTAGTGTCCAGCAGAACAGAGGTGTTGAACAAACAAAAAAAACTCTGACCAACTATCAGATTATCCACTACAGATTCCCAAAGATAACTGTGCTACAAAAGTGCCTCAGCACTTTGTATAAAACCAGCACTCTCATCTGCATGTAAGTATAACTAAAATCAACGGGTCTTCCAGATATCTTAAGGATTGCATTGTGATAGAATAGTTTTGCTTTATTGTGGGTTTATGCACCACTTAACAACAAAGTTAACAACATCCACCATATGGTGTGCCACCATACCACTTTGAAATAGATTCTTCCAAGATCTTCCCCAGTGGACTATAGATAGTGCACGATAGAGCACAAAACCATCGTATAGCAAGGCAGCAATCATCAGAAGCACCTGATAGCCATCTTTCTGTGTAAAGAAAGACACTCAAAATAACTGTATGAAATACTTTGCAGTGTTTCAATACAGAATGGAACAGGATTTTATTCTGCTAACACACAGTAACTTGCACTTTACGCACAATGCAGATGCCCTTGCAGGATGATAATCCCCCAAGAAAAGGCTACATTAGCTAGCCTCTCCTCAGGTGTCCTGAAGATGGTCCCCAAATGGGCTGCAAATGGAACAAAAATTGTGGCATTACAAAAAGCAATGGCAATTGAACAACAGAAAGCTGGGGTGGGAAAAGGAAAGGGATAGAAAGAATTCAGGGTTAGGGACATTTCACAGAGGCCTGCATATCAACCTAGTCAGTAAACACTTGATCTTGCCAGTTTGTACATGAAGTAGCTATTTCAGTCCCAAACGTTTATCATCAAGGATTGGTGCATGTTTACTCAGAAACAAGCCTCATTGAATGCCATGGCATTTCACTCCAGCATACATTGGTTTGCAACCCTGCAACACAATCCTATGTCTCTCTATATGGAATTGAGGCCCACTGTCTTCCACAAGAGTCGGCCTGGATCACTTAGTTGGTTAGAACTTGGTGCGCACACCTTCGGAGCTGGTGGTCTTTCTTGCTCTATTGAAAATGTGTGGTTTTTGAAGGCATAGGAACAAAGAATTGTAGAGTTGGAAGGAACCCCCGAGGATTAACCCCCTTTGCAAGGCAGGCATATGCAACTGTCCCATATGGGGATTGAACCTGCAACATTGGCGTTATCAGCACCAAGTTCTAACCAACTAAGTGAAGGTTGCAGGTTCAATCCCCATATGGGATAGTTGAAAGGTCACTTCCTATGCCTTCAAAAACCACACATTTTCAAAAGAGCAAGAAAGACCACCAGCTCCGAAGGTGCGCGCAGGATGGCAGCCTCTTTAAATCGGATCTACCCAGCTGAGAGGTGTGACCTGTGTACACAAGTGGAAGGGGAAATAAACGAAGCCAGGCTCCTCGCCTCCTTGTCTCGGAGTCTGTGTGCTCAAGGAGGAGCTCAGAAGCGAAGGGATTTCGAGAGCGCTTTCACAACCTGCAGCGCAAGAAAAGCCCTCTCCTGGATCGGGACCAACGGCCCACTGAGTCCCGCCTCCTGCTCTCACGAACACAAGAGCCCTCTCGCCTCCCGCGGCTTTTGCCAGCGACTGGTATTCAGAAGCAGGACCGCCTGAGGAAATCCCGGGCTCCATTTTACGTATTCCCCTCGCCGCCCCTGATCCCAGCAGCACCGTCCAGGCCCCTCATTCCCTTCCCCGACGGGAGGGAGCCTCCTCCTCCTCCGAGACCAGGGCAGGCATTCCTGAGGGGCCGCCTCGGGACCGGCAGCGAGGCGGCTGCAAGAGGACTTCAGGGCGCCAGTTTCGAAAAGCGCGGCGCTGACAGGAGAGGAGAGGCCCCGCTCCCACCGCCCGCCCGCCCGCCCGCCCGCCAACGCCGCCTCCGGAGGACCGCCGGGAACGGAGACCCAGGAAGGCGGGACGGGCACCTCTTCGCCCGCGCGCCCTCCATAACAGGCCCATCTGGACGGCCGCTACTGACCTCTCCTGGCTCCGGGGCCGGGGCTGCCGCTCTTGGGGCTCTTGCGCGGGGCCATGTCGCCTCCTGTCAGGTAACGCCGCCGAGGAGAGTGAGAGAGGCGGGAGCGCGCAACGGGAGGGGGGAGGCTCGTTCGCGACGGGGGGCGGGGCTCGGCGGGCGCCCGCGGCTCCTCTCTTCGCTCCGCACGCCGACTTGACCCTTGGGCGGGAGCACCTATTGCCCGACTGGCAGCTGCTCCTAGCAAATCGCGAGGCGGAGGGGAGGAGCCGCTCGAATGTGATTGGCGGGTAAGGGGCGCGGGGAACGCCTCCCCGACGTTCTCGCGCGCGCGCGCCCGTTGCGTCGGCGGCGGGGACCGTGCTTGGGAACGCATCGATTGGAACGTGGCAACGCAGGAGGAGAGGGAAGGGAGAGAGAGGGGGCACGTGGAGGGCGGAGGGGGGCGGGAGAGAGTCTGCCTGAGAGAGACTGCTGCTGGTTCTGTGTCTCGTCAGTGCAGCCCCAGAACCATTGGTACAGCTTGCAGCTCGCTCCCATTGCCCTGCGCACATTCCAGCTGGAATTAACTCCCACCCTATTCCATTCAGCGGGATTTGCTGCTGAGGTTTCCCCCCCCACCGCTGGGTCAATTTATCAGTTGCACGGTGGAGATTCAGGTCAGGATTGCATCCGTTTGCCTCCCATACTGTGGTTCCCATCTGAATCACTCCCCGCCCCACAGGTGTTTTGTTTTAGTGAGCAGAAACTCAAATCACATGCCTAGCATCTCATTTACTTAGGCCTGTAGAACTACATTTCTGTTCAGTGAGCTTAACTGTAGGGCAAAGTGCACCGTAATGCATCCTGGGTCCCTTCGCAACCACTGCTGAAGTGCATTGCATAGCATGTTACAGGATATCTGCTCCTCTGAAGTATCTTTTGTATAATGCAGTCAAGTCTGATCCTGCAAGTTTCATGTTACAAAATAGCACTGTAATCCTAATGATACTTTGATACCATCAAAGTCTTATTTGTTTCATTTGATTTGTACACATGCATATTTTGCATTGACTGTGATGTACATGCTTATGTACCTTCAGCTAAAAATCAGTCAGCTTTTCTTGAGAAATGCAGAGAAGACTGCATATTATCCCCAATCAGTTCATTGCTGATTTTTAAAAGATGTAGCTGGGTTGAAAGTTTCTAACTATTCCTGTATACATTCATTGAATATGTTTTAATGAATGACCAAGGTCATTGCAAACCTGGGAACCTTTAGGAGGATACTGTATAAATTTAATAAATAAACAAATAAGAACTCAGTAATGTTGCATAAACATTTCAAAGTTATTGAAACCAGGGAGGAAATATCTTTGCAACATTTCTTTCCACCAGGATGCAGTAAATGCTTTGAAAATCTAACAAGAATAAATGTATTTTTTGCACACTCATTTGAGAATTTCTCTCCCTTAACAAGAAGGTTTGATAAGTAACAGGGTAGAGTGAAATCTCAACAAGAAAAAAAAATAATGTTAATAATTTACTAAGAAGCAAACTTGGGTGTGCATTCTTGTACAAGAATTGTGTGCAAGTGTCTAGCTCATACACTCGTCAATGGCTTCTTAACTTTCAGTAGCTGAACAGCAAATATTTCAGTTAAATCCTGAATATTTTGAACTGTTTAAAATGTTCTGAGAAACTGTTCAATATTGGTTTAAATGAGAACATGAATTTTCTGGAAACTTGAAGTATGCTGATCTTGTTCTTGGAGATTAAATCAGTTTGTGAGAGTGTATATTGTGGGACTTATAAAAATAAATTGTGACTTTTAGAATTCTGGAATGGTCACAGCATATAGAGCTGAGAAATTTACCACCATCTAGAATACCAAGGGAAAAACAGTAAAAATGAAATAATTTTGAATAAGGGGTGGGGCTATGGCTGACCCACATCAATAGAAAACCCATTGAAATCAGTCAAATCAGTCATTTGTGTTACTTGGTCTACTCTGAGTCACCCAAAAGAAAGATGTGGGAGACAGCTGTGGCTATAGGCCATTAGACATAGTAGTGGTTTTCAATTAAGTTTTACTCAGAGTATACCCATTTAAATTAATGGACCAACTTAGCTGTGTTCATTAAATTCAGTGAGTCTACTCTGAGTAGAACTTAGTTGTACACCAGCCTTTGAAAGTTGTTTTGCTTGTGACTGCAGTACAGTAAAGCAGTATGTAGGTTTACAAGACTTTATCTCAGTCTTTCCCAGCCTTGAACTGATGGGAGTTGTCAAAACATCTGGAGAGCCCAAGTAGGGGGAGGCTGTTGTTTAGCATTCCAGTACACTCACTGAAGACCACTGCAACTCAATCAACTTATTTAATACTGGTTGCATTTTAGCATAATGAGAAGCCACAAAGTACAGTTTGTTTCACCCTTAATATGCCTGAGCTACGTGCTAGGGCACACATCTCTAGTGCTTCCACTTTGCTCCTGCCTTAGCCCAGTATGGAAACAAACCATGGAGCAGCTGGCTTAGAGTTAATGTCCAAACGAGCAAATCAGCTACCTTGATTCTGAAGTTGTCTCATTGTTTCTGCTTATTTTTGTTCAGCCTGTTTTGCAAAGTTGGCTTCCTACCATTAGAAGACAATAGTTTTCTTTCATTTTGATAATGACATTCCTCAGTTATCAGTGAGCTTAATAGGCTCTTCACTGCTGTAAAATGTTCTACAGTGTACAAGAAAAACAATGTCCTTAAGTTAATTTTCTGAGGATAAACTGTCGTATATGTTGGAAATAATGCATATAAATCACTGTTAACCTTGATAAATCGACACATATACATCACTCTTAACTTTGATGAATGGGAATAATGTATTTTGTTCTCCAATGACACCCTTCTTATTAATATTTAAATGTAAAGCATAATGAGGAATTATAGCAAACTCAATAAGAAGCCTCATCTGTCTTCAGTGTGAAGAAATAGATTTGCCTCACCCACACTTAATTATAAAGTGTTGTGACCTTCTAGCACAAGCTACTGAAACTGTTGCTGATAACTAAACAAAAGGTTGATCTCAAAACCCCTGTAAGAATGAATCTAGTGATATATGAAGATTGCTGGAAAGTACCGTTGGAATCCAATCAAGTACCCTTTGCAGAACTTTTAAGTTTTATCTTCAGCATTATTGACTGAAGAGTCAAACCCTGAGTATTTGAATTTTAACCAGTGCAATTGCATTGACAGCAGAAGTGAATTTTAATCAATTCTTCTTTTCAGCCACAGCATGCCAGAGCACAGGTCCAGCACCTCTCAAGTGGCTGTCATTGCAGGCTGGAACTCACCCTGTTAGCTCTTTGCATTGACAGACTTCTGAGAAGCCCAAAACGAACATTTCAAGTCAAAGCGAAAGCTGGCCAGCGTGTGTGTGCATACACTTTTTTATATATATCTATGATTGCACCTAGCCACTCCTAGCTGCAACTGGTCAATCTCCAGGGCTGGGCCTCTACAGTAGCATGTTTTCACAAAGGCCCTTCCAAGCTACCCTAGACATCTTCTTGAATCTAAGAGAATTAAGGAAAGTGAAGGTATATTTATTTGACCTGCACCAGAATCAGTGGCGACCCCCAAACCAACTAGGAAAACAGCTTGTCAGAGTTTTTAGCACCTCTGCGAGTGGTGAATGCAGCTGTTGTTAACCAGCATCCATTTAGGGCTGTCCTAAGCTGCCCAGCATCTTACTGGACCAACTTTATGGTGAGTTTTAGCAGTATTTTTTCTTGGGGAAAAAAGCACTGATTTTAGGGAGAGTAATATAAATCATAATCCACCATTTTAATAGCTGGAGCTGGTAGATCAAGTTGATGATGTGTAAAAAGATCTTTTAAAAGCATGACATCTGGTATACTGAGATTGGGTGATTATGGGGAAAACATTTTGGAATACAAACATGGGTCATAGGTCCTTGAAATCCAGCATCTTGGTGCAGAAATATCCAGTAGAAGCACAAGCCAGCAAAGCCATTATAGTCAGAAGAATTTGTTCCTGGAAAAATGCTGTGAGGATTTTGCTCTTAAGAGTTATTGAAACCAAAAAGAAAACTATAATGTATTCCGACATCTCTGTAACTTTAAGGAAATTTCCATCCTGATCTCAGTAGGTAATCAGCTTCTGCCCTCGAGCTTATAACCTTATGCAAGTTAGCTGTTCTCATGTTCAAACCTTGCTTTGCTGTAGGTGCATTTAAATAATCACAAAATCTTTCAGCCCTTTAAAAGATAGATCAATCATTCATTTGAATTTCATGGAAGTGTATAGTTGAACAGTTTTTACTGTTAACTACTATGGTACATGAGACCTCCCCCGCCCCATTATGTGAGCAAGTATTAAATTTTGCAGGAACCAGATTAATTTACCTTTGGTCCATAAGAAGAGATATGGTTAAAAAAACCACTGCTTTGTTATTAAAGTATTCAAAGTCAGAAATCCTCTTTACTGGTTAAGTAACAGCAATATTTTATAAGATTCTTTCATTTTTGACAACCTTCGTAACTTGTCAACATGTTTGCTTAAATCTGCTTAAACAGGATGGGCAATAGCACTTGCCTTGCCCCAAGCTTCATTTGACAACATCATGCTGCAATACTTTGACCTATCAGGCACTGACATTTGATCTGAACAGTCCAGATTTGGGTTGTTTGGCCAGTTGTAAAGTCTAACTCAGTATATCATAATCACCTCTCAAAGGTTATGTCAAACTATCAGTTAGGCCTAGTCTCACTCTCAGAAGGAAGAGATTGTATCTTATGCAAATATTTTGTTAGAACCTTTACAGTACCTTGAATAGGTAGTGATATGGACTACTTTGCTTCCTACTTTGTGACGTACGAACTTTTCCTTTTTGGTGAAGAGGATTTTGTGCAAAGCAAACATTTGCCACCAGCAGAGGTACTGTAGATGCCATAAGAATATTATTGTACATGTTTGGAAGAGTTTACAGTCCTGTTAATCCTAGCAAATAACTGTTTATATCAAACTACACATATGAGAAAGTATGATGGGTAAAACGTTTTT